GGGCTTGGCAAACATGAGGCTAGAAGAAGGAAATAAGAACAGTGGATGACTTATTATTGGCAGGTTTGCTTCTTTCTCTTTCTTTCTCTCTCTCTCTCTCTTAGGATGATAGAACCACAAGCAATGCAAATGATTTCAGGACAATGTAACAAACAAAATAATGAAATGAACACAAAATACTCACAGGACAAACCAAACAAGAACAGGAGCGCTCCCTAAAAGAAAATTAATGTAAAAATGAAAGGGCTTACACACACGTTCAAAAATAATGGGGGAAAAAAAATACATGAAGGTAACCATAAACCAAAGATGGCAGGCAAAGAAACACACGGCTACAACAAGAATTACGTGTTTGTACACTACCTGTTGTGTAGCTCCTCTTGACTAAAAGTGAAGTAAATGTAAACTATATTCCCCGTGAGGAACATCAGGATCCACAGAGCAACAAATACAGAACGTTCCTCCTGGTAAAAAACAAAACAACAACTATTAAGACAAAGACAGCAAAGTCAGCAACAGTACAATACATATGTACCCAAAATTATACTTAATACCATTGTGTTGCCCTCAATTCTTATTAGTCTTAATTAACTCAAGCCTCAAAGACGTAAGCCTTAGAGCCCTATTCAAACAATCAAGGGGTAGGTGCGAGGTACAAAATGTTTTTTTTAGAATGTATGAATTAAACCAATCACAGTGTAAACTCAGAACCACAAGATTGGCTTGGGCAGGAGTTTTTGGTTAGAGCAGGGCAATAGTAGGAGATAGTTCACTGTCTCCTATTCCTCTATCCCATCAACAACCCAACCTGAAAATGCACCCATTTTTAAACTGAGGAGTAGGAGAAGTGCGGCATAGCCCTGTATTTAACAGTGGACACTGTATGAATAATGAGGCCTTTAAATATAATTAAAATAATACACCTTTAACTTAGACCATGCTTTTATTGGTCAGTGATATTATCTCCTCAGAATGGCACTGCATTGCCAATGCAACTATCTACACTTTATTTGAAGACCTAAACATCCTTTGGGGCAAAGATGAGCACAAGTACATCAGCTAAACACAAAAAAAAGTCGTTTCTAAGTGAGAAATGGAATATTCACTGTTGAGAAACTGGCTAATACAGTTGCTTGGATGTGATATAGGGCTCTTACTGTGTATAAGCATACGCCTGGGTTTGAGCAAACATTTGAAATGTTCAAAATGTGTCATTTATTTCAAAACCTGAGCACAGTATTTAATACAGTTTAGGTTTTTTTTTTACCCGTAGCGAAACCTGGTGCCTGAATGTTGAATTGGCATAGGCAAATGTGCTGGCCATGCCAACACACACAGCAATCCCTGCAGAACAGAGGTTAAAACACAATCACTATACCAGGCCTCATCATGCTTGTAATATTTTTGTGTAAATATTTACCATGAACACTATGACTCTACAAGCTGGCATACCTAGCTTATGCTGAAAGCAGACTTTAGCCAGCAGAATGAGGATGAAGGGGAAGCCTCTCTGCAGCCATGTTACCACTGCCTTTAACTCAGACAGGGCCGGAGCAGGGTTTGACGGGTCCTCCTGGGTCTCCTCCCTGGAGCTGTGCCTCTCTGAGGCGGCCCCTGTGGTGGCCTGCTGGAGCAGTGAGGAGGTCCTGTGCTGAAGGGGCTGGTGGTGGAAGTGGTGGTGATGTTGATGATGATGGTGGTGGTGTGGGGGCGGTCGAGGAAGAAAAGGTCCACCCTCTGTACGATGAGGGCCACCTTCTTCCCTGGACGATGCAGTCATCTGGATAAAAACTTCAGGGGGAGAGCCCAGAACTAAGCCAGCTGCCTGGAACTGGGCAGAGGAGACTGAGCTGGAGGGGACACCTACCAGCCTGAGAACATCTGCTGGGGTGAAGCGGGCGAGTCGGGCTTCAGGCAGTCGAACACGCCACCCTCATCCAGACTGCTCTCTGATCCCAAAGTTTGGCTTCGGCTCCTGAGTTGGGAAAAGGAGGGAGATTGTTTAATTACAGTAGAGCTGCAGCTTTCTTTCCCATGAAAAACAATCCAACAGACTGTGCTGTTGCCTTTGTTCCTTTGGGCAGGGTACCCACCTACTTTGGGCAATTTGTTGTGAGAAGGCAGTAAAAACGCTTATTTAAGAGCTTATTTTCTCACCTGTCAGAGGGCATGCCATCCGTGTTGCTGCTGTGTCTCCTCTGCATGGCATACCGCTCCTCACCACATGGTTCAACCCTGCTAATGCAAATAAGCGTTAGCATTGAGAGCCTGGCACAGAGGCCAGCTTACGGTATATCTTATCTTCAGCTACGTTTTGGTCGCGTTTCATGTTTATTTTATTATTATTTTTTTTTTTAAGTTAAGCTGGATAACAATTTATAATAATGTACCTGAACACGTCCTGTGAATTGCCCTGCAGGTTTTGCCATTATTTGGTTGCAGCTGATGTTGCTTGCAAAAGATGCTCCGACGGTCCGCGGTAAGCAGCAGGTAGGAAGGGAAAAACTTCCTGTATGACGTCACCGAGAGCTGCCTATCCACCAACCAGCGTCCTCCTTCCAACCCCACCACATCCGTGTTGGATATTTGTTTTGCTTGTGCTGGATGTCAGGTTTGGTAGGATTAATTAACAAATTTGCTGCTGTTTTTTTTCCGCGTTATTTAAGCAGTTTCTTCAACGACGACGTCCCGTGTGACTATAATGTGTTACTACACTGCAGTAGAGTAAACGAGTATTTTTATCCAGCTTATCCTAGACAGAAAGCTAAGGCTAGGCTAACAAAGCAGACAAAATATCGATAGCCTGCATGTCCACTGGTTTACCGTCTTTAGCTGTGGTGGACCGCAATTGGTTTTTTTGGGGGGGGGGGGGTTGCAGCCAGTGCTGGATAAGCATATTTGTGAGTAAAATAAATCTGCAGGATGGGTTAACTTGGCTCTGAATTCTGCACGGAAAGCTCCTGCTTGGTGTAATTGTGACATCTCTTAATAAAGCTTAGTTAAAGTCAAACATACGGTTTGCATTGTAATCTCCAAAACAAACAAAAAAAATACACAAATCATTAGATATTTCCTGAAATCGATGTGCGTGGAGGTTTGATGTGTTGGACCGTCGCTGTGAGCGGAGCCTCCCACAGAGAGTCATGTTATGATGGTGCTGCGCAGGTTACTGAGGAAGCGCTGGGTGCTGGGAGTCGTCTTCGGACTGTCTCTCATCTACTTCCTCACCAGCACACTCAAACAGGTACAGCACACTCACACCGCAAAGACATCTTTACTCTCTAAACCAAGCAAAAAAAACACTTTTAAGAGATTATGTTTTAAAATATCATGAAATTTGGCACCTGAACAAGTCGTGGTGGACCTTCTAGGTCAGGGGGGGGGGGGGGCATCTTTTGGTCACAGCATGGGGGCCACATTCGTTTAATTGTCACTGCCAGAGGGGCCAAATTGTAGAATACAAAAAACGATTACAGTATTACAGTACTTAACATATACTCAGTTGTCGAATATTATTCTGGACATATTTCTGATTTTCGTGATTTCATGGCAGGTTTTGTCATGTTTTCTAAATGTTTCCAATTAATTGGTATGTAAAAAAAAAAAAAATGACCTGAGGGCCACGTTTAAGGGTTGATGCAGTTGCCCACCCCTGTTCTCGGTGCATAAAATCCGGTTGACCCATTTTTGCACTTAAGTAACCCTGTCCATTAGCTTGCAATATTGCCCTCAATGGCTCAATATATAAAATGATTAAAGACAGGTTAATATAAATTGTAAAAACCCTTGTTATTGAAAAATCTCAGGTTAAGGGAGAAATATTCAACAGGCTGAAATAGTGTTGGCATTTAGTGGATAAATAATCTATATCACTTGTTGGAGCCTGATCTTAGTGCTGCAGATAAAGATTTTTGTTACTGAATAGCTATGGGAAGCGTTAGGTGATGTTCTCTACATTTATAAATGGCACTGTGTAATCAACGTTATTTAAACCCTTTTACACCCAGTCACAAAAATCCCAAATTGATACCGATGCTTGCCAAGTATATTGAAGGGACTTATAAGATTAGGATTTTGGTCCCGTAAAAGCCACAGCTCCCATTAATCCTAAATTAGACAGTTAAAATGCTTAAAAAATGTGAAGCCTAAAACACTACTTAGACAAATTCTTGTACAGTTGAGACAACATTTAACATGCAAGAGCTTATACTTCATTAAAGGCTGAGATAAAAGATTAGTTGTATTGTCAATTGAGCTGGGTTATTTTTTGTTTTATAATGGAAAAGTTCTTTGATCTAGAAATGGAAAGAAATTGTAAAGAAAAACGTTAAAACCTAACCCTTTCCCAAAGGCCAAGATTGCTTTCTTAAATGTGTTGTAGAAAAATGTTTTTCTATCACCCAAAAAATATTCAGACAACCATCATTGAAATGTAAAGCAACCAAATACATTTCACACTAAATGTAATCAATGGAATCAGCTATTTTCACCTTTTTTAACTCTAAATTACTCAAAACACTATATCACTGTTTTAATCTATATCAATGATTAAAACTGATGCCAATCAATTTAACTGAGGACAAATACTGTTTTGTTGCAGCTCTAATATTTTGTATGCAATGAAAAGGGTTGTGAGGCGAATTGTATAACTTCTGGAAACACTTCTGTTTCAACAATAGAGTTTCAGTTTTGTAAGTTTCAGAATTATAATGTGTACCAAAAAAAAAAATCACTTTTTTAAGGCCATACATATCGCTTGATTTAAGAGTAAAGTATGTCTGCATTATATCGTCTGAATGAAGTCATAATTGGTTTTAATTCATGACCTTCCATGTGATTCTGCAGGAGGAGCGGACCATACGGGACCGCACACTCTTGGAGGCCAAAGATTCAGACCACCGCATCCCCTGGAAAGTCCGTTTTAACCTGGGCAACAGCAGCCGGCAGATGACTCAGTGCAGAAACTCCATTCAGGGCAAGACGCTGCTCACAGACGAACTGGGTAAGAGACGAAGCGATTACTCAGAGCTGTACAGTGATGATGACAGGTTAGCTCTGAGTTGCCTTTTAATCAACGCTGCACAAGCTTATCTGTGCTAATGTTTTACAGGTTATGTCTGTGACAGAAAAGACTTGCTGATTAACGGCTGCTGTAACGTCAACGCTCCCAGCACCAGACAGTACATCTGTAAGAGCTGCCTAGCCAACGGCTGCTGTAGCATCTATGAGTACTGCGTGTCTTGCTGCCTCCAGCCCGATAAGGTAATGTGTCACATCAAGGATGTTCTGGGGCTTGGTTTATTGCTTTCAGTAGAAACAGCTTGACCGGGAATATCAAGGTCATTATTGTAAATTAAAACTAAAGAGAAAACTAAATAAGCAAGAATATCACATTTATAATATTTAAATGAACACGGGTAACGCATGCTGTTTTTATAATAGCATAATAAAAAATTATATCCTGATTATTTTTTTGGCATGTTTGTTGAAAACCAATACATCTTTTTCACAGAACACTGTCATTTTCATTCTGTTGAAGAAATCCCCCCTTTTTTTAGATGATCTAGATGGATTATTATCTGTTTAAATGTTGATTGCGGGGGAGAAAGAGAGATCACTGCTGGTGGGGCTACGCTGTGCGAAATGCAACACACTGCGCTCTCTGTTCATGAGCTTGTCTCAACAGAAACACTTGTGTAATATATATATTTGTATCATTGTATGAAGTTTGTTTTTTCTGGCCCTTTTGGCTCTTGCCCTGACAAGTATCCCATTTAAAAAAAACAACAACAAAAAAAACAACTAAACTAAAGGTATGCATTTTCACAAAATGATAAAACAGCATTAAAATCTAATTAAAACTAAACTGAATTTAAAAACAAAAAGGCCAAACCAAATAAAAACTGATGCAAAATCACAACCTACTGTAACCTTATTATGCTGCACCTGTCAAGGTCATGGCATACATTTTGAAAACTGACCTTTTAATGCAGTAGGTCAGAGACTACAGGTCTCATAGTTGAACAGTGGTTTTGCATTTCATGTAAAAGTGATCGAAGAGGACAAGAAAAAAGTTCAAAAGATTGAAATCTATACTTGTGTGTTGAGCAATCTCTGAGCCTCTTATCTGTGTTCTTCTCCTCAGCAACTTTTACTTGAGCGCTTCCTGAATCGTGCAGCCGAAGGCTTCCAGAATCTCTTCACTGCTGTGGAGGATCATTTTGAGCTGTGCCTGGCCAAATGTAGGACATCTTCACAAGTATGTATGAGATTCAAAAAAGAAAAAAAAAGTCTAACCGTCACCTCTGATGGACCACAATCACAACTTTCCCAACAGATAATTCTCAAACGTAACCATAACTAATGTCATTTCTAAACTTTATCTTGGTTGATGAAAATGCTTTTCTCACAGATTCACAACCTCACATCCTGCCCTTTGTTCACCATTGAACTTGACTCAGCAGTGAAAGCCAGATAGATGATATGCGCTTATTGGCTAATAAACTGTAAAGTGGCCCTTCTTTTAATGATTATTATTATTTGAGTTTTATTCTCTTAGACTGACTCTCTAGACCTGAAAAGAGACATTAACACTCATTCTGCATTGTCTCGACCTTTGCTCAAAACTCAAAAATTGGTCATACAAATGAGAGATTTTACCTTAGTGTGAGTTGTTTTCTAGGCTGAAGGATTATTTCAATTTATAACATTGCTGCTTCTTGTTTAACTCGATTACAATCAAGTCCACGAGTGTTTTGGTTTTCTACTTGATAAACTTTTTATAGGTTAATTTCAATGTAGCAGCAATTTTCTTTTATATATATATATATATATATATATATATATATATATATACACTATAAATTGTTAACCTGGTTATCTTCCACTTTCATGCAGAGCGTTCAACACGAGAACACGTACAGAAATCCTCAAGCAAAGTACTGCTACGGAGAGAGTCCTCCAGAGCTCCTTCCTGTGTGAGTGTCGGCCTTCATTCTCTGAATAAGGAAGAACAGGAACAACAGTGGGACAATAAAGCATCCCTCTTTGGACACAAATGGTGCTTGGAGAAGAGATTCTCAAAAAAAAACGGTTATTTTGGACATGTTTGCATTATAGTGGCAAAGATATTTAGATAACCAGGATCAAACTCAAACTGGACAAATGCTGTACCTGATTTGATTATTTTACACTTCATAAGTGCATTGACGCGTCATACATTCATCCCTGATGATCATCAGGTCTACATATCTGGCAGCTCAACCCCAAGAACTTACTTCAAACCAGTCCAAGTCATGGCTTCATCCACAGTAAAGGAAGGAAACAGCTATTGTATGTTTAATGTGACATTTTTAAAAGCCGCTAAGAATGTGTCATTACTTCTTTGTCTTAGTGCATGTCTGTGAAACTATTTAATACAAAATAAACGTGACTGTGAAATGATATTGATTGATTACATATGTTATGAATGTTGATTCATGTTTGTATTTTCTATCAAATTTGTTGTCTTATTGGTGTAATGGGAAATTCAATTCTGCTGTATGTGTTGGGTATTTAAAGGGTCTGGAAGCCTAACAATTGTTAAAGGCAGGGTTGGTAATTTTCAAAAACTAGCATGATTTTGAAAGTAGCATTCCCTCAGTGCTGTGTCTACACCCAACCCCTCCCCTCCACGCCCCCTCACTTCCATGCACGAGCGTCATTGCTCCAGAAGCGGACCTCAGCTCATCTCTTGCATTGTGTAGAAACTACGACGTCTCATTCAGCGTTAAGTAAACACTAAACTTTATCAAAACAAAAAAAGTGACTTTTTCACTACTCAGGGCCAATGAAAAACTCACAGTATAAACTCTGTCAGCGCGAAGGGTAGTACAAGCAGGGAGACAGGAGGCCTGATTGGTTCATCAGATTGGTACCTGTGGCAGACAGTTTTTACATCCTTACAACTGCTACAGCTGATGGATTTTCTTTGTTTCCTTGTTCAACATGAGTTATTAATTTCTGTCAGGACCTAAAGACAATTTCAACCAAAATCTTAAAAAGTCTATCCTGAGAAAATACCAACCTTGCCTTTAAGGGATGACAAATAACTTGATTTAATGGTTGTTGAAAAGTCACAGCTTTGATGTGCTACAGAAGAAGATAACGCCGCATGATCAAGCCAAACCATACAGAAGAGGAAATTAATATATTTTTTTACAATATAAAAATACAATCAAACGGTACGAAAAGCTGTGTTTTGTTTAAAACAAGGAAAGACATTTGAGTGAAGATTTTCCCCGTCTCACAACTCCTGTCATAGATGTGTAGCAAATGAAGACAATTTCAGGAAAACATCTGTGATCTCAAAAGTTTGTGAAATTTCAGACATTTTTGCGGATTTTCTTTAACATTGTGCCTCATTTAAAACTTTCCGATCCATTGCACAAAACTTGAATTGTATTTAATTGATCACATAATTTGAGAAGGACAAGGCTCTCATTAATCTTTTTCACAGTGTTGTTCTCCTGTATGTCTTTGATGGGAGTTTGACACATATCTGCCTCCGTGCACTGTCCATCTGTCCACAAATTGACTGTGGAGTACAGTGATTGGAGTCCAGTCCTGGTGGTGGCTCTCTGAATGTGATTTTTATCAGCTTCTTTTACTACCTCAGGCGATGGAGCCTGCTCACAAGGGATGGATGGCCAGAGTAAACAATTAATCATTGTGAAGGCTGAGCAAACAAACTATCGTAATTAAGAAATGTATTAGAGCCCCTTTTCATTGCCGCTTTGGCAGGTTGATTAATTACTGTCACATGGGAACCATATCAGCTGGTGGAAAGTAGCACATTTAATGAACATAGTAATATTTTTATGCAGTCTAGAGGGTTGGTTTGATGTTTTTTTTTTGTCTCAAAGCCTTGCAAAATCTGCTTGAAATAGTAAAAATGTGTACTCAAGTGTGGAATCTCATTAAGTATCTCATAAAACTGAAGAAATGTGAATAACTGTTAAGAAACCTAGCTCAAATAACAGTTTTGACGTTAACACAGTAGATGAAGACCGCATATTTTGAAGCCCTAAGCGGTATCTTAAGACCTTGGAGTCAAAATCAGGGGAGACAGTAGAAGCTTTCTCATCCTTGTTTCACTTGGTCACTAATGGTGTTTTTCAAATGGCTTAGCTTTCCATTTCATATTACCCATTAACATACACGTTACATACACTAGTTGCTGTTGACAATAACCTGAGAAACTTGCACTGATGTGAACAGTCGACAACAGTGAAAATATCAAAGCTAAGCACGCAAATATCAAGAATACTCATAGAAACTTAAATTACATTATTTCCAATTGGTTTTGAAGCTCATTTCTAATAACTTCAGCTGCTTATTATAACGTATGTAGGGCTCTTAATTATATAGTTTTAAAGCTGAAGTGGTTTTGGATTTCCAGTGGCTTTAGCATCGATATGAAGCTAGCTTGTTAGCCTGCCTAACTTAATAGCCAGACTGGACTCGGTTTAACATTTTAAAAAGGCCATCTATAATATTATTTATTGAATCAATCAAAAACTGGATAGTTTTACTAGCTGTTTTTTTAACTAATGGGATATGACTTGTGAGTTAATACACTTTGGGAGAATATTTCATTAAGCTTGAATTTGTAAGTTTTTGTACGGCATTAGGTTACTGTCTCCATACTTTATGCTAATCTATGCTTAAAGCTAAGCAGCTGCTAGCTGTAGCCATACATGTAAAGACATCAGAGTGGGACATAGGCTATTGGCAGCAGGATCATAGTTTCTTATACCAACCAATCAGAAATGTTGTTGTGCTTATCATCTGAAATTGAACAAGCAAACCAAATGTATTCTTGTATTTTATTTTAAAAAGGTAAACATTTTCATAGCTCCATTTCCTCAGTATGATGCATGTCAACAAATAATACATCTTATAAAAAATATGTTCTTTTAAAACAGCTGCCATAATTCGTAACAAATTTTGCAATCCAAACTGAGATCAAGGGGAAACTACAAGAGGTATCCACTCCCCTCCAAGTAGTCCTGACGGGTTCCCTCAGCAACTTTACGTCTCATCTTGTACTTTCCTTTGATTGTTGCTCTGGTATGTAGATGTTTAATCTTCTTTTTCTCGTTGACTGTTGAAATGTGCACCTCAATCTTATCCTCAAGCCAGTCCAGATAGTCCTTGGCAGTCTTCAGCAGAGTGTGACTCCACTGCTTCCTCGCATACACATGCTTGGGCATTACGGGCAGGGGTGGAACCGGGAAGCACTCTCCTCCGAGGGTTTGGTTCATACACACTGCAAGCATGTTGACCCTGGAGATGGTTTCTCTGAGCTTCTTGTGAAGTGGACTATCTTCAGGATTCAGGTTGCTCTTTTGGTCCTCCAGGACTTTCTCCATCCCTTGAGCAATGAATATGAGGCTGCACTGAACCTTTGGACCATGGAGAAAAGAGTTTATATTGACCTGTAGCTCAGGGAAGCCCGGAGACCAAGTGCCGAGGTGCTTCCCATTGGCTTCGTCCTGAGAGAGAGAGAGAGAGAATACAAACTGAGTGAAATATAAAATCTGAAATGCCTGTAAATTCAATAAAAAAAAACAAGTTTGAAATGAAAATGTCACAATAGCTTGAATTGAAAAGCTTGTTTCATTGAATATTTATTTGTGCATTGATTTGAAATAGTAGGAGCTCTGTTCTCAGCTTTGTTCTAATTAGACTTACATCTTAAATAAAATATAGACACAAATAGTTATTTTCTAAATTTCTTATATTAATTGTATTACAACTTAGCCTTTAACAATACAATAAATTAACTCATAGTTCACAGTTTGTCAGTAATTAAAAAACAGACATTTGCACCAGTGTTTCCAGGAACATGAGGAATACCTTGTGTCACTTATTGTGGGCTGAATGATACATTTTTCTTTACAGCTATACAATTGTTTACATTTAAAATGTTTATAACATCTCAGTCAAAGCTGTTAAAGAGATGTATTTCTATAGAAAACATCTATTCCAGTCCATATCTTATTTTCTGTCTGTAACATAAAGTGGATTCAGTTTTACGACAAATTCCCAAAACTGCAACATAATTATACAGACTATTTTATTGAATCAGTTTGAGGCTTTACTAGTGTTATTTAAATATCCTATTTAACACTGACATGAGCCATTCTTCATAATACTACTTGTACTTTTGAGACTTAAATATGTCATCAAGTATTACTAAACACACATTTTAAAGCAGAAGTAATACTGTAAACTTCTGTAATACAATTGTGATATTGTCACTTTTATGTAGGTAAAAAGTATTTATAACCCTTCTTACTATTCTTCTTTAGCCTGCAAATCGATTGAGAAACGTCACACAGAACGAGCTTTAAAAAATATTAATACATGCTTATCATTGTGCAAACTTGAGGTAAAAATGTCAGGTCCTGAATGTGTTGTACTGATTCAGGCTGTGACAAATGAATCACTTTGAAACAGCCTGTCGAACAGCACAGTTAAACATTACTTACAAAACGTTTCAAGCTCTCTTCCATTACAGCCTTGGTAAGGGCAGTCATTGCTTTCGGCATGCATGGAACTCCTGCAGGAAGTTCCTTTTGTGCATGTCCTGCATCCAAGCCGTGCATCAAAACCAACAACCAGGCGAACACAACTTTCAGAAAACCTGCAAATCAAATTGCAAAAAACATATGAAGTTCAAAGTTGGACAGAGTTTCCTCTCTGATATTCTTGAATGACCAAAAAAAAGAAGAAAAGTAAGCTACATAGCATACTTTACCTGTTCTATAGATCATTCTGACTCCTCTCAAGTTTTCAAATGAGATGAGCAGTGACTCCGTTAGTAATGTAACACAATAACACAAGAGCATTATTATATTTGCTCAACTCTCATCAGAGGCGTGTGAAAGCAAAGAAGATAAACTCGCCTTATCTCCAACTTCAGCAATAAGTTTTGATGAAGAAAAAATGAAGTGCAAATCTGATCAAGATAAGGGTTCATTTGACAAGTCATCACCTTGTGCTGTGCTCTCTGTCACTTCCAGCTGAGAAAATGCTGCAAATGCTAAAGATAAGAGCGACAAAGTAGACTTTTTATTAAACACCGCTGTCCTGAAGGTTTACAAGAACAAAAACAGTGATCGTTCTGCAAAAGAATGACATTTAGGTGAAAATATAATGTAAATATCGAACGCTAGGGGTTATTTAGCATTCACAATGTACATAAACTGTGACTTAAATGAATAAATAAACTTTCATTATTTCTATTGACTCACTGCCAAAAAAAAACCCCACTGTACTCTTGACATCTTTTCATTTTAAACTCTTAATCTGAACAATTTGAATGTACGTCAGCTGTTCATCACATCATTTTGACCACACATACCTACGTTATACGCTGAGTCATTCCTCTCAGATCCCTCTCACACATTTACTTTCTCTGCGTAAATGTGACACTAACCACAACTCAACAATATCCTTTGATGTCAGCCCAGTTCAGTGTGTGACCTTTCAACTAATTTCATGTCCCTATAAGAGTGGTTGAGAATGTGTTTTCTGTTCATATTGTCTGGATACGATTGATATTAAATGGTCTGATCATTGACATAAAAGTTATATAAAGTTACATAATTTATTAATCCCTGAGGGAAAGCCAGGTTTACACTCTGTTATGGAGAGACATGCTTCTCACACACATAGGCCCGAAATAAACACATGGACAAACAGGACCTGTGGACATGCATTAGTGGAGAGATGTCAGAGTGGGGCTGCTACACACTGCTATGCAGGGGGCGCACCAGAGCTGTTAGAGACTTGGTGCCTTGCTCAAGGGCACTTCAGCAGTGCTGGGGACGTGACCTGGCACCTCTCCAGCTATACCAGACCAACTTTCATATTTTTTGGACCGGCGACCCTCCGGTTCCCTACAGACTGAGCTGCATGCCACCCCAAAAGAATAATCATAATCAAGTCCAGTCCAGTCATTATTTGTAAAGTACATTTCATTCACAGGGCTACACAATGTGATTTATATAAAATAAAAACATTTAATCCCAGTAGTGGTAAGTGTAATTGCAGAAATTCAACAGGTTTATTGACAATTTTTCAAAAAGTCATTATAGACAAGGCAAGATTATTTATAGAGCACCATTCATACTTAGAGCAGTCCAAAGTGCTTTACACAGTTAAAATGCAAAGAAAGAAAGAAATAGGACATCAACGATTTAAATACCAGACACCTGACAACAGTCTTACCTTCCCGATAGACACACATTTACCTAATTGGTCTTGCCTAATTTAAATGGATTCTGTAAAAACAACCCACCCCAAAAAAAAGTCATCACGATGATTTGGGCTCACAGTTTGCTCTGTCTGTGCTGGATACAGTATGAAGCTGCCCCGGAAACCCCCCGCAGGGCTGCTGTGATGGCGAAACCAATTCATAGTCTCTATAATAACTTATTTTTTTCAAGGTTTCAATACATTTTATTTGAAAAAATGTAAGGTCAATTAAAAAATATATATAGGAGTCACACAATTCAAGTTATTCAAGTTATTATGGTAATCCTCAGAGTACTGTTTTTCTCCTGGAGTTGTATACTAATGAAATTATTGTTGTATTTAAAAATATTTTTTGTACTTGTGATGTCTATGCATAGGTCATTTGGCCCTTTAAATATGAAGGTTTTGCATAGCTTACATTGTATGTTGATGTTGGTTTTGGTGACCTTGGGGGTTGTGTGTATATATATATATGTGTGAAGGTGTGTCCATTTCACTTGTTCATGTTGGATGAAGTGTGAGGGCCTGAAAAGTTACAGGTGGTCATTTTTCTATTAAATTAAATCTAATTGGAGCAGCTCCTGGTGTGCGGACTATTTTTTCTACTTTTGGATGTTTTTCTGTTCAGCACCTAGTCCTTTAGTTTTCGGATGTGCATGCTGTTTGATGTGCTGTATAGCATTGAATAACTTCAGTCAGTCTTCAGCAGTCAGGAGTCAGTATAAAACGTACATTTATTACACAATAAAAAGGAATGCAACAAGCAAAAATGATCACCAGAATGCAAAATAAAACACACATTGAAAACAGCATTCCTTTTACATACTTTGATGTATTTACACTTGTACTTTTACTGTTCCCTGCCAAGTCTATTAAAGTGAATATTCTGTTATTAAATTAAACTTAACATTGTCCATATAAAGTGCTGTGTTCAGTCATAATAATATAAATACAAAAAAAATATGAAATATTAAATAGTATTATCAATACTTAACCTCAAGAAAAGTGTAGGTATTAAATAAATATATCATATATATATATATAACAGTCTTTTTCACAAAGATTTAATACACAATACACAACATTTTATGTTTAAAAAATCCATACTTCGTGGTTTATAAATGTATATAAAAATGGTAAATGTGTATTTTACTATTGTGCAAAAGTAGCCTATTCATTCCAATGTGCAGAGTAGCTGCACTAGCTATACAGATGGCTTCCTATGCTCTGCTTTTCCACCACGTTTAGCATCTTAAGCTTTGCAGAGTACACCAGAGAGGAAGGGGAAACCAGGTGACATCATCAGGGTTATTCAAAAATCCCAGCTGATTACTCGTAACATACTTCCTTTCCCATGTCAAGTACCTGAGCCACCTGTGAAAGCCAGTACTTTACTCTGTCTATAACATGCCAGCCATACTTTTTCTTTTCATAGTCTTGATCATGGTCAAACGTCAAAGCCGTTGGTTTTGCCGGCAAAGGAGTGTCTGGGTGCAGCGTTGTGAGACTATGCTGTAATCTTTTCGAAAGGTCAGTGAGTCTGTCCTTGAAACGTGGCAGGAGCTTATTAATAGGTTTTTCATTTCTAAAAAGGTCCTGCACATATTCATCTACCTTCAAAAAGTGCAAAGAAAAAAGTTCGCTCTTGATGTAGATGTCCTGAAGCTTCTCATAGAACTTCATACCGGATAATGTGGAATCAATGACAGCGTCTGGAGTTGAATCACTAAAGGGCTCAGGATATTCCATCTAGAAGAAAGAATATGTTTTAAATACATTTTCCACAATTATACATTGAAGTAAAGGCAAAGATTTTTAGCTCATACAACTTCACGAAGATCACACTCGTTTGTTTTTGAGAAGAAAAAAGATAAAGTTTTTTTATTTTAACGCAGCAATTCATCTCTGGATTAAAATCCATTCTTAAACCCTCCGGTAGGTAGAGGTAAAGGGAAGTAAGGACAGGTGTAATGTGGTCTTTTTACTTGCTATGAGTTTAAAGCCTGACAGCAGCATTTTTGAACGTGATGCTTGCTAATTCCTGAGTAGAGTGCATTGAAATAATCGAGTCTGGAAGAGATGAATGCACAGATCACTTTTTTTAAGTCAGGAGGAAGAAGGAATGAAATTATTTTGGTATACTGTCTCAGTTGAGCAAAGCAGCATAACTTTGGTCACCTGGGTATCAAAAGGTAGGTCTGAATCAAGAATGACCCCTTGGTTGCAGGTCTATCTACAAACATTACTGTAATACAATTGGATAGATATTACCAATATAGCTAGTACTGGGGCCTGAGGGAGTAATAACAAGCACCTTGGATTTTGAGTAGTTGATAATAGTGCAGTTTATGTAGAGCAGTAACCAGGGGTGTGACAAAATCAGAAACCAATCAAGAAAGATAAGGTTTATGGGGCGCTGGTGGCGCAATGGTTAGTGCGTGCGTCCCATATATTGAGGCTATAGTCCTCAACGCGGGCGTCCCAGGTTCAAATCCAATCTGTGGCTCCTTTCCCGCATGTCAATCCCCACTCTCTCTCTCCCTGATTTCCATCTCTGTCCACTGTCCTATCTCTCCAATAAAGGCACAAACAGCTCAAAAATCAAAATCAAAAGAAAGAAAGATAAGGTTTATGACTTCAGCATTTGGTGAAGCTTTAACTTTTCTTTCATAGAAATGAGGTGAAATATTTTTGGATTAAGAAGAATTTACACATTTTTCTGATTTAGCAGGAATTGAATGTACTGCCATTTTAGTACACGAGCAACTGCTCTGGAGTCTCATTTATAACCATTGCCTACGCACAAAACGGGGTCTGAAACTGGCGTACGCCTTTTCCCACGCAAAGTTTGTGATCTATAAAAACAAACCTGACGGTAAAATGTGCGCACCGGTAAGCAAACTCTGACCCAGGCGTACGTTCATTTTGGAGGCAGGGGAAATTGGCGACACAGACGGCGAAGTGGTGAATTGAAGCCTGCAGATACATATTGATGTCCACATTTTATTTCACTAAATATCAAACTTTACTGACAGATCCACGTCATCATGATCATTCAAACCGATGGTTTTATTTAGGCTATAATCGCACATGTAGCGAGCCGTTTCCGATAAGTAACTTTCATTATGACAATATATAAACAAATAAAAACAAAAAATAAAAGTCCGTCACATGCATATTTCATCAGCGCCGTCTCGCCTTCATCATCCCAGACGGACCTCAGAGGACCGGACTTGTACACTAATGTAATCACTGATTACAGTTAAACATTAGACTAACAAAGACCATAGAGCCACCAGTTTTCATTAATATCTTTCAATATCGTGCATTTATCATCAAGTGTGGTTTTTAGTTTTAATAAAGATACCTGCGTCAAGACGCACAGAGACACGGCGGTGGCTTCACACATTTCACCTCCTCCAGACTCAGCACATCTTCATCAGCTGCACGTATTTATTCTGTAAATAATTCTAGTGTGGACATTAAGTCGGGGCATCTCTGAAACGATCATTAGGTCTATATATCCTCATAATCAGTCACAGTGCAGACGGAGATGCCCACGAAAATATGTGGCCAACAATCAAACGTTTTTGTTCGTTGATCAAACCTTTGATTAATAATATTAAACAGTGAGGGAGACTGCTGACTGACGTGACCTCTCTGCCACTATATGAAGAAGTCAGTGTGGGTCCCGTAAACATGTAAACATTGCAGAAATACTCGTGCGTAATAATGAACGGTGGATGTTTTGGCACATAGGACAGGGTGAATGCAGCAGCGACGTGGTGTCATTCTCGGATTTTTCTTCAGCTTGTGATCCTCCTGCTGCAGCAAACTACCGATATGTCCATTTTAACCTTCACTTCATTCACAAACTCCTCTGTTTCTGGGTCAGAAAGTTTCGTTTCTTTGTCTAAACTTTCGGGTTTCGCCGCGATCCAGCGCTGGAAACCTTTGCTCCGCCCCCTCGTTTGTATGCATTTTCATTCAGGAGCTGCTTTGCATTGACCGTTTATGGTTGGTAGAGGGCGGAACATGGGACTAAGTTACGTGCGCACATTTCCAGGTGGATCGTGATTTATAAAGGGAACATTGCGTGCAGGCGTGCGTATGAACGGTTTTATAAATCTGAATCATTTTGTGCGCACGCCATTTCCGGGGTTTTGGCGCACGCACATTGTCAAACATTTCATTGCCGGAATTACTAAAGCCCCTCAAGTCACATTCAAAATCTATGGAAGCCATCACGAAACGCAATTCACATAAAGACAACCTCTGAATTAACTCTGATTTTAGACTTCAGATCTTACTGTACACTGAAATCTGTGCAAGGAACCTAAGATCATAAATAAGGTTTTGATCAAGAAACTTACTGATCAAAGACCAGTGGATACATTTGAAAGTTTTGCACCAGCTACAGAAAGTCCATCTAAAATGTGTGCATGGTTACAGTAACAATCCGAAAGGCAAAAATACCAAACTTGGAAAACCTGCATGACAAAATCACTGTACTGTACTTACAGTACATAGCTTACCAGTAGATTTGTTGCTTCCAATTCCAATAGTTCTGCAAAAGACTTCAAGTTGTCCAGGTCTTCATAACATCTTGAGTTAAGTGGAGCTGGAAACACTGGCCTCCAGTGGACCTCCAGCAGTATCAAGGCCAGAACTAAGAAACGGTCATGAGGATACAGGTGACTCAATGTGTAACAGAGCATAAAAAGAATTCTGTGTTTTTAAGGGTGATTTAGCTTTTTCAATTATTTTTGTTAAGGAGAGACATTAGCTCGTTTTTAAGGTGAACAAGTAGATAAACTGAAGAGCCTTAAGAGCCTATGCCTCATAGTTGGTTCTTTAACACAAATAAATTCCAACCATCCCACTACACATGAAATCATCGTGAATACTTCTTTGAACACGGCTACAGTACAATAAACTATATATTTTACACACTGTAATATGATTAACCCAAGCACTGGATTAATCCACAGCCTTGTTACAAGATGTAACCATGTTTTAATTTGAACATTTTTAACGTATAAGATTAAATATTTTAAATATACTTACTATAGTGACTTAAGAGTCCATTGAGTTTTGAATCCATAGTCAAAGTTGTCAGTAATTCACCTTATCCTCTGTTGTTGTTTATAATACATCCACGTTAAAACAGCAAGGTGTTATATTACAAGACTTTTCATCACTTCTCTGGCCTATATATACAGCATTAAACCCACCCACACTTACACACACTACATGGAATGACAATTTCCATGATGACATGACAGAGGTGTGACTTGAATAGTTTTATGTGCTCCTAAGATATGATCTTGCAAACAGGCTTGTCACTTCAAATGACAAAATATCAGCAGATCAAATGAGACACCATTTTTAGGTATTTGAGTGTGAACCGAGAAACTCCCCCGTCGGAGTAATAACCCAGACTAAATTGATTCCACAAAAAAAAGGTTATAGGACGAATTGAATAGATCATGATGAAGTTAATGGAATACGTAAGAAACCAAACTGCACAAATGGGCTTCTATGATTCAAATCATGCTTTATATTTTGGTATATGTGACTTTTCTATAATCATGGCTGTTTTGTTGTCAAAATGGCATTCTATTATTCCTAAGCACTTGTAAGAGAAGTTCAAATTTAACTAGCTGAAAAGAGGAAATCAAATATAGGTTTAAAAATACTTATATTATCCTGGGACAAGGTGTCAGAATAAAACATTGCTTTATTTTTTTTAGTGGAAATAAGTAACCTGGTTATGAAACACTGAAAGTAAAATGTATGCCCCTGGAAGGCCTAGAAAAGCAAGCAAGACCATCAGCAACAGACTGATTAGTTATAGTTACACTTGTAACAACTGCTGCAGAGTTAAAGGACACTTCAGAAACAGACTGTTGACATTTTTTTCCAATAATAACTAATAAAAGCTGTACAGGACAAGATAAGCAAAGAGAAAATGGTTCCCTTTTAGTCATTCTACATTCTGTTTTCTCATCTTTCCAACCAGAGTTGCGATCATTTGCATTCTACTGTTGAAGGTTTAATGTATGTAGTTGGGCCCAATTAGTACCCACGACACCTAGAGTTTCAGATGACAGACACGATAAGTCGTTCTTCAGTTTCTCCTTGACACTTGTTTTCCATATATTCCACTCAGAGTATTTAATCATTCATCTTATGTGTATCAATCATACTGTGGTCTTTCATTCACAGCTCCCTACAGTTTGTATCACCATACTTTTTCTATTTTTAAATGTCTTACCTGAATTAAACAACCAACAGGACTTAAAATGTATGCAGCAAGGTTTCAAAGCTCTGGTCCGACAGGGGCTTTTGCATGGTCTCCTCTGCATGTGTTGGTTCCCTCCAGGTACTCGCACTTCCTCCCATAGACCAAAGACATACTCGATAGATTAATTGTGCACTCTTAATTGCCTATAGGTGACTTGTTTTTTATTTTTTTAAATTTTGTGCCAGCACTGTGATTGATTGGCGTCCTGTCCAGAATGTACTCCACCTCTCGCTCAATGACAGCTGGGATCAGCTCCGGTGTAAGTCATTTTAATTTACACTTGGTTTGCTGGTGTTATGCTCTGGATCCTGTTTTATTTGCCTTGTTAACAAAACAAAAAATCATGAGTTTAGAAGTACAATCTATCTCTAAATAAATGACGTTTAGGTTACATTTTATTAGAGCTAGAGTATCAAAACACTGTGTTATATAATAGGTTTTAGCTTTTTACTACCTCGTCAAGTAACCTTTATACTTGTTTTTACCATTTAAAAAGCTACTCTGAGCACCATGGTACAATCAAGAGTTATTAGGAGTTTCTTTAATGCAAGGCTTGATAGACCTTACCTCAGTCTCAAAACCACAAGGATTACACCTTTGAGATGGTGTTGCAAGATTTCCCTTAAAAACTGGGACGATGTGAGCATCACAAGAAGTTCCCTATACGTCACCCCTTTTATCATTATAAACTCCTCACTCACTTCCATTCCTGTAAAAGCAAAAATAACTCTTTATTTTAACTTCATCTGACTCAGAAGTTGAGAATGCACTTTCTGTCATAAAGACTGAGTCAAAAATTGTTTGTACATCCCTCAAGATTTCAACTGGATAGTTCCAAGCAGTCAACAACAATTATTTTTCAATACTATTTATTTAATGAAGCAGCACACACAAAAAAATAATTGTACAGAATAATTTGACTTCAAATTGTACAAAATGTGGATGTACCAAGAAATACGAGTGACCTTGACTAAATGAAAGTTTATTGTGCAAATAACAAAAAATAATACATAGTGTTATTGACCTTGAGTAATACTATGGTTAAGAAATGACCTCTCTCTCTCAAACAACAAACAAACACTGACTAAGCTTGCTTAACTGATTCACAGCATTTGTACTAGTCCTAATACATAATAACTAACTACCGATAACTCTTCTCAAACCAAAATGAGTGAGCCCTCTAGTCAAAAAACAGAAATTCTGTTTTCTTTTCATGAAAATTTTTGCCACATCAATGATTTAACAACAGCCTTGCATTTCAAGCGTCACACTTTCAGTTCCACAAAAAATTGCAGTAAAAATTACACTTCTTGAAAGTGGCCGCTGATAAAAATGAATTTAAAAATAGAAAAAAGAAAAAACTGTTGTTTTGAACCATGGCATCATCAAATAAACATTACTGGAAGACTAAGTTTTGTGTTTATCACTTCATAGCGCTAGTGAAATGTATGCAAGAATATGAACAATTTAACTTCCAGAGTCCTATGTTAGAGGCAAAAAGACTCTGTCACACTGTTCACATGTCTTACTTTGTGCTTTTATTCTGTATGTTCAAGTGTGTGTGTGTGTGTGTGTGTGTGTGGATATGTTGATGTTTTAGGATTATTGTGCATGTTGATGTGCCTATGTGAGCTTGTGGGCCTCCTGGGACTCAGTGCATCCTGCCTCAGATAGGTAAGACAGGAGGCCTCACAGACAAACTGTGCAAGAAGCGCTTCCGGTGGTCTTGGCAAGTCCGTAGTTATTAATACTGCTGGTGAAGCAGTGCTAGTCTAGGCACAGTTTAGCCTCCATCTCCTGCTGGTCTGCCACCTCAGGCCACTGGAGCTGGAGTGAAGGATGGCATACTGAGCTGGCATGATTCAGCTCAGACTGGACTTCAGAAAATCAACTTGTTGCTTGTTCTTTCCTCTGATACTGGAGCATGTCCTTCACGCTCATGATGTCCTCCTCAGGGACCTACAAAAAAAAAAGTCAAGTTAAAGCGGTATTAGTTCTTTTTTTGCCCAGGCCACTTAGAGGTAGCAGAAAAAAATCTTTATGCAGGGTATTTACCGCAATACAACTTCTTGTAAAAATTGATAAAATGTTAGCAAGTATATTGCAATTTATATGTGTGTGTGTGTGTGTGTGTGTGTGTGTGTGTATATATATATATATGCAAAATAACCAGTATATTCAAGACCAAAAAGGATTTGTCCTTGCGCTAAACCAAAGGGAACAGAAAGTAATCGGTGTGCCATATGGAACAAAAAAAACAGAGTAAACCCTTTTAAATGTATTTAAATTTACCTTAATCATATATTTTGTCTTATTTGAACAGATGTTAAAACAGATGCAACATAAAACAACCAAATGTAAAACTGAATTAAGAAAAATAGATAAGAAGGGTTTTGCTATCTTGCCAACAAGAGGCTTCACTTTTTACCATCCCTAGCAAGGTTTCAGTTCCTTGGTCGAAGGGAGCGTATTTTTGTATTCCCCATGGTTGGCCTTGTCATTTGTGGACAACTTATTCAAATCACCAAACTCCAAGCAAATTAAATTCTGACTTATCTCTGAGATTCTCACTTTAAACACAATCTTGCATGTATGCGTGTGTTGACAGGACAATATTTGCTACATCCAGGAGTTTCCATAAAATTCATTAGAATTAACTGGAATTTCCCTGGGTCTTTATTAAAAGACAGAATGATCCTGACTACTCCCATCAAGTATGAGCCAAAGAGTGTCCTGCCCATCAGCCCGTACTGTATGCACACTTTCTGTCTCGTGTTAGTGACTTTGCTTTGGAAAATGTCCTCAACAAATTCTGTTATTGCGACTTCTTGATCAACAGCTCTCTAAATGACCCTCCATCATTTTCACAATTCCACTTCACAAAAATGATGCTGTTAAATTTCCTAATAAATTCGGGATGATGAAAAGAGCCCAAATCACAACCCCTCTGATTAATGAATCATTGTCTGCTGATAGACAGTCTCATCACCTATCATTGCTAAAAAGACACTAATGAATCTAAGAAAAAAAAAAACAGCAACAAAATAATGTTTAGATTTGTATTATAAAGTTCTTAAAGTATTTGTGTTTCATTCCACTAACGTCAATGAAACATCTCCTCTGCAGTTTTGATGACACGGAAAACATTTTAATTATTATTATTATGACTTATAAAAGGAAGTGGTGAATTCCTTCCGATTCGTCTTCTCCACTGCATAATAAAATCACCAGACGACCATGGTTGCAAAGCATTTATCAGAAACACACGAACGGAAGCAGTGAGTGATGCAATAGCCGTTTAGTTGAATGGAGTTTGCTATTGTTAGGCCAGCTTGTGGTTTTACTTGAGTCCCACTCAAGTTTACAATGTTTATGTCGAAATAGATTCTATGAGCAAGACTGCGTGCAATGGATTTCTATGACACCTTCAGAGCTATATTCAGCCCGGTGACATGCATCGTGTGCATAATACAGCTGTTTCAGTCATTTATACACTCATCTCCAAAACATGTTTAAAGTAGGACTGAAAAGAATGAACGCTTGAATACAGTACATGTGGAATACCCTGAGATCATGACAGTGCTCACCTTTTTTTTTTTTTTTTTATATCCTCCTCTTGGCTCACCTTTGGAAGAATTTGGTGACTAGGTGTAATTATCTCAGATGAAAGATTGTACAAATGTATTGTGATGCAAAGACTTGTGAAATACTCACCAGTGCATACTTGCTACTGAAGAATTTTATGTTTTATTCCAACCCTATTTCTTTAGGGAAGCCCTTTCCCATTAGTCTTTATCTGTTAAATGTTAGGAGATTGCTTCTAGAAAAGGGACAACGCCATATGTTTAGGGCTTTGAGAGCAGATTACAACCATATTAACAAGTCAAGGTGAAAAACAACTCTTCATTAGTATCATCTGGCAGAGATGAGTGTGTGGAAAACGTTGTAAGAACTTTATAGAGGAGTGAGTAAGAGTGCCGCTTAGCTTCTTTAAAATTGCTCTGAACCTACAGGATGTGCATTTAACCACCCTTCTTTAAGAAGCCAGAGTGAAACCAAAGAAATAGTCTCAATGACCAGTATTTCTGATCATCTGAAGAGATTACATTCTTGTCCATTAATGCGTCTGAACAATTCATGGATCACACTGATGTAGGAGGGAGATCAGGCTTGTCTGATTAACTAGCTGAGTCACACTCTTTAAGATAAGTTTCTGTGTAAAAGCAAACACTGAGATAATATCTTTCTTCTTGGTAATTTGGTGCCATTGAACTCAACCATCCATTTAAGAAGTTAAATGAGAAGACCAAACCAATACTGGGTTCAGAAAATCACACAGCAACAGATAGAAGTTACACATATTAAGGCCTGTGAATTTACGCATTGTTTACAAAAACACTGTTTCACATTGATCTAGAATGTCTTTGCTTAGACTCTAGGTTCAGACTATAAACACACTTTTAAGAAAGAAAGGAAAAAAAAGGAACGATTTTTAAAAAGTCGTTTTTTTTTATGACTTTGTCAGCCAAATAGAACTCATCAACTATTCTATATTTTAACAAACAAATTAAACTTCAAATTGCTTCATTATTAAAATGTCTTCCACACTTATATGGCTGTAATTTGATGGTTATACAAGTTCATAAATTTGGTTTGGTCAGCAAAAACTCCCACAAACGGACAAACAGGTGTGAAATAAACTGCAGAGATGAGACGTATGTTTGGTGACGTCTGTTTACGCCCTTTACCCAGACCTGAAATCTTTCATATCTGACCTCAAATTAAGCGTTAGTGAGTCTCATATGTAATGACTGTCAAGCCTGGAAAAACAATTGCATTGGCCTTACTAATGATGCAGAACTATTTGACTCACCAGAGCATGGTCGAAGCTGAAGGTGCTTATGTAATAGGCAGAAATGTCGCTGTCAGCCAGAGGCTGAGATATCTGGGCAACTATACCACATTCATCTAAAACAACAGAAAGACAGACAAAGTGAGAGAAAAATCCACAAATATTACCATAAAAAATATGAACATTTGCTGCTCTTTTACTGTATAAACATTTACATCAGACAGTAAGTTGCTGCTCTTTTGTATTGAGTCTGTTCTTTATTTATTCATATAGAGCAGTTAACATGAATTGTACAACACGCTGCAGAGCATCCTAATTGTCCGATTCACATGTTTTTTTACAAAAGCTTCTCAATCCCTTAAATAATTGAAGCTCAGTTTAGAGAGTAATATTTATCACAATGACAACTCAGCAAGAAGAAAACAAACACATTTGAGAGTTGGCATCAATATAATGAATGTAAATACAATTGCAATTAAGTTCTGAAAAGGAAAACATTTTTTTTTTCAGTGTTACAGTCACTCTGAGTTATTTCTACAGTTTCATAGAGCCGGCTGTCACAGGCTATCTTCACTGTTTCACGAGAAGACGCTGCATTACAAAACATTTAGACGTTGCTATCCTCAGTGTGCTTTGTCTGATAACAAGCAGTCTTTATCAAGATTTAAAACAAAAATCAGACGACTATTGAGCTTTAAACTCGATTTGAACTACATTCATACAATCAAATGTACGGCCATTTAAAAGTAGGGTGTCCTTACCAAAGCCCAGCGGTTGTCCCCCTATCCGAACCATTCTCCACAGCTCCCCAGAGGAGCTGGTGAAGAGTAGATCAGCAGGAAACCTGCAGCACAAAGATCATGCACTGAGTTCTACCAGGCAACCAGACCATTTCAAAGATGGACAGGGAAAGACCCACTTAAGAGATGTTGACAAATAAATGCATAGAAAAAAACAGACAGGACAACTCCCATAAAGTAATTAACCAGCAACAACAGAGAAAGGAATGAAGTGAGTTAAAGTAAGTGCCTGTATAAGGGCTAAAATTAAATGGTTCAATAAAGCAGAATGAAATTAAAAGGCTGTTGTGGATCAATGCAAAATGTTTTAATCTTCCAGTTAAAATGAATCATCTAATATACATATACATAATATACATATATATTTAAACATATCATGTAAATAAATTGTTTATGAAGCTCTAATGTGTAAGCATCTCCAGTGTTTAATGCTGTAGACTGTAGAGTGTAGTCTTACTGTCTCTGAGCCTCAGTGTCCATCACCAGTGAGATGTAGCCATCAATGAGGGAGAACGAGAAGAACTTGATACAGTCCATGTCCTGGCTGGGAGAGGACTGTGCGTCCCCTTTTGGACTAAAGAGGAGACACATGTGTGAGACATTAGATCATTACATGAAGTCAGCAGAAAGTAATAAAAAAAAAATAATCATATATAAAATAAATAATACATAATTAGTTACCTGTCAGAAAAAACAGAAGATAAAATAAAGTCATCAGTTATTCCAAACGAGTAAAAGCAATTTATTTTTACTAATTTGGTATAATGTGGAAGTTACTGAACTTCATAATAGTACACATTATGCTTATGTTACCTAAGATGCAATAAAAATGACTTAGTGGTTGGTGAAGTCTGGTTTGCATCATGTGCTGCCACCTTGTGTTTCACAAAGGTACTAAAGTAAACTACGGCTGTATTTTCAATGCACATTTCATTCACTGAGGTAAATAAATCTGCTTTCTAGACTAATGAAATGTAACGAACAACACCGATTTTCATTATGAGTTCACATTATCTCACCTGCTGGAATAAAATAGCACGTCAATGAGCGTGGTGGCGATGGACGGCAGTGTGTCTGGGTCCAGAGACATGACACAGAACTGGTTCTGGGGGATCAGCACTGGGTGAACTGTAGGCTGGATGGCTGGAAGAAAGCAATGACAGGATTTGGATGTAACAAGGAAATAGCAACAGATCCACTGTAATATTCTTTCATACAAAACCCCTTTGACACTTGAGACACTGAGACATGTTTTTCCTGATTTAGATGGAAGTCTGTTTCAAATGAATTTATTCTGCTTTAAATCATGGTAGAGAAACTTCAGAGAACCACAAAGGGGAGGGGGATCCAGGTTTTCTGAACAATTTGTAAATTTCAATAAATCATCTGGCATTTTTCCCATTCAATTCAAATTTTATACAAATTTCTAGTTTTACCAAAGTGTAAGCATAGAAAATATCATGGCTGAAAAAAGCTTAAAAATGTCAATCTTCTGCTGGATCAGAGGTTCAAAAGACTGAAACTCTGTCTAACATCAGGGTTATCTAAGTTCATATATCCTTTGCATTTTGGCAAATTAGCCCCGACTGAGTTAAGTCCCTTTTTGTTTTCACCTGAACGCACATATTCAGTTCACCCTATGCAGTATATTTGCACCATTCAATTCCCCACCAGACCCCCTGCTGAGGAACGAATTTGAATTCAGTTTCTTTTAAATTGATATGTCAACTTATATTCATGTATGGTCCTTATACTGTATGAACTAGTGTTGACACCAAGTCGAGTTCCTCTCTAATGCAAGAACATTTTTCTATCTCCTCTTTCCATCATGCAGATTAAAGTAGGGAAGTCACAGCTGCGTTCAGGTCATTACAGTGAGTCGGAGTAACTTCCAAGCAAAGCATTGCTGGTTGGTGAAAAGTGTCTTTATTAAAGTGTTGAGTTGAAAAAAAGAAAACAACGCAAAGAAATAAAAGAATGTGAAACGGGTGGACACATTTTACAGAATATTCTGCCCTCACCGTACAGCATGTCCTGTTATGGTTACAGTAAAAAATAACTTCCTGTATAGGACACAGTAAGTCAACATAGTTGAAACGTTCCTTTATGTTTGATACGTCGTGCGGAACCAGCCTGTTTGCACTGTTGCATTCTATAACGTCGTATAGCATGCTGTTTGCTGAAGTGGAAGAGAAGTTTGGAACAAAATGTGTCTTTGAACAGCAGTTCTGTGTGATGTAAATACATTTTTTCCCTTTCAGCCTTTACTGGCACAATTGAGTGAGTTAATGGAAAAAGCCGGCCTTGAACACGATTCATCACCTGTCATGATCTCTTCTTTCTGGAACTCAATTTACCGTGCATTATTCAAATCCGACCTCGCCCCCCCCGGATTTGTGACCCGTTTGTCTCAAGATAATCTCTATGTGATAACTACTGTATGTCTCTCTTCTTCCCATGAAGAACCAAAGGGTGATGCTAGAGGAACGTATCTTCAGAATTCATACTGAAGTGGACAGGACTGTGACCTCTACCTTCTTTGCCGTTCTTCTGGAGGCCGTTGGACACATCCTGACAGTGCATAGGGACAGACTCTCCTCCCACCTCCTTGTAGATATTGAACTCCTCCTCCAGAGTAGTGATGACTACAGCCAGGTCTTTCTCTCTCACCTTACACAACGCAGATGTGGAGACATAAATATTGATGGTTGAACACCCTGTGAAACATGTGTTCGCACTTGACATTACGACTTTGTATTTATAGTCTGCAATGAGCTCATTAGCGGCACAAGGCCAGTATGTCATGTTGTGAAAGGGAGAAAGCACACGCTCAGTAAGTGGACCATTCATATATTTGCTGACACAAACGTCTCTGTGTTATCTATTTTTGCCCACTTTACACTTTCTCATGTAATACATCAACTAACTTTTCAATGCTCTCAGCTCTGTCGGGAATTCATTCCTTAACTGCAGGACTTGTCGAGCGGACAAAACTCGAGACGCCGTGGCTTTCTTTTGTCTGGCAGAGCTCAGTAGGTGAAAGGCATCACTACAAGATAAGACGCCTGGAGTTTTAGTACATTAAAGAGTTTGAAAAATTGCCCCAGACGTTGCTGAATTATACAACAGAGAACAGCTTAGAGTGCCTCTTTCATTTGAACAAGATACTAGTGAGTGCTGATGAAACTGGAGGGGGCTAAAGCGAGAGCAGAAGTAGAAGTAGAGACTCACCAGGATGAAGTCCGTCTGATAGGTTGAGAGCATGAAGACGGAGACGTGCTGTTGGGCCAGAGGGGCGATGACCGACTTGGCGATCTTTGTAACGCCGACTGCCTGCGAGCTGCTGGAGGCGTTTCCATTGGAGACAACGTTGAGAGGCAGCCAGATGGAGCTTTCTATCTTGAGATGCTCTGACGGCTGGAGCTCTGAGCGGGGGTCAAAAGGACAAAAGTTAGCCTCGTGGGCAGTGGGAACGCATACAGGATTCATGACTTGATGCTGACGTACTTTATAAAACATGCACCGTTAAAAGTGACTTGTTTATTTACAGAGCACAAGATGTCTTCATAAAGATAGCGGCTAAATCGGATGAAAAACTTGGTTCGATATGGGACGGCTTGAAAGAGTCCGTAGTCTATTAACTGGAACGTCGGGGGGGTTCGATCCCCAGCTCCTGCAGCCACATGTTCTTGGGCAAGACATTTAACCCTGAGTTGAACCCGCTGCTTCATCAGCGGTGTATGAATGTGTACGAATGGGATAAGTTACATCTGATGGTCACTTTAGACAGCAACCTCTGCCATCAGTGTGAATGTGTAGGTGTGACCTGCGGTGTAAAGCGCTGTACAAGCTCAAGTCCATTTACCATTTAACCATATGGTTTCAACAGCATTTCAATGACTGTATTTCAATGACAGGTCCTAACTTCACTTTAAAAATAAATCATTAAGATGCCACAGATGTTTTACACATCAAGCTCAGTATCCTTAAGATAGAGATACTCATAGTAAAGACTAAAAATAAGTCACAGTAATAAAGCCTTTTCAGCACCAATGAAGACTATTGTGTTTTTTTTCTGACTCTTACTTGTCCACATTGTAATGAAAGTGCTTTACTATTAATTTTAAGGACACCTTTTACTTTGAAGTGTAGATTCTTTTATCACACCAAATTGGTGTTTACTGAGTTGATTTATTCCTTTCTCCTTTCTTTACCACAGAAAGGCCGGTTTGATTACACTTTAAGAAAAATAAACCCCTGAGGAGGAAGGTAAAGGTGTAACTCCAGCCATTATAAGAAAAGTAACAATTACAAAAAGTTCCCATGAGAAGGAGTATTCGCTGCTGGTACAGAGTAGAACTTCCTAAATTGTGTGACTGATCAATTGAGACTGGTCAACACAGGAACAGAGAAAGATCCTTTACAGAAGCAATACAATGCTTTTGTTCTCCAGTGTAAACAAGGTTAGTATGAGCTGGAAGGTTGGAAAAATTGTTGGTGTGAGTGTGCAGGAGTTGGCCTGCTTTTGGTAATAAAAAAAATCAAGAAATGACCCAATATTGGGTGTCTAGGAGTATTTTTGTAGAATGGTCTGAATTTGACTAGCATCTAAGTTTAAATTATGTTATTGTAATCTACGGAGTCCCTTAAGGTTGAGTTAACATGAAACATTAAAAGCCGTTTGTTATCAGGCATGTTTTCGTAAACGGTACATACGACTTTGCATGGATTTTCAATGCAAATCCAAGCGCACAGTTTGCCAAACTGTCGTAAAGTTTACAAATCCAAGCTTTCATTAAGTATTTTATTTTATTCTTACATAAACATTCTTGGGGATCAGTACTAACCAGCTGTGCTCTATGGCTCTGTATTTAAAACCAAACAAGACAATGGGCGCTCTGTAGAGGATGAACCAGCAGCAGGATAATCAATGGTAAATAAATGAAGATAAAACAAACCACTCAGGTGTGACAGAGGAACTTTATACAGTCTATCAGGACTGGACTGACACCAACATTTCTACATCAAATACAATGTTGTCAATTCATTACAAAGCCTCCTTTCTCAGAAAGGGTTTTATTGCACCATTGGCAACTTGTTACAACTTTCAAGCTTCCATGTACATGAAGTGGTAAAATATGATGCAGCTTTAAGTAACAACTTCCTCTTCTAATCTGCTGGGTGCTAACGTACACTTCCTCTCCCCCCACCTTGTGTCTCTTTCTCCACCATGGGGACCAAAACAGACGCTATTTATATAGCACAGCACAGCACAGCACAGCACAGCGGCACCTTCACCACCACAACAAAGTTTGAGCATAGAGTGTGACCTGATACTAATGCATTTGTCAGACCTCCAGCTTGGCCTAGGTGGTAAAGGAAGGGTCAAAAGTCTACAAGGGTGATCCCTCGGATGTAGCTGGAACAACATGAGTCACAAAGCCAAAAAGGGAAAAGCAGGAAATTTCACTCTCTGTACCTAAACAAGACACAAGTGGAAGCTGGCAGCTACCTGGGAAACAGATGTCTATCCAGGAAGTAAACAAGAAGAAAGAGATACAGGGGTGATAGCTTAGGGAGATGTGCAGCTGTAACTTTTTTGTGTCACAGAGAGAGAGTAAGGAATACACCATGACAAAAAGAAAAAAGACTAAAATGTGACACAACTAATAATAAAAACACTTTTGTCGTAAGTCTAAGACTAAGGCTAAATAGCTGCCAAAATGAACACTGTCTTGTAGCAAATACTATTTTTTCCTTTCTCTTTACTCCCCTTCAAAGCACCAAAGTTCTGGTTTGCAAAATTCACTGATGTCCCCTTGTGGCTTCGCTTCACCAGCTTTCACCTCTTAAAATAGGCACTCAGTCAGGAGGAGAGTAAAAGAGACGGGGAGAGAAACAGGGCACCCAGAGGCGATATATGCCTTTAACAAGTACATCTGTGTAAGAGAGGACCAGACAAAAGGAGATGAGGAGGACATGGTCACGTAAAGAGAATGTTTTACTGCAGACTCTGTGCCAACAGTGTAATCAGACATGAGAGCAAATTCTAGAGGTAAACTCTGAATATTAAAAAAACACATTCAACAATGGAAAACATTTGAAAATGTGTTCTTATTTATTAATCATCAACCCAAAAAGTTGTGATGTTTGCTGTGATTTGCTTCCATTGTTTTTAAAGTGTTTTTTTTTTTTTTAATGTTTTGAAGTTATCTGTCCAAGTGGACACAAGTCAAATATTAACCAACCCAAATTCCATCTTGAATCTTTTAGAAATCAGAGCAATGTTATTTTCCGTGATTTTCCCGTTTAGGTTGGAGGCCACAAATAGCGGCAACAGCTTGACTGCATCAATATGAATCATATTTGTCACGAGGCTATACGTGATGCTTCATACCCTCAAAGTAAAACAGGGGAAACTTGTCAGACAATGGGGATGCCAGTCCTTTTAAGAAAACTCTCACTGGAGATATTTTAAGCTTTTACAAACTCAGAGAAAACATCTAACACAGGAAGTTAAGTTTGAGGCTAGTCAACAGTTTGTAGTTTAAACGCACAAACTGTTGACTCTCCTTCATTTAAGAAGGTGAGAACAGATTGGGCAATGCAGGCTAACTCACGATAACAATGCAAGATACGCAGCCCATGATAATTTCACAATACAGACATTCTGCCATAAATGATATACTGCAAGCCAATCAGATTAGGACACAAAAATATCTAATTAACTGAAGAATATAAAATGCCCCAAAAAGATTAAGTGCATGATGAATGTAACTATTCACTGAGATTTGGTGTCAGTTTCAACTCTTACAGCTTTATCTCTTAACTTCTTTTCAACCCTTTCCGACATTATCTTGCTGTCTTCTATTTCTTCGTCCAACTTCATCCTGCGTTCAACTTCTTCAAATAGAAGAAGGTCAAATAACCTATCGTTCATATTACATTTATTCATGTCCTGACTATCATGAGGAGTCATGAAGCGGGGGTGTGGTGTTGAGTCAAACTGGCAGGGAAATCTCTTTAGAAAGTCACATTTTCTTTAAGTTTAAATTTAGATATATGGCATTAGCATGAGTGAGGCCAACGTTATATTGATGTGTTGACATTGGAAACCACTAGTAGACAACAGTAGTGACACTATTATTATTATAACAAAATTTAAGTACTTAAAATTCTGCTTTCTTTACAACTGTTCTCACAGGATTAAGAGTACTAGTGAAATAATCTTGAAGAGTACAAATGGTGGAGTTCCCCATTGGGTTTACAAATTTGAAAGTGGCAGTAACTTCCCTTCATGTCAGTAGTTGCATGGGTGATGAACATCTGTGCGTGTCTTGCATCATTTTCTGTTAATACAAAATCTTAAGCCAAGGTGCATTGATATTTTGTACTGTAGCAACTAAACACTTGTCAAAACATAGTGTGAACAGTCAATAAATTATTTTTTCAGCATGCCTGAGGACACTCCATGTCTCATAAAAGTGATGAAGGATGTGTGCGCAGTCAGCGTTTCACCTTTGAATCCTTCCTCGTCAAGGACGACTGTGTAGTTCTCTGGTGTCTCCGTCAGACTGAAAAACTTGCATCTGAAACAGGACAGGAAGTACAAGTTGAGGGAGCATGTGGTTAGAAAAATTGAGACAACATAAAAGGAAGGAGATAAGCAGGAGAGGGGAAGGGAGAGAGGGAGAGGAAGAACAGTGTTATTCGTCTGCAAACAACAAAAGGAAGTTCCGATTTCCATAATAAAAGCTACCAGGAATCCTGTAAATGGATTTCTACGAAATTTGTTCCGGTTTCAGGACCGGCTGTCACTCAATTAGCGCAAGCACAAACACACTATTATGCCAGCAACGCTCCTTTGTCTACAGAAAATGATGGGTAACACACCAAACTGGGGCAATTGTTCAGTTTGCAACTGCTGCGATCAGGGAGACACTACAAAACCAAATTATGAAATATGACAATGTGTTGATTACTGAATTATTGGATTGCATGTAGATTTGCTTTAAAAACCTATTATATAATCATCAAAAATGTATATGCGTCAAAACACTCAGGTCTGCTTTTTTCTAAGCTTTGGGTCAACCTACTAATGTTTGAAAGTTTCTATTGCTGCCTTCCATCTTGTTCTAAAAAAAGAACCCCTGTGGTTAAATATTTGAAAGGACTGTGCCATTTGCCAACTGATACAGCCCATTGTAGTTGGGTCAGTGACAAATAAGGGTTGTTCAGATGACCAATTCAAAAATCTTATAAATCTTATAAAAACACAATTTGAAAGCACGCATCAGGTTCATTAAAATGTGAGATTTGTATTCATGTTGGTTTTGTGTTATTTAAAATGACATTTAAACCTTTTTTTTCAAAAGGTAAGACTAAATGGACCTAAAAATGTCAAGTGGTGTAACCACTGAAAAATTAAGAATATTGAATATTTTATACATCTAGAGTATATGTAAGCGTACTCATGATTGTAATTACTTCATTTTAAAATAGCACAAGAAAATAGATTTTATTAGGATTATCCCTAAATTTATAAGTTATGCCTTTTTTCAATACTGAGCGGGACACAAAGCTGAAAACACCTCTGTTTTCTAATTTATTTTTGGCAAATTATGTGAAAATTGTTAAAAAAAAACATGTTGTTTCACTGCAATAGAGGACTACTTTTATTCAAATTTAATTGTTTGTTTTTACAAGAAATACTGGTTACACCAATTGACGCAAACCAGTTACACCAACTGACCATACTGCTTCTACAGTCAAGGTCATTGTTTCTTGAAGAAATTGTTGTTAGCTTCCTCCATTTATATTTGGAATAAACTCAAGGTACTTGTGCCCTAATCAAAGGATAACATACCACAGGCAACACTTTACATCTCTCTTCTTTACATCATGGCCATCACAGCACAAACAGCATTGCCACCTTCTATAGTACCAGACTTTGGCAGGCAAGCTCCAGGTAGTGACACGCTGATACTACCTCCCCTACCACATGGCCCCTAATAGCCGACACATCTAAAATGCAACTACTGGTGCCAATATTACAGCATACATACACATATTAGATCATAAATGTTTAAAGGTGCACTATGTAGATTTGGTGGTGAAATTTGAAAGTTGGAGAAGTGAAACAATTCTTTGATATATTTTCTGAACTGAATACACAAACTTTATTACAAGTATAAAATGGGTCCCTGGAACTCTGTTTGGAGATATAAAGCTACCAGGAGAGTTATGCTTTCACTGTTGCGGGCCAACCACCATAACTTCTCCAGTAGCATTTTATCTTCAAACAGTGTCACAGGGACCAAATTTTCATCTGAGGACAGTTTGTGTTTAGAGTTATGATGGACATATAACACATAATCTGTAAATTTATCCAACTTTCACACTTCTCTACCAAAACCACATAGTGCACCTTTATAAATGTAAGTAAATGGAACACAAATATGCAATTTGAAGCTAAACATTTACAAAATGCCAGGGTATTCTGTCCTAGACTCTTGATAATAAGGTTGTGGATGGATAACCACTTTTATCAACATAAAAAATACTGATATTTGACAAAAGTGGCCTCTAACAGAAAGGCTTGTCATAAATGTCAAATAGTGTAACCGGTTACACCATTTGACATTTCCACTTCAAATCAAATTTGACAGGTATTTCATTGAGACCTATGTAAGCACATTTCCTGGTGTGAACATTTCAAATCTAATTTTCGAAGTGAATACAAATTTTTATAATTATCATAAATTGTTAATGTTTTTCTGAGGTCATACCATTTGACATACCTGACCACGCCCTTAAAATGTCCAATTATCTCATGTTTAAAAGAGAGTTGCTAAACATGGCGTGCAGCAGTTAGGACCATCAGGAGTTCTTCTTTGTGATATCATTTCTTGTCACATGATATGATGAATATATTAACAAAATGGCTCCTTCAATGGTGGCTACACCATGTTGACAATTTCGTACTTGACTGGGTGACACGATTTTCCTAAAATAATATAATAATAAGAACAATAATGTTCCATTACTTTTATTTACTATTGAACAGTTCTATTGTAAGATTATGCCAGGCTAGTTCATAGGGTGTTATATGAAAATGTAACCTTTTTAAATCAAGTTTAATTCTTTGGTACAAAGTTTCAACGGTTACACCACTTTGACATTTTGGCCTATACACATTCTCTAAAAATGTATAATAAATATAAATTTTAGACTAGGTCCTCAAAACAAAGGATGAAAGCATGTCATCTGTGCATTTATTTTTAGATTTTAAGCCTTTAAAAGTTAACTAAACCTTATGGACACAAAAAAATGAGCGTCACGTCATTGACCCAGTTACAAATTCACCAAAAATAGACAGGAATTAAAAAGCCTACCAGACATCATGCCAACGTCTTTTGAGTTCTCTGTAATGCTCCGTAATAAACCTTTAATTTCCTTCATTACAATTCACACGACTTCCTCTCCCTACTCTGGTATTTTGTGTCCTCATCAGGATCGGGGCCAAAAACATTTGCTTGCAAAGGCTGTTGCTTCGTCAGGCCGACGGGTTTAGTTCTATTGAATGTTGCCTATGTGAAAAAAGGAAAAGGGGGATGGGGGGTGAATGGGCCCCTTGGGCTTGGTACGGGTTATGTCAAGTGAAACACAGACAACATTAGTTTTTGAAGTGATTGCACTTTAAGTTGAGTTTCTGGACAGGAGAAACTCCTTTCCATTCATTTCATAAGAAAAAGTTTCAGCAAGTGTGACAGCAAAAAAAAGAAAAAGAAAAAAGCAAGGGGTCAGAGATAGGACTGAATGAAAGAGTGAACTGTCTACACTGAAAAGTGATTGGAGTGTAATCTAGTGCCCTGTATCCTCTTGTTTATTTTGACATTTAAGACAAGAGAACCTGGGGTCAATCTCAACTGACCAGTTCAGGCTTGAAGAACAATTACAAACAATTAGCTTAGCTTAGCACAATACAGGAAGCATTAAGAAGCAGCAAGTCTGAGATTTCCCAGAATGAAACAAAACAGTGTAGCGAAAGAGTCGATCAAATACTTAAAAGGGGATATCCACCTGAAGAACAATGCAAGATGATAGAAGTGTACTAAGGGCACTTTTGACCCTCTTAATGATGGTGTTTTCACACATGCACAAAGCTTCTGAAAAACATCCTGCATTTTCTTTTCCACTGATTTGTCAATGGTGGGAATATATGTCGCTTTCTCTGCCAGCGTGTATTTCTGCAATTTACTTTTTTTAATATCATGTCTTCAGACCCCCCCCCACTCCTCCCCATCTCCCGTAGGACTTAGAAACTGCACACTGTGAAGGACATATGTGAACAAGCAACTCAGGAGGACTTCTGGGGAGACTGCGCTGAAATTTCAGGAGTGTGTGTGTATTAAAGCAGCTTGAGTTAGTAAGTCTTTTGATAGTCAGCAGAAAGAAGATATGGGAAATTTCCACCTAATGACCTCTCTTGGTCTCCTCTGAATCCTTTAAAAAAGCACCACATATTCCTGTTTTCTCAAAACGTCCCCGTCGAGACACACTTTCCATTTCCTCTGCTAATCAGTCCGCTAAAGCTGTTACAGTAGAAGCCTGAGTGAGACTGCGAGACTCCTGACTCAGCAAAAAGTAATCCCTGCCATGAGATGAGACAATCACCCGCAGAGACAAAGAGAGACAGAGGCACACCACGATAACACAAACTATCAGCTGTGCAGGCAGACTCAGCTGGCCCATTGTGTTATAATACCCCGCTCATTTCCTGTTGACCATTCACCTTTCTTAGCTCACAGATTCCTACAGGTAGTGCACGCCAATGGTCTACCCTGAAGGTGAGAACAATCAGATGAATTTCCCCTTGGATCATGACATGTGATGGGTTTCTGGAAAATCATTTGAAAGGCTTTCATTTAACAACCTGCGAGGCAGCTAAACTTTAGCAAAGCGGTGGTTGTGTTGTCAAGCAAAACTGAGAGAGCTCTAGCTGTGACACAACCACACTTGTTGTGTTTCCTGTTTGTAAAGTACAAATAGTGCAGATAGGACAGATAAAAGACCTAAGCGTCATTGCAGAATAAAAACAGGCAGACTGGAGACATTACATTTAAAATCACTACAGTTCTCAGTTCTTTTCTTCCTTTGGAACTGAGCCCTTCCTCCTCGGGGATAGAGAGGTGAATCTTATCAGACATGCACTCTTGAAAATCGTGTTGAAAAAAACATGCTGTTGAACAGATTATAGTATGAAGCTACTTCACTATGTGCACAACAATCACACCGTCACTCACTGCTTGCATGATTTAAAAGTTATCACCCCTGCCAGCTCGCTCATGGGGAATTTTCCTGATTATTACCTACCACTGTTTACACGTCGACTTTTACTACGGGGCTTGCAGGAAAAATCGTGAGAAAAAAAAAGCGTGGCCGGTTGCATCCACACTTGCATCTAACCCCAAAATATTAGTTCATTAATGTCTCCCGGCAACAAAGCCTTCTGCTCAGACAGTTCCCATTCAAAACAAACAAGTGGCAAACAAAGAAAGCCCAGAGGAAGTTCCAAGTTTGTCCTACCTTGTAAGAAAACAAATGATTGAAGGGAAAGGATTGGAAATGATTGAAAGTTGAAGAGAATGGACACGCAAAGAAGGTGAAGAGAAAAGCAGGCCTTAACAGGGAGGCAGAAGAGGCGATGTTTGTTAAATTTGTTTAATGTAATATTTTGGTGAAGAATGAAAAATCATAGTAAGAGAGAGAAGTTCAAACCATTGGCTCGTGTGCCAGATCGATGTTAAATGCAGGGTGGACGGTTTTTAAGAAGTGAAAGCAGTTCTCAGCCTCCCATAATTCCAGATGTGTTAAAAAAAAAAAAAAAGAGTCTCCAAGCCATTGAAGAAAAGCACTTTTGATACAACACACACATGGCAACATACAGCTGTACTGCCTATAGGAAACAGATCTCTGAAACATGAAGCATCTTCAGCTTTAAAAAAAACGCCAACACATAGGGCACGTGTCGTTTTACTGACTCCAACGTCCCAAAGAAAACATGAAACAAATAGTGCTTTCGCACATCTGAAAAAAAACTCCTGATATTTGCAGAAAAGCTGTGTGTGTGAACGCTAACAGCAGTATTTTTCACTCTGACTATATCCGGATTCTCCTGCCAGACTCTTGGTATTTCTTCCACATAAAGTCCATGTGAGCTGATGTGGGAACGCAGCAAGATATTACTCGGAGAATTCCCCTCGAGCCAGTAGGAATATTCTGTGACCCGAATCAGTGCATAGACTGTTGGCACGCGACTGCTGCGATCTCCTGCACGTTATTAAACGGCTGCATTACGTTTTCTGTTCTCCAGTATGTTCTCCTCTGTACAGTAGATATAACATAGACATAGATATCAAGGCAAATATTCTCAAACTAGCATCATAATCACCTCCACACCTTTTTTTTTTTTTCTTCGTCACCTCTTGCCTCAGGAGGCTGTGTTCTGTTCCCCTGGGATAGTCTCAATTGTCTAAATCTTCAGGTGTGCGTACGTGAAAACAGCTCAAGAAATAATTAAAGTGCATTTACTGTTCTCCAGTCAACACCCTTGTGCTTCTAATCTTGATTTGATCATCACTATTATCCAAACACTCTTTTAGATTAAGGTCTGTTGACTACACTGGGCTGTGGGGACTTGAGTCTCTATGACTAATCAACAAATCAAACATGTGTACGTGAAAACAGTCAAGAAATAATTAAAGTGCATTTACTGTTCTCCAGTCAACACCCTTGTGCTTCTAATCTTGATTTGATCATCACTATTATCCAAACACTCTTTTAGATTAAGGTCTGTTGACTACACTGGGCTGTGGGGACTTGAGTCTCTATGACTAATCAACAAATCAAACATGTTTGTACAGTTCCAACATAATCTGTGTATGATCACTAATGGTAATGAGTTTTATTGAGGCATGAAGGAATATAAGGGAGAGGAGGAGATGAGGAGGTGGAAAATAACCAAATAGAAGAGGAAGCAACAGGTAGCAAGGAAGCGGCCAAACCAAGCACACAACAGTCTTGACTTTGATCCAGCTTCACAAAGCTCTAGTTGCTGCAGAGGTGTGAGTTGGTGGTGTTGGTGGGGTTTCTACAACTGATGCTCCAGCTGTTGACACATGATAAGAGGGGCGCAAACCAATGTTGTTGAAGTGTGAGGTGTTAGCCTTGGGCTAACTCGGTCACATTGTCCAAAGCTGTCTGCTACCCTTGCAGCTTCTAACAAACCTATCTTTAGGGTTCTCACGGGCTCTTCTTATTTAGGAACAATGGGAAAGAACTTGTTTTTTTTCTGGAAAATCATTGCTTGTTATTAGAGGGGGTGGGGGACAGCCTTGTGTAAACCGAGGGTAGCGAGAGAGCCCCAACCTTGACAGATCACTAAGGCAGACAAATGGAAAACTCCCCACTGGGTTTCTGGCTCAGCTGAGGCATTGTTCAGACTCATGCTCTCGTTTTTGAGCCTGCAGAAGAGAAGAAAGGAGGACTGTGTGGAGCCTGCAGGGATGTGTCCACACACAGTACAGTAACACTGATAATGGGCTGATACTGGCCTGTGATATTACCACATCCATTAACCTCAAACAAAAGCTAATAACAATACAAGACGACAAATGAACAAGTCGCAAACCCATCATCAATATATTTAATCCATTGCGGGAATGTACTTTTCTGGATAGTCTCTGCACACGTCCATCCTCTGCACGGAGAGGTGTCAAAGTGCCTCCGATGTTTCTGCTGGAGGACAAAACCTATCCTCTTCACTCTGAACAAGCCGTTACTGCAAGAGATAACCTCTTTAAAATTCTGCTCAGGACTGCTTTCAAATTACTTTGAGCACATTCTCGGGGAAGCTGATCTCTAATGAATAGCAGGGGCCTGAGAGAGGGAGACGTTTAAAAACCAAGCAAAGGCAATCACGTTTCACAATTGTTTTGAGTTGCCATGAACTCCAGCTTCTTCACCACTCCCCCATTCTGCATTGTCTGCAGTTTCATCAGAGGGGAACAAATACAATATAATAAAAACAACCTCTGCTGCAGATTTAAAAAAAAAAAAAAAAAAACCCAAACAAACAGGAATAATGGGGCAAAACACAAACATGTCCACACCACAGAATGATGACATAACTACAAACCACAGGAAAAACAGACAGGCCTGCTAATCCAAGGAAGTGCAGCCTGCATGCTTTTTTTTTTTTCTCCAGTGACTAACACTTAACTGAGACTGTTCACATAGAAAAATAGGAACAGACACTTTAAATAACATGAAATAAATGAGTCTACAACTCTAGATGCAGTTCTTGACCAAGAAGAGTTACAGAGTTACTCGTCAAGGAGTATTTGGCCTGTACCGAAGTACACGTGTAAATCTGGCCATTATTCACTCTGACTAGTTTTTTAACTCAGAGGGATTGTTCATAAGGTGTTGCAAATCAACATGACACAGTGTGTCTGGTATGGACATGTCCGAACCTACTGTATCAACCAATACTCCGAGATAAATGAGTGCTGAAAGGTGCGGCTAGGCGTGAAGTGCTTGACAAAAACAATAATAAGACAAAGACTAAGATCTAATAAGACTTAATTTACCATGTCACTTTACATGACATGGATAACACATGTTTTCAGATGTCATCAGATCCCTCAGGCCTGCATGGGCTCTCCCTGTTGTCTTGTAAGCAGATTTAATACGATTTCTTTGTGACACTGCTACCCATTGTATGCGTCTGATAAGTACATCCTCAAGGACAGTAGACTTCAAGTCACAGAACACAGAGGAGGAAAATCGACCATCTTTATTCAAACTTCTTTGTAACTTAACGTGAGGGCAAGTAGCTGACTGCGGCCTGTATCAGTGGCAGCTTAAAGACAGATGTTGAGCTCTTCTAGCCATGTATATGTGGGGCAGCCAGAGCAATAAACAATTACATAACAATGAGAGGATATCCAGGGATTAACTGAGAACTGGTACGGATGCCTACATGAGATCCTGGCAACTCGCATTCTAACTGTTGGCTTTAGGAAAAAAAGGGTCAAGGGTTAAGACTGTGCAAGATAAACAACTTCCCCCCCCCCAAAAAAAAAAAAAACAGTTAGAGGTAGTGCATTTGCTTCAAGATGTTGCTTTTTTGTATCAATGCTGATGTTATGTTCAGAGGATGCAGCATGCATTAAAGGCATTCATCTCTGCAATTCACATCATTACATCATAAATGCATGGTAACATATGGGAGTAAAATGTGTAAAACTGCTGCAGGATTTTCTGAAGATTTTTAAGCAATTATGGCAGAAAACATTCCAGATGCATTCACATGCACTGTAAGAAAACCTTCCTAAAGCATACTGGCTGCTGTGTAGGTTTTCACAAGCTAAATATCTATCATAAACCACTATAAATTACCATCAACTACATGCATGGCAGTGTATCATTCATGGAGGCGGAGCAGGGCATGCACGAGCAAACAGCCAAAGAATAGCTCGGCCACCCAATGAATGAATAAGCACTGTACTAGTTTATCACATTTAGGCTAGCCGTCCGGGATTAAAGGCTGAGGAGAAACCGGAGCGCCACAAACATCTGACCCCGATCTTACCGTGTTCTGTTCCGGAGAAATATCAGTTTAATCAGGGGGTGTGTGAAATTCACAAGCCCACTCTTGGATATGCTGATGACTCGTAGCCTGTGGTCCAAAATGTGCAAGTCCATGTTGTCGCTTTGAAGCAGTGCAGTCTCCCCTCCTGTGTGCATGCAGCGGAGTGAGCGGCTCTCTAGCTGAGGGATATCATTGAAATGTTAAATGTAGGCCTGGGTGATGAGCATTGCGAATTACGACTTCAGCCACCACGTCCCGCTGTGCTCGACTCACAAGCCGAAAAACATCCGATGCAATCCGACTCCAGCCCATCTAAACTACTGTATATTCAAATAACAGGGACAGACCCACATATGACACGCCCCCTCCTCTTAAAGCTACAGGTTCATGATGTGAAATCATAGGCTGTCAATCTGTTTTATTTTATTAAATGGCAGGCAGAATGAAGTTAAAAAAACATGTTCATATACAGTCTATGGTAAATACTTCCGTTTGAAGCGTTTTTTGTCCATTGTTAAAAAGTAAATATGGGCTTCTGTGCACACCTTACTGCATTTTAAACCATTGAAATGTGTGTTATTGACCTAACTTTGTCAAGGTTTGAGCTACAGTTCGTATAAACTCAAATATAAATCAAGCAGTTAGAAACTTTAAGCTCATTCCCTAGTATTGCACCCTGACTTAGACATAGTGCAGCACACAGTCCCCAAAATGCTACCATCAAATTTCTTTTGAACACTCTGGTGATGTTTGTATGTATTGAACAAGAAACATTTATTGTGTTGATAAGTGGTTTCCATTCTCCCACCATCTTTACTAATGAACTGGTAGAGTGGGGGTCAAAGGGGTCCTTTGGGTGTGTGTGTGGGGGGGGTGTTATTTCTGAATCAGTCTGGGGGGATTTGAGTTGAATTATGCAAAACTGATTCAAATCAAATTGCTAAAACGTTTTTTTTCTGTTGTAGCTTTCATTAATCACACTGTTTCCATAAGTGAATAACAAAAGCCTAACTGTCATCTACTGTTATTTGCCCAGATAGAATGGGCAGCTACTGTTGTAGTTTATATTTTCCAGGAAAATAAGAGGGGTGCAGTACTTTTTATTAACCACTTAGTAGGAAAGTAAATATGCACATTTAAAAAAATGAAAACAATAATTTTAATGAACACACCGAATGCAAGCTGTTCATGCATTCAATGATTTTCTGTCATTTCTCATATTGTAAGACAGTTTGGTCTCATGCGTCACCCTCCACAATCAGAAACCTCTCCTCACTTTACAACCAGGCCCTGAAATCACTGTCACATACTGAAAAGACACAGCCTACTTAGTTTTGAGAGCTTTATGCATTTATGTTTTGTCAAACTACTTTTTAAATGTATCAACAATCAGGCCCCTGAACCTCGCTCCATATGTGCAAAGACAGGACCGTAACAGGGTAACAACAAGCTCAGTGAATGGAAACTGTAACATACAACATCTAAGATCTACATTTGGACAATCAGCGTTCCCAATCAAAGGCTGTCAACTCTGGAACACATTACCAACTGAACTCAAATTCTCTTCAATTCTTTTACAAAAAAGGTGACATGCTGGCTGAAAGCAAACCAGAGATGTACCCACTTTTAAATTGTATCTTAATCTGTAATATAAATTGTTTTATGGAGGATTCTGTATTGTCATATTGTTTTATATATGTATTTAATGTATCATCATATAGTGTTATGTGGCTTTATGTGATCGAATGTTGTACATTTTTACTCTGTTTACCTAAAGGCCCAACGAGGGACAAGAGCTGGAAATTAGCAATAGCTATTAACTCTCTGTGCAGCACTGTCATGCTCTGTATTGAAAATATGTTCAACTGCATTGTCCCTATAAAGTAATTAATTCAATAATGTGAGAGCATACAGTAATAGTATGGGAAAGTGATACCCAACCCTTATTAACTTGAATTATCTTATTAAAGCAACATACTGGTTACTCCTTATCACAATGTGCATTTCTTAGAATAGTGAAAAGTTCATTTGATTTTTCAACCCAAAGATTATAATCTAAACATGATTTCAAGAGGTAATTTCAAATAAAGAATTTAGAAATTAAACTTTTTTTGTACCCTTTGCAACCATAAATAATCACTGTGGGGGTTGCGACTTTGAAGCCTGGATTATATCAAAAGCAGCATGCCTACAACAGTGTTACAATAGTTTTGGGGGTGACTTGTTACTGTGTCTACATATGATGCACACATAAAGTCAATATAAAAACGTTTGATTGTTGTGGAAGAATTTCACCCAACTGTAAGAAGCTGGACCTTTACCCCATCCAATCTACTTAAATGCCGACTTCAATCCAGACCTTTTCTCCCAATATAGGTAACCAACATGACCTTTGTGCTTCTGCATGTGATCAACTCCCTCTAGACAAGTTCAGGTGGGAGGCCCTCGCAGAAGAGGCGAGCCAGTTCAAGCAGAATTTGATGTAATTATGTCATCTTTTTATACTTAGCTTGCACCGTGGTTCAGAGGGAAAGGTTTTTTTTTTTTTTCAATTCTTCTGTATATCCAGCACCTATAGAATTTTTTTTTATATATATTATTTTCTCTTAAATAGCTTCAAACCTTTTCCCCATTAAATAGTTTGGATTGTTTAACATAGTCTAGCTTTACTGAGCTTTATAGTGAGCTTTAAGTGGAAACTAGACTAGAAGTTCAAAATGTATGTTTCATCACATTCTTGGTCTTTAGAACACTTTGAGAAAACAATGCTCACACTGGTATGGGTTTCTCAACTTTTATTTTGAAACACATACCACTTCACAACACGTTACCGTTATTTTTGCTGATTTCAATCAGAGATATGATCAGATATAGGTTATTGATTGAGGTAGTCTTACAGGTTAAATTTTATCCGACATAAAATTCAGTCACAACTGAAACTCTCAGTATGACTTGTCCAGAGTGATTCATAATCCAGTCATATAAGTGGAATCATAAACGCCTAGATGGAGAAGATTCTTTTCATTGTGAAGCACAAAAACACAATCCATTAAAGTAATTAATTCTAAAAGATACAACCCTTAAACATACCACACCTATCTATTCATGTAACACACATTATTTAGCATTTATAATTCCACTGTTCAGTTTTATTATTCCTTTGTTTCATGTTTGACCTCAGCTTTTTGAAATGCAGGGGTTTCAGGATTCTCAAAAATACAAACACACATACACTGCATCCACTGGATGGCTGCTGAAGATTTACAAACGTTTTGGTTTACAGACATGAACATGAACATAGATCATCAAGAAGATAAAACATATAAAGATGCTGCTTCAGCAGTCAGTAAATTAGTTTAGTCAAGAGAAGCTCCCCATTTCAGTCATCTTCTTATTGTAAAGGTGAATCCTTGGTGGGGATCATTATTCTAGACTCCATGCTCCTGATCAAAGGCACTGAAGAAAGAAAAACAAAAATGTGTTTACCAGTTTAAGATGAACTTGTAATACATTTTAAAAACATGGATCCACTTACGTTAAAATGCAATAACCAGAAAACAAAACATCTTGTCAGTTTGAAAATGACTGTGCTATTAATAAGCCAAGAATGTGTGAGTCTACAGCACCAGTAATTAAAGTGCTAACTCATGTTGTATTACATTACACTCATTACTACATCTACAAGCGCTGTGTGTGGGGATCATTCTGGTGATGCCATACATATACAGATACATGGGAAAAATGTATATACATATATATTGCAATAAAGTGGACATACTTCCTATACATTTCAACTTTCTTTAAAAGAAGAAAGGTTACAGAAAGTTTTAATTTCATATAGAAAATGACTACGTGTGCAGAAATCTTTCTTTGTAGAAAACTAGAAGTTTACCTTGCACTACTTTAAGTGCAGTCTGAGCAGAGGAATGACATTACCCTTTATATTAATTACAAAACCTTGACTTAGCATGTCAACTAACTAAAAACTTATCTTGAGAAGAGTTCATACAGCATTAAAGCATTTCAAGTTTAGCACTACTTCCCTACAACTCTAGTATCTATATGCTCACCTGCTCACTTTGCTGCTGGTGCTACATGGCTGCTCCTGATAAATGTATTTTGTCTGATCCTGCCTTTCCTTAGCTTCAACCTGTGGGCTCTCTTCTCTACAGTTCCTGAGGGGCTCTGCACTGAGCTCTGTTATGTTGCTCAAAACGTTCCATGGGGGTTAATGGTCGGGTAACATTTGTTTTAAAGCGGCCTGAAGCATGTTGCTTTTGCAAGTTACCAAAGCTCCTACTTGGCAACTAATCTCTTAGTGTATAAACAAACCAGTGAAGTTAAACATAATTGTATTGTGTGTACAAAAACATCACCAGTAAGAGATATTATATACTGTAGTGTGTAGTCTGTCAGATATCTGCTTGTGAAGTTCACATTGCATACATCACCCTTTATTAAAAGGTAGATCTTTTTCTTGGGACTTTATATATGGGCAGTTTGCATTGCACCTACCTGTATAATAAACATTTGCATCCCATCCCTGCTTCATCCAGGCAGAGTTCCTGGTCTCCTCCCGGGACTGAAGGCTTTCATATGCTGTAAACAAACCACATGTTATCAGGTGCAGATACATTATCCATCTCATGTCAAACAATTACCTATAAAAACGTTTCAAAGTTATTTAATGGCAGCTTTATTTCATAATCACAATCTTTCCTCTATAATATGTATGGAGGGCACCCTCCTTTAATAGACCATCAATTGGATAAGAAAATAACCCAATAATCTATGTATGTGGAGAATTTGGAGGAAACATCAGGAATAGGAATAGATGCAGGGCAGACATGTAGGAGATATGAAGTGTCTAGAATTGACCCATGAAAGGAAAATATGGACAACCATGATGAAAATAAATTACAGATAAATCCCAAGTAACACTGGAAACGGTAGCAGAAAAAATATTCCATGGTTTCGTCACTCATCTCAATGGAGCACCTCCAAAACATTCATTTTGAAATATATAGCCGGGGGAATTTTTTCTACGGGGCTGGCAGGAAAACTTTGGCTAAAGTTGAGTTGTTTGCATTCGCACATGAAACTTTCAGGACTTTTGTGTATGTGTGAATACAGCATTAGTGTAACATACTCACCCCACAAATGATGAACAACATACAAGTCGCCGATCTGCGAGAAGAACCCTCCCACTGCTTCTTTGTTTTCCTGTCTGAACTTGATAGCCCTCGCCCTGATGGAAGACAAATAATTTTATGTGTATAATAATCAAATATGAAATAAGAATGTTGGTGCTGGAAAAAGTAGTTTCGAGAATTTGTATTATTTATGCAAATTAAGGTAGATAAGCCATACCAGTGGTTTCCCCATTCGATCATAGTTCCTGGCTGAAAAACAAGAACGGAGGTAAAATATGAACACAGTTTAAAAACTAAAACTGCACCCACACAGAACTCTTCATGCCATGTACACATAAAGCCTACTCAGTCAAAAAGCTGCAGACAGACTAGTTCAACAGCTCATTCAGAGCATGTGTACAATCCAATCAAATGTATAAGCCGGCACACAGGAAGAACTTCAGTGTTGGCTGCACACAGATTCTGTCTTAGCAATGTTTCAACAAATACAATGGGCACTGAGGTAGACAGCTCTCTGTTTAACACGTGTATTCTTCTATCAATAAGTAAAATGCACTTGAGTGCAGGAGTTACCACATACATTGTGTCAGTGCTGATCAAAGAGCTTAAATATTTCTGCTTAATGGAAAGATAATTGGCTTTATTCTTTCAAGGAACAAGACAGCCTAATGTATGGAAATATACTGTATGTCAGAGATCATTGGAAAGTTGGTACTGTGTTAAGATCAATAACAAAAGTTTCACTACTATACCTGACATAGTCGAAGATTTATCATAATTCTAATAGCAATATACTCCTAGGAAACCTGCCTTTTTATCAAAGCAAAGAGGGGTCCTACCTCTTAATGACAATGTTAATAACAATGGCTCATCCAAAATGCAGACAACTCTTTCAACAACAAGCAATATTTTTTCTATGTTGATTATCTTTTTAACTTTTGGGACTTACAATAAACACTTCAGGTACTTTCAATCATCTTTATACGCCTCTTTTAGCACACAAAAAGTTCCAGCTCAGCTTAGCAAATTGCTTTCCATGCTGTCACAGCTTTGTTTCAACCCGACAAAAGATTTTCAATGGAAATCAAATCCAGTGAGTGCAATTTACACGCCGAGCAGATTACATTCTTCTTGGAAAAAGTCCTAGTATATGAAAGAGTTTTTTTGTCACACAAGGTTCTGGTTCCAGTTTCAAAAGAAGCCTTAAATTTGACTTTGGTTGTGCTATTAGCTTGAAGTGAAGTGTGACGTGGTTTCTGGCCATGAAGTCCTTACATACATGTAGTGTTTTTCTAAAAATCTGTTCTGCTATCGCCAGATCCTCCTGCAAGTCTTTGGCAGTGATACAGGGATGTTCTCAGCTGGTTTAAACATTACAATCCCTTAGGAGATACTTTGCACGTTCTAGACTTCATACATTTTCATGTATAAATCTTCACACACACTCAGCAGGGTTGAACACTTTCAATTAAGACTTTATGGAATGGATTGTAATTAAAGAAAGGAGAAATGTCAAACAGCTCCTTTAAGAACCAGTGCTGAATTATTGAGTGTGTAAAGTCTGATGAAACTAAAACATTATTGTGGTAATGCAGTTTCAATGTGTAATATCTAGTACGGTGATACCTTGAGATTATAGGTACGCATTTCATAGATGTTGGGTCCTGGTCTTGGCATAGGTTCATTCCAGAAACTGAACTCGAGGAGGAGCTGATTTCGTCTTGAAATCAACATTTTTGCCCTTTCTTTTCGAAACTCTAAATACTCCTGTACAGAAATGAAAAAAAAAAAGGTTTACTATATATACAAAAATATTCTTAACAGTTATTTTTGTACTGATAAACTGCAGAGTCAAAACTTATAACAGTGTTACATGTTCATTACATATCAGTTTTTCTCAGCTCTAATGGGACTTCTTTAGATTTTGCAATGAAATCTCTATTTTACAGATTAACAGGTAAAACATAAGAAACTATAACTGCAGACCTTGTTATCATTCAGCTTGTTCAGGCATTCAGTCAGGGCTGGGTAGCCTCCTCTGTATCGCCATAGGTGCACTGCCAAAACAGAACAGCAGATGTCACTGTAGCTCTGTGTAAGAATTGATGCCAAGCACACAAACACAGATTACAACTGTGCCTTCTGCACCTTCACTAAATGTTTTCTCTGAGCACTCATAATGGAAATAATACACTGTATATGCTCAGATGTAAAAGGTGAAGTGTTGCCGATGAGTCGTCTGTACATGTTTCTGTGATGCTCTGCCAGACAACTCACAGCCACATTGCAGCCACTCAAGTTAAGTGTTGTTGTTCATAAGGCCTTGAGACAGAAAAATGTATCTAGTCCTCTTTACAAACACCAACACTTTCCATCATGATTTCTGTGTATTGGTTCTCTCCTGCTTACCAGCTTGGTCCTGTTCTCCATACCAGGTGTTCCAGCTTCCCACCACCTCGCATGGGTAGTCCTGGTCCTGATGGAGCCTGTTTTGCACCTCGGCCCTAAAGTCAGCATCAAAGAAAATACAAAATCTTTTCACATTTATAGTATATTATAATATACTCACTTAACAACAACGGCCAACTAGAGGGCACTCAGAAAGCACAAAGTCCACAATTATCCAACAATGCTGATACACCAAAAAATACATTCATTTTATGATTTTAATTTAATGCTCTATTAATTTTATGAACCTAGAAGAAAACCATGGAATAAAGTCCATCTCTTCAATTCAGGAAATTCTTAAATGGGGCGGTTGTAGCTTCGTAACAAATCCCCAACCTTCTGGTAGTGTTGGTCGTCTCTCTACCAGAAGGTCGGGGGTTTGAGCCCCAGCTCCTGCAGCTACATGTCTGATGTGCCCTTGAGCAAGACACTTAACCCTGAATTGCTTCGTCAGCGGTGTATGAATGTGTATGAATGGGATTAGTTACTTCTGACGGTCACTTTAAACAGCAACCTCTGGCATCAGTGTGTGAATGGGTAGTTGTGATTCGCGGTGTAAAAGTAAAAGTCTTCTTTCTGTAAAAGTAGAAAGAAGACTAGAAAAGCTCAAGTCCATTTATCATTTAAATTGTATCCTCCTTAACTTAAAGCAAAAGGCACCTCGTTGGTTTAGTTAAAAGCAACTTAATCAAACCATCAAAGGATTTAAAAATGTATTTTCACAATGGACTTGATGCAGGAAATATATAAAACAGTGAACACACTTACTCTAAACTGTTGTAAGCTTCCAGGCACTCTGGTTTGACGTTGTGAACTGAAAAGAACAAAAAGCCAGACTTAAGAGAAATGGGGGTGTTTTTTTTGTGTCTTTTTTTTTAAACACAAGCAACAATCAAATTCTTCAACGAAGTAATTTCACACTCCGATTCAGCAAAACCGTCAATTCACAAAAAGCTGATTTGCTTTGTGGGTTATGGGCTACAGCTCAGGGAGTGTGGAATTGAAATCCCTACATGGTGAGATGTACGCAACAAAAAGAAAAAGATCAAAGCTTGGGGAAGAATGATAGACTTCTCCACAAGAGACAGACCGGCAAAAGTTATCACAAAGAGAAGACCAGACAAACTGTATTGATTTCACTTACAAAGCTTTACAGGCGAGATACATCAAATAACATGCTGCTGCTTTGTGTTGATAACAGAAAAACGTGTAACAGTGCTCGTCTTTCAGCCGACTTCAGTCTTCTCTGGAGGTCGCTGAGGCCAGTGCAGATTGAATTTGATTAACATGATTTATTTATCGGTTATCTCCACAAACAGAAAACTGCCACAAGCACTGTAGAGACTCAAACCAGAATCCATTTCATTAACTTATAATGTAACTGCATCATATTCACTTGCATATGACCCTCTGCAACCTAATTACTAGGAGTAAGTAAAATACTGTTTGCTTACATTGAATTTTATACAGGTTGCTGGTCTCTTTCTTAGACAACAGGTTGGAGTGGGCATCTTTCCTGGCATCCACTTTGTGCACGAATAAGGAACGGAACCAGCTTTTGTCAGTGCTTTCTGAAATCCTCCTACACAGAAACGAGATGAAAGAAAGTTTCATGAAGGCTCAAAGCTACAACATAAAACAAGGAAGTTATCGATGTAAGAAAGACTAACTTAAAAGGAACACGAAGATGTGCGTGACATAAGGGCTAAAAAGATAGTCATGCTAATGTACTTTGATATGAGAAACGTGCATACTGTATGAGTGAGTGGGCTGAATGCCATAGCTTGTGTCTTCAGCAAGAAACTTTTTGTCACCCTCTCTGAAGTGGATAAAAGAGGGGAATATCTCTGACTTTAAGAATCACTGTTATTTCAATCCGTTTTTGATCACACATAAATGTCCCTCAAAAATCACAGAGCAAAAAAGTAAGACTTGAATCTGTTGTGTGTTCTGGATGTTCCCAAGAAAGTCAAATCAGAGGAAACGTATTAGTCACATTAAAGTAAACAGGGTCTATGCCGGCCAGTATTTCTAAAAAAAAACCTAAGTAGATCAACCTAAGTATTTAGGATGCATATAGCTCATATTTGAGAACCAGATATTGCAAAAGTGGGCGAAATGTGACTCTTACATTATGTAAAGATCATTTTTTAATTCAGCGAACATAACTTGATCAAATTGAAAAACAAAAAATGGCATTCACATGCTGTTATATAGTAGTTCCTAAACTCATAGCCAAGGACATTTTAATGACTTCCATTGGTATTTATAAACTCATCGTTTTGTCATAATTCTGCAACCACTTTAAAGCTGCTTAAATGTCAATATTGAACTCTATTTCGGTTTTTGTTTTTCCTCCACAGGATGTGAAATGTTAAACCAAGAACAGCCCAATGAGAGTAGTTTATGCCCACTCATGGATTAGGAAGATATATAGTACATTTTGAGCACATGAAAAGGCCGTTTGTCAATCAAAAACACTTTCTAAGTGAGGCTTTAATTTGTTTTCCCAAAATCCAAAAAACTTTCAAGGTCAGTGGGACGCCTCTTTTAATAACCTTATTGGCAAATGGCTTTAATTGCAAGCTATAATTATAAATTAAATTCCCCTGGCTCCCTGTCAAAAATAGCAGCATAATTTAAGCAGAAAACGTGCTTTTGAATGAAGTCAGCCACAGAGTGAATGCAGACATAGTGTAAGCACAGAGGAGAAGTCTACCAGCAGTAGTTACATGTCATGTAGCTTTACAGGACAAAGTTCAGAAGTCCAGCAAATGATTAAAGCTGGTTTGGAAAACTGCCATGTTGTTTTGGAAATAATGACCCTTGTTTGTCACATTAAGAACATCATGCAATGCAAATATCTCACCTTAGTGTTGCGACCTAGAAATATTTGTATGCAATTCAATTTGACAGAAGAAAGCACACTACACTACAAGTTAGAAAGTACTGTATATAATATTATTTCACATTTGTTTAATTTGTTAATTAATAAAATAAAAAAAACATACAGGTACTGTAATGTCATGTTAGTTTACACAGAAATTAAAAAGTTGTTATTAACTCTAATTCATCTTCAAAAACAAAACATGTGGTCTAACTAAGTTGATGAATTGCTAGCTGGGGAAAAAACCGCATAAAGTTTATGTTAATTTTAAGTTTTATGCAGGAAAGTAAACTCAGGAAATTCTATTAAATGCTTGAGTTGTGTTTTTTCTCACTGAGGACAGGATGGTGTCAAAATCCACCGCGAGCCTTTCAGGTGATCAAATCTGACATTACACAGGCCTTACTGCTTAGCAAGCTGGTGTTTACTAAAAGATTAAAAAAAATGACTTTACCTGGTCGATTGTTGCAGATTCAGAGAATACTTAAACATTATTTGTCCTTTAGACCAAACAGTACTGTTGGTCGCCATGTTGCTCTTTAAAAACTTCTTCTGAACGGCAAAGCCACACTGGTCTCTGGTTAATGTTTACCTCCCTGTCTGTGGTGGATTATGTATGACGGCTAATCCTGTCAAATACCTGCGAAGTAAGTGAGCCCGCCGGTGGTTTTAAAAGCACGCGTGACTCTGTGACGCAGCACGTAGTGATCAATGAGCACAATCGATCAGACCTGATAAGTTGATTGTGACTTTCGGTGATCATCCAAACTTTAAGATCCACCACGAAACAATACATCATTTATGCACTTTACTTTAGTGTAGCCTAGTAATTAAAAAATATAACTTCTGACATTAAAAGTAAAATGTATCAATAATAATTAGCACAATAATAATAATAATAAAGAAACATACCTGTAATAATGACGAAAGCATTTTACGTGTAGCCTAATCAAAATTGAAGTTACACAGACCAAATTATATTATATTCATACATTTAATGTATTAACAAATTATTATTTAGAAGCAAAATATTACTCATATGGAGACCCCCTTGCAAAAACTAAAATACTTAGGTAGGCCTAAAAATCTTCAAGGATTTCCTTGCAAAGGAGAAAAGATAAAGTTTCCTTCCTATGAGCAATGAAGTTTTCAAAAAGTATATAAAGAAAAAGAAAATCATGTACGTCAACATTTCATAAACCTTCTTTTCATAAATGTTTTGCTACACTTTCAATGCCTACATTTAAAGATTAAAAGCCAAACAAGCCAAACTATATACAATCTAACAAACACACAGGCACATTTCATTTGTTGAATACAATTTTACTATTGATACAATGATTTTATTGTGAGTCTGTGTGGGAAGGACACGTCTCCAAATGACAGCTTACTGTATCAGTAACACTGTTTGAGTTGTCCTGCTGCAGTAAACAGGTCTCTTATCTAATAGTGGACTGTTCTTTCAAAGCTGGTCGCTCTATTAGACGAGTCATGCAGTACTTAAATCCTTTTTGTGCAACCCACTTTCACTTCTTTTCATACACAATGCGCTGCTCTCTGATCCTCTCTATCATTCTACCCACTGGCATTATATAACATCAAATCAGATCATACCTAAAAAGAATACCTGTCTTGTGCCTGCGCTAAATGGCTTTATCAACACCATATTTAAGCCTGCACACGTGGTGTATATGCTATTTCTTTTGGTAAATGAACAAAGCACTTCTGAATCATCTTAATTTTCACTTGATTGGGTATTTAACAAGATTTATTTGATATAAAACCATTTCACGCAGGAATATTCTCTAATGGCTCATTTTACCAAAATTACTTCTTTTTGTAGTTACATCCTCGCATCCCATCACATCACTCCTTTCATTCATCTATCGTTAGAAATGTCCACGGGGCTTTGACAAGACTATTTGCATCTTTCCTAGCATTTCCATCATTTACTCTTCTTTTTGCACACAACTTAAAAACACGTTTCAGGCTTTTGCTTTTCTGAATGTGCCAAATTTCTCCCCATGATTTACTGTAAGCGAAGGAAATATTTCTTTCACCGCAGCATACAAGTCTTCAAAATCCTGGTTCACTGTGATGTCCTTGAGAAAAAGATACACAGAAGAGCAAGTGAATAGGTTGGAGGGGGAGGATCTGCAAAAAGTCGTATTCATGTGTAATATGTGTGACTTACCCAAAAGTCTAGTGTCTCCATGGCTGAATCTGGGTTTTCCTGTACAGACTTGAGGATCCCATAGCACCCAGCACTCTGGATTGGGTTCCTACCCATCTGGCAAACAAAGAAAAACACAACAACACTTTGATAATAGTATTGGCACAAGTGTCTCTGTCATTATGCTTATGATTCAATGTGAATGTTCTGGCATTTTCTGCAAAAACTTATGAGAAATTAAATTTCACTCTTACACTTTTCTGTACAAGTCCACAGCTAGCAGCATCTTGGCATAGCTTATCACAGAGAACAGTGACAGAGGGTATAAGAGCCTGCCTCTGTTCAGTGGTAATCACTTCTCCCCAAAGCACCTCAATGTTAGCATGTTAGCAAGCAAACAGATTGTATCCCCTTTACTTGAAGTGCTCTCAGGAATACTTTGTTCAACTTTTGGCTGAAGTACCTTCCTTTTATTTCTAATTCTTTTTTTTTTTTTTTTTTGTTAAAATGTAAAAAATAATTTGATTTGTCTTTTCTTTATAACAGTTTTTGTTTTTCAGAGTGCAGCCAGACAGATTTCATAGCTGTTTCAACAGAGAAAGGCTCTTTCCCCTTGCTATGCTAGGCTAAGCTAACTGCACGCTAGCGGCAGCTTCTTATGGACCGTAGGTTGGTATTAGTCGAGGATTCTAAGTAATTCTCCTGCCCAAAAATGTTGAGCTATTCCTTTAAATCTTGAAAAGCAGTTTTAGATGGAATTTAGCAAGTCCCGGCCACTTATGGTACATCTTCTCATTGATGTAATAGGCCTATAGCTAATATCAATCAGGTTTAATGCAGTGGAAAAACAAAAAAAACAGGTGACAACTTCACAATTCAATTGCCTTGATACAGATTTTGTTCTGTCTTTGAACTTTTGAATCTTTTATGCAATTGATAAAGAAATTAAATTGTTACTTCACCAAATTGAGTTGTTCACAGAGAGTTGTTTAGCAGAACACCCAAACAGAATTTCAATTCAAGAGTAAACATCAGGTTCTCAGGCTGTAACGTAATTTCAGCGCAACTTTTATCGATAATGTCTTTTCTAACACGAACTTGTATCAGGATAAAATAAAGTCTCTGAACTCTGCTTGAAGTCCACATTAGAACTCAGAACAATGATCTATTTATTCATCTTGTTTTATTTGCTGATGCCCCCCCGTTGCTTTAAAAGCTCCAAGCCATCTCTCTCGGAAGCTTACATTCAGGGATTTGATTGTCTTGTTTGCTTTGAGGCCCATGGCTAGTCGCATAGCTCCTTCAGGGGGTATTCGGTTGTTACTGTTGAGAGAAAAACAGGAGAAGAAGTGGGTTGGCGTGTGAGAAAAGTAATCATAAAGTGTTATCTTTTAAAAGCACTTTTCATCAGTGTTGCTCACATGTATATGAATTGTGAAGAAAGCTTTGTTTTGCTTGAGAACTAAAGAAGAGGCAGTTCAAGTTTTCAGTTTTTTTTTTAATAAGATTTATTAGAAAAATAAAAAAACCTGGTGAAGCAATATGGCCACAAGAAGTCAAATAAAAACAAGTTTAGGTAAGCTTTGTCTCACATTAAGACCCAAACAGGATTTAACGAATAACGTGATTTACACTCATTGTGATCTAAAAGAATCATCTCAACCAGAGTTGTTACTTTAGCCCCTTTTTAAACTCACTTACTGTAGGATAATCAGACACAGATAACAGGTCCATACCTCACATTCAGCTCCTCTAAAACACTGTTTTCTTTCAGAGCCTGTCCTAAAGCAACGGCTCCTTCTTTACCGAACCCATTAAACGACAGATCCACGCTTCTAAGGAAAATGTTTCCCTACAAAAAAAAAGAAAGAAAAATGATTTCATATGCAATACCAAGGACATTCAACAAGTTCACTAAAAAGATTAACCAGAGTCCAAAGGCTCGACTTGATTTAAAGTGAGAGAGCTAGAGATTCTGGAATAATAAGCCTCTCAGGACCTGAATCAATCAAAGCTGTCAATGCAGCTTACTGATCAGGGTCCTCTTGACCAGTTTGGTCATTAAGGAAGGCTGCTTCTACACTGTCTCTCCTGCTGGGAGTTTCTTAATGAACACTTGACCAGAGGGCTGGTTCACAAAGCAGGATAAACAAGTTAGCCTGTTTTTCATATACAGCTCTCCTCTCTATCAACCTGCATAACTGAATCATGTTTTGTTTAGAAATGTCTGTCTCCATTGACATCATAAAAACGCTAATTTGTTGTTGATGGTGGGGATGATGATGGCGGCAATAATGGCAGTGGATGAATTCTGGATGAATATTGTTATCATTGCTATTTATAATTATTATTATTATTATTATTACTTTTTTAGTGACTTTGTATTTGTTTTTCTCCGTCTTCCCACTCTGACTTTCCATCCAAAATCTTCATACCCCTCCCTCACCAGAAGGTCTATTAAACACTTAATTACACACGCACACACGCACACACACACATACAAGTAAAACATGAATTTACCCCTTTTCTGGCCTGTGCTCACTGTAATTGTCTCTTGTGTTGTATCGTAAGTCTCTTGTCTTGCAATAATAAAAAATTTAAAAAATTAAAGAAATTTGGAATATTATCAGCAGAATTCTCTATCCTGTTTTTAGTCAGCTAACTTTCTTATTAATCCTGGTCACGGGTAGACCTAATGATTCATTATGAATTTCAATATACCAAATTGACTCTTGAGACAGCAGTGGCTAATTGCTTAATGACTAGGCATGGGACGGGCCTGTCTAACTTCATATATCTCCACATGTCAAAGACGTGCAGGGCTCGTAAGAACGTACCACTGATGAAAAGAGTTCGGAGGGTGATACTTTTTTGTAAATCACTGACAAAACCTCAAACACACAAATAAATGTGTTAGAAATGGTGGAATCAACGTTTTTATCTGCTCTAATGTAAACTGCAAATGCAATTCTGATTCTGATACCTAGGTTTGAGGGTCAGCCAATTTATGAGTACTCCTCTGATATGATCAAAACAATATTGTTAGAAAATGTATAGCTGAAACTTCACTAGCTTTAAGTAACAACACTGTCTCTGCTAGCACCATGGTGCTCGTATTTATTACTGTTCCACACAGTTATCAATCTGCAAACAGCTTTTTGGTTATGGTACAGGTTTGATACATTGACTTGAAACCTCATCAATAACCAACACCACATTTTAGGCTTTATTAGAGGCTTTTATCGAATCTTTAACTGGTCTCAGAACAACTTATTTTGATGGTTTCATCTGATATAAGCTAAACAAACCATACTGCTCTCAGCATCCACGTTATCAAAGTCAATGTTATTCTGTATTGTTGGTGTTCAAAATCTAAAATCAGTCTTCAAACACTGATTTTTCAGGTGTATTACCCCAAGGCCATTGGCCAGCAGCACAGCTCCTCTTCCTCGAATGCAGTTCCAGGCCAGACTTAATGATCTTAATCCGGTGTTTTCTGACAGACAGTCACCCAGGATTTGCCCTTTTGATGAGAAACGAAACGAGGGTTAAGGCATTATGACAAATGAAAAGTTCCATTAGGTAATAATTCAAGACAATGTCTAATAACCTTAGTTAATTATAACAACTAGTTGGTCAGTGTCAGTCATAGGAGCTTGTGACAACTGTTTGGCATCCAGACTGGTGCGCAGGAAAGACATATCAAATGACAGATCAATTTCAGATATTTTACAAGTACTTATTAAAATCAAACACTCGATTCTACACTCTCTGTGTGTATCTTATCTCCTCTGAGATGGTGGGATTGTGTGTTTCATAGCCTAAAAGCACCAGTGAGTAAGGGCTGACGTAGAGATCACAAATAGAGAGCTCCTTGTTATTATCTCACCACTTTATTTCAATGATAAGAAAGTGCATGGCTCTCAGTGGTTCATAATCACAGAAAAAAAAAAAGCTCTCACTGTGCTCGGTTGAAAAAGCAATATCACCATAGCATTGGATGTCAGAGTGTGAGATTGGTGTACTTTCTCTGCGGGACCCACTGTATGGAAGTGCGCACTCAAACCAAATGAGGATGTTCTTCGATATGTCAGCAGAGGAGGAAATAGAAATGAATATGTGGGGAGGGATCAGAGACGCACAAACATCAATAAGACATTGCGGTGCCCCCTTTCCTACAGACAGATTTATTTTCAATTACCTACATCAGATGCTCAGTGCATCCTGGTCTGCTGTCCTCCCATAGGTTGTCTGTCACAGAGCTCATCCCCAGCATAATTGAAAGAGGTTTTAATGAAGGGGATATCTTCTTGACCTTTGAATGCCACAGTCTGCTGCTGTCTGCTGTCCTGTGACTGCTCAGAGATAAGGCTGCACTATATGGAAAACTACTGGTGGTTTTATGGCGATGGTTTTGACAAATCTATAACAGTAGATACCTGCACGGCATTAAATCTGTCTGCCCCTTCATAGTAATTGGTTCATTTATTTACTTTAATTTGTATTGTGCGGAGGGCGTATCCAAACTTCTGAGTCAAGCTCAGTTAATGTGGCTGACATATGCAGCGGAGTGGTAATAAATAAGTCCTCTGTGATTCATTCCTGAAGGATTCCAAATATAGATTTTGCTCCAAAAGTCACGAGAAGGTACTAAAAAATGAATATTAATTTCAAATGAATGCTGGGTCCTCAAACATGCACAGGCTTTCCAGAGGTCAGGTATAAATGAGTTCTATGGTTAAATGTTTTCTGTCTTACCTGCATGATCTCCCAGAGCGTTGTAGCTGAGGTCGAGGTGCTGCAGCTTTATGTTGGTGATCAGTGCTGGACCAAGGTGTTCAGCGGACCGGTCTGTGACATGGTTTCCTGATAGATTAAGGCTCATGAGGGTGCTGTTCTCTTTCAGCATAACAGCAATGGCTCTTACCCCATAATCCCCAAGTTTGTTGTCAGAAAGGTCCAATTCTGAGGTTGACACACAAGTGAACAAAAAAAAGGCAGATTAAAAAACAACGAAATGACGACAGAAAAGCTGATTCATTCACAAATTCATTTAAAGGGAGGGAGGACAGAGTTTTATCCACAAAATGTTAACATTTGGTAACATTTGTTGAGTGTTTGCTGATTGGCTTACTTTTTACAAAAAAAAGGGGTGATCATATCCAAAACTTTTGACCACTTCACCTTTCCCTTTCATTAGTTTTGAGTTAGGTTTCATCAAAAGGCTCAGGAGTTTTTTAAGTCATGGTTCTTTGACATCATCTCCTCCTTTTTGAAGTAATGCCCTTTGGGAGGAGAGTAAACCGGAGCAAAACTTCAAATTGGAGCAGTTCAAAAGAGGTATGATCTGTGAGGATACTAGGTTCATGAATGTTCAGAATTTCTATAATTATCGCCTCTGTATGTTTATGAAGTCTGTAAATATTACTGAAACATTACTTTTATTAATATAACCAGGGGATAAATCAGTAAGGGTGTCTGCGACTGGGGACCCCCACTCTCTCTGGAAGTGGATAAGGCATATAACGTAGAGCGCAGCCGTTCAAACCCAACACTAATAACACAAAAGAACATCACAAATTCAACAGCCTAAAAACCATAAAATGATTTTATACAGTAATCTGTTGTAAGAAAAGCCACAGGCAGTGGTTCAATCTAGAGAATGGATAGATCAAACAAAGACACTAACTCCAAGACCAGGGTTTGGGTCCCATGTGAAACCAAAAGTCAATGTGGGTTCTTAGTGTCATAAATATATTTTTTCTATACTCCAAAAAGTAGATTTTATTACTAAACTTTTGTTAGAATATGTTCGTAACGCTGTGAAACATTTTTAACAACATTTGACAATGTTACAGACATATTCTATGTGTTGGTCCATCTACAAAACTGTAGGCATGAGAATTCTTGCATTGCCTAAGTTCTGAGCAGCTCTCAGAGAGTATGAAGGCCTTGTCATGGGTTTGAGGACTGTTTTCTTCATTTCAATATGTTTTCGGATATGAACTTACAAGCTATATATGCACAGATTTGGTTTTAAAAACTGGCATCAAATGTGGCATCAAACGCAGAAGCTAAACGTGTGCAAAGAGTGAAGTCTTGCCAAAGCTGAGAGATTTTTGTTTGGATTTTATTCATGTGGATGCACAAAGGTATTAATAAAGGTACTGTTTACTGCAACGTGGTCTGTTTGCCTATCCATAACAACTCAAATACAGCATCTTTTACAATGAAGTGCAAACAGCAGAGAAGTGTTTCAGTGTAGTCACATCTGGATCAAACAGTAGCCTCAACATGGTGGTGCTTTTATTTCTTTGTAAAATGTAATTTCTAGAGTTGGTTTCTGTTCTTTAAACGCACATCTTGTGTTTCTATATTTTTTGCAACTGGTTTCTTTTTCCATTTTTGTATCTATGTATATGTCTTGCTAATCTTAGAAAATTAAAAATGTGTCACAAAGAAAAATATATGTAGTGTTTGAGAATGATTTCCAGATGTGTGATTGAATTTGTCATCTAAAAACAGAGAATAGTTCTCATTTAAAATTCTGTGTTAGCTCACGTCTCCTAGCATCAGCAAGACATACATTTGCAACCCATTTGTCATACCATATAGATTCATAAAAGAGGATTACCCCAGAAATGTGAATAGCGGTGTAAGATAATGGATGTTAAATATAACACCAAAACCCAAAGAGCCTGTATGACTCACAGGAGTTATTCTCCATCGATAGGTTCCTGAACTGTACATGGGACTGACATTGAACTCATACTGAACAGGCACCCCAGATGTTAAATCGTGTGCTGTGACATATAATTGGGGTGAGAGTTGCATAAGAGTGGGAGTGGGGGTGGCACTACTGCTAGAAAAAAAGGTGAAACAGAGTGAGTGGGGGGGGAGTATGTGCATGCTTAAGTGTCCAGTGAAACCACCTGTAATGTAACAATTTTCCTTTAACATCTCGGCGATAGCAGCTCCGCCTATTCCTTCCATCCAATTATCTCGCAGGTTCAGCCTCAGTACTGAAGTGTTGGTTACCAAGGGAACCGCCAGAGCTTTGGTGCCCTGTAAACACACACACACACAAAAGTGAAATTCTTCTGTTTGTTCACTGCGGTATATTTTCTTATCTGTATTTCAGTTAAAAGAGTTCATTTAGTGATGCAGGTGGGCAGAAAGAGAGAGAGAGGGGAATATTAAACCTGTGTGAGACAAATGAAACAGAAGGCAGCTGTGTGGAGGCGTGGGTCAGAAATGAAGCACGCAGAACATGAAAATGATCGTTTCTAGGACAACTAATGAGAAAGTTGAGGGCACAAAGCCTTATGTTAACGTGATCTTTAAAAGAGGTAGATCAGAAAAAGGCACATGAAAGGTGTTTTGATGCATGCAGACCATGCTTCTGTATGATTTGGGAAACCTTTCAATGTCAAAGACATTACAAGCAGCTAAACATAGTTCCTTTAATTCTTCTCTCTGGGATTGGCAGGTGAAGATATTTAAATTCGGAAGCTGAAATGGCTTGCTAAGCAACGGATTGACTTGGGGGCTAAATTTAAAGTGAAGTAATGTTAAAAGAAAGAAATTGTGTTGTACATTTGAAAGTACATTTGAAAGACGATCAGTTAATAAATGTAAAATAAAGTCTGTGTATGTTTAAGTATTGGTTGGTTTTATTAAGATTATGTCTGAGGCTACAAAGTGTATATGGGGTAACAGTTTATGAGTATTTGCCATCATTTAGAACCAAAGATGAAATTGTTCCTAAGACATTCATTAACATTCAGATCTGCATAATGAGCTCTCTGCAAGTATAAATCACTACAAGCAGCCTCTTTTTTAAATCAAATATGGAGGACTCTCACTATGTTCGTACTTTTGCATTTATGTGTATGTAAAGTGCACCGCAGAGATGTGTAACTGCATGATCTATTTCCCCGAAAACTCCTTGAATCTCAGCTGCTTTCTAGTTTGCAACAGACTTTGTCATGTTGCTAACCCTCCCCCACGGAGGAGGATGTGACTTTGAATTAATGAGTCAGTCATTGATCAGACGTCTGCACTGATCTGATATGGCGTCACACAGACAAAGCAGTTCAAACATCTGTACGTCTTGTACAAGAAGGAAGGTTCATCTCAAGTTCATTTGTGAACCTCATGTGAGGAAAAGACAATTGATAACAAACTTAAGACAAAATGCAGTCTCTGGACCTGTATGAACATTTTGCACTTGCGGTAGGGGGCTGATGGTCTTGCTTTATTCTTATGAAGGATCTTTCAAAGTATGGCTAATATTTTCTCTGAACCCTTCATAAATTTATATTAAAAAAACAAAACACTTAATACCAAAAAATAATTGATTTCTCTTGGCCACTTTTGGACAACAGCAACAAATTCTGAACAAAATATTGACATATTGTCACCAGAGTCTCATCTTTATTCATTTGAGGATTTGTTTGCGAACATCTATCTTAATTTAAGACCAAATTCTACATTTCTTTTGGCTCTGTTATGGTCGCCAACTTTTCCTGTAGTAGATATCATTTTGAAGCTCCAAATTTCATTTCAACATCACTCATGACCCCGATCCACTGTGACATTGTTTTCATAAAACATACTTTCAAAAAAGATATACATTTATGTTTAGACATTGTGTAAAGACATTGCCTGGTTCCTCCCACAGTTTGAGACTACCTTATCTTTAGCAGAAAGACAACTTATATGAACCCACATATATCCCCCGCCCCCCATTTGCTGTATTTTAATACATTCCCTAAATTGAAATGTAAGTACCTGAGGCCCCAGTCCACTGTGCGCCATGTTCAGCTCGCTCTTCTGCATGTGCTGCAGGAAGGACGAGACAGGCGGCACCTGTAAAGCTTCACACGCCTCCATGTAGGTTGTCTGCCCCGTGGGGTCATATCCCTCCTCCTTATCTGCAGAACAGATAAAAAACACTAGCTGCACTGTCTGTCTGAATTGTTCGTTATTAATACCTCTTTGAGAAAGCAGAAATGTGGAACTCTTCCCCCCGGAGGAGGACCCTTTCAGTGTGATATTGAAAAGTCCCTCATGTCAGATTTGGTCCTCTCAGGGGAGCTCATTCATAGCAGATGGTTTCCACTTCAGCCTGACACAAAGACTGAGATGAGATCATTAAGATGCAGAACGGGGCGCCGCATGTGTGGGCAGGCGTGTGGAGGAGTTTCTGTTTTGTTTTTTGTTTTTTCTGAGATGATATAGAGATTGAAAAATGAAGAGTCAGAAGGGGAAATGTGCTCTACATCAAATTCTCAACATATATCTGAATAAAGGATAATAATTGAACTGAATTTAAAGCAAATTTAAAAACAACTCAGAGGTCTTTGGTTGCTCATTTGAGAGTAAGTAATTACTTCAGTTTATTTTGTTTTTTTGGGATGGCAGGTTTAAATGAATCCAGAAGTAACTCAGATTGTGTGATCTAGGAGAAGAGAAAGAATGACATTTCTTTTGTATAGTCCTTATTATGATGCGAAAAGAATAACTAAATTAAATGTATGTTGAAAATGATGAAATATTTTGTGCGTGGATGGATTTGGAATAAACCCTCAGGATAGTGTGTTTATTTTTGTCGAGTCTACTTTTGGATTCTGGTCTCATTTTTCCAAAATATTTGTTCTCATAAGCTATGGCTATGCATATCATTTATATACAAGAATAACCTAAAAAATCAAATTAACCTTAAAACTCAACTTCATAATAAAGTTGAGCACCAACATTGTGCTTTAGACCAAAAATAGAAGGATGGGATGGTTGATTTCAATCATTTACTCAGCTCTCTGCGTGTTTCCACTCATGCCCTTTTTCTTAAAAAGATTTAAAAACTTTTCCGACCACTAATCTCCTTTTTTTCCATCCAAAATCAACTTTCTCATTACCTTCGCTCTCCAAATCTGTGTCGTAGTCCTCATCAGAGATCACACGCTCCTCTTCATTCTCCTCCTCCACCTCACACTCTCTTTCACCCCCATCCAGCACGTTCCCATCAGGGCTCAAACGCTGGTCCTTTAGCCCACGCACGCCAACCTCTGTCCGGCTCACTCTTTGCTGGGAGGAGAATGACACAATAAGACATTGTGACTCCTCTGCTGCTGCTGCTGCTGCTGGCAGCCTGAATGAAGAGATTAGATGAAGTTGCTGCCAGGAGAATAAAACTGATACCTACACTTAGGACAACTGAATCCTACAATGCGGAGGAACCATTTTAAGTTGTGTCTTTAAGCTTGCATTCTTTTGTCCTTCAAGTTTTTTTTGTTTTTTTTTACTTCATCCTTTCTCTCCCACTTCTTCTGTCTACCTCCCTTTCAACTTTTGAACTGTCTTTCCCTCCCTACATTTCTGGGCCTATATCATATTTGTCTACATGTATCATGCAGCCATGATATGTATATACATATTGTTATCTTCAGGTCAAGTTGTAAATTGTTTTTTAATCTGGATCAAAATTATTTGAATCCTATGGTTCCTATAAGTCCTATTTGGTACTTGATCTTATTATCCAACCAGGTTTTTCCTGTTTCTTAATGAATATTTGACTGAATCAGCCTTATCCTACATTTTAAAGATAACAAAATCCAGATAACCAGTGCTCTAAACAGGATCACATTTCACATTTCAGTACACATTGTTTTGTACTGTCTGAGGTCCAATCTGCAAACTGAAAGATATCAGAAAGTTGGGTTGCGATTTTTCATGAAGTAGTTGGTGGTGGGTCATGAGGTTAGATGAGTTAAGAACCACTGGTCTGGAGCACTTTTTTGTATTGAAATAATGTTTTTGTCAGTACACTGCTTACACTGTATTTCTCTCTGTAAGTATACCTCATGCAGCCCCATGGTTAGACCACATAAAAGTGCAATTAAAACAGACTGTCAGGGCGAGCCTCTGAGTCCCCTCTGTTTAATTAATTCCTGCAGAGCACAGAGGTCAAGAAAAAAAATCCATAAAAAAGAAATAACGGGTCTCCAGACTGTATTTCCTTGCCCTGGGCAAGGAAAAGTGCTCAGACTTGCTAAGAGCTGGTGTTATTTTTAAGTCCTTCATTTCTAAAGCCTCATGAACTTTTGCAAGTGTACAGCCAGCTTTCAATTCCTACAAAAAAAGCCATCTCCTGTGACCTATTTAACTTCATAAAAACCCACATCCCTACCTGCTTGTTGACACTTCTCTTGCTTAAGAGTTTGCAGACTTGGCTGGATGGCTCAGCTTCCTACCTCCCACAACTGCAGCTTCTCAGTTTGTATTTCTGCGTCATCATCTTCCAGCACAGAAGGCAGCAGCGTCTCCTTGGCCGACTCCTTCCCGTGAACCATGACTTACTTCAGCTCTGAGTAATGGTGCTATTGATGCTCTGAAAGATATATTTTGCTTCCTTTACGCAATAAAGGTAAAAATAAAAAAATAAATATCACCTTTGAAATTCTGCTGGGTTGTTTTTAGTCTGTGTGTGTGTCGTGTTCAAAGATTTTAGAGCTGGTGAAATCACTGCTGGTGCTTTCAACCAGCAAGTGATTCTTATGACTTCAGTGTGTTCATGCAACCTAGCTTGCTCAACAGGAGGGTCAAACTCTTTGAGCTTATCAGCAAGGACACTGCTTGTGTGTGACAGCCAGTCACCAATCAGAGTTCCACAGTAAAGTTTGGATGGCTTGTTTTGTTGACACGTTGCCATGGTGCTGAGAGGCCGCACTGTATTATGAGTGTAGACGAGCACATACAGAGGCAGAAAAAAGGAGAGGAAGTAAAGGGCTTGTTTGTTGCAAAGCACTTTATCAACATCTTAATCTGACCTTCAAACTAAAACATGTTGGTCTTAAGGAAGTCCCACTGCAGGAATAAACCTTTCCAGTCCTGCGTCTATCTCATATAAACAACAAAAACAAACCAAGCAAATGTGTTGACATATTCTGTAAATGTTTCTCTTTATTTGTACACAACAAAGGTCATTATAGCAGAGGCTGATTGGATCAGAGTTGTTCATAGCAGCAGCGATATGCAAACACAGAAAATGAAACCCCCTTGAAAGTGTTTTTTCTTCTTTTTTTTTTTTTTTGTTGCCATCCGGAGCCCCAGTGAGGAAGGCTTGAAAACCTCACAAATACAGTCTGACTGAGTGACACAGTGCTGGTAAATAGACAAAGCTTTATAAATATGAACAGAAGACAGAAGATCACCACCATGCATTTATTTACTGCTGCTGCTGCTTTATCCCCATACTGAAAGGAAATGAGAGACACTTTAGAATATGCCTTTTGTTCTTTTTAAATCAAGCAGATTCATAGCGCTCCTTTAAATAATCAAAATACATTCTTAGAAAAGATCGGGGTGGTACTCTTTATATGTAATACTTTTCATTTGAATATATATATATATATTTATATAGAAGCTGTATATAGAAGCTATTTATTGTATCAATTGGTTTTGTTGCACATTTTACACCACTGACATTTAATTGACACTCTCATTCCAATTCAACTAAATCTGTTAAAAAATGATACAGAGGAGACATTCATATAGAATGAACAACGGTGGGGACAATGAGAATCACCCATTTTCCCCGGCAGTAAAAACAGTTGTCATGTGGGGGGGGGGAACAAACATTTTCGGCAGCTTTTAGGGACATTTGAAAATCACATTGAAATCTGTTGATCATGCTGACAGTTATCTTTAATTAGAAAGAAAAAGAAGGTAACAAACAAGACCCAGAAGCCGAGAAGAAAACAAGCTTACTGCAGTTACTGCAGAGTGTGATCAATAAACGACATGGCCCCCCTGCACTGTAAATTCAAATTACAACCCTGACTTATTGGAAAGCAGCGAATGACCACAGCAGCAGTAGTGTGATCGCCTTATCCCTGAATGAAAAACTTTCCTGCAACATAACAATACAATACAACTGAACATTAACATTTCAGCCAAAATGTGCAGTTTCCTGTCACAGAAATAAAAGCAACCCATAACATTAAAGTTGCAGCCTTGTGTGACCCTTAAAGCAACAAATTTCATCAGAATAGGACCAATTTGACAGAGAAAGAGCAGAATCAACATGTAAAAACATACACCTGAGCACATGCGTGTTTTACACCCACTCGTATAGACATGCGGACATTTATGACCACACACAAACGCACGCACACACACACACACACACACACGCGCACGCACGCACATGCATGCTGATGCTACTGAGCAGGTGTCAGGTCACAGTGAAAGGGTGGCGCATGAGCTGCAGGGTTCGCACACATAATCATGCAGAGAAACGTACGAGAGAATGGATGTGCTTTGTGTAGGCAGAGGCAGAGAGTTAATGTAAGGCAAGAGGCAGAGGAGTTATGATGCAGACGATGCTAGTAGGTGTATTCATTCATTTTAATTCTTACAGAGATTCTATATTTTTAAGGTCTTGTTTTATCTTTTGGGAAAAAATACCGCTTGAAAGTTTTCTTGATGAGAGTAAGATGATTAAAGTTACACTACAACCCAATACTTTTTAACCAGGTGTTGTTAGCCTAGCCTTGCATAAAAATTGGAAATGGTGCCAGAGTTCAATAAGGTATAACATAAGGAATATGACCTCAGCCCGATACGAAACACTTAATAACAAGCTATACCTCAATAACCCAGAAAGATGAGTAAGACAGCTAGCCTTTACAACTGTTAATATTTGGCAGCACCAATAAGGAGATATTGTTAGAATCGCCCACAGTTTGTATGTAAAGCTTTGAGCAGCTTTTGCAGCTGAGCATTAGTATGCAGCAAAGAAACGCAGTGAAAACGAATAAAATGGTCGTGAATTTTGTTGTTCAAACTCTAAATCCTGGATCATTTTGTGGGTTTTAGCAATGACTAAAAGATAATGCAACATTTTACCATTTCAACAATTTAACCCCTCACATAAACAAAAAGAGATAGAAAAGTGACGATCAGACCATAAGCTTATATTTCCCATACAGACATTACTGTGGTATCAATAGAACGACAGTACTAATAGTAACGAGTCCTAAAACCCAGAAATTCATTAGCATTTTAGCACGTCCTGTTTCCTCGTCTCAAAGTCTAACTGGGATTTTTGAATGAGTTCTCGGTTAGATGCCGAGATGCCAAATACAAAATTTCTAACATGCCAGAATGGTGATCGGCCATTGAGCATCGGTGTACGCAGCGCGACTAACAACGTGCGATCGGGCTGGAATTCGGCCAGACTTCAAAATCAGCCATATGACTCGAATAACGGGTCTAAATCGGCCTGAAATCGTACGGTGTATGCACAGCTTATGAGAATAGTCCCACAGCATAAAATTAAAATAAAACGGATCAGATTTTTAATTGTTTAATTTTACACTTACGGCACCATTTTCTTTAATGTATGTGAAATAAATACTTAAATATTTTAAAATCTGAGAGACCTGAATGAGTTAAAGAAGTGTATATTCATTAGCAATTAGAATGTATTTTAATATGTAATGACTGGCTGTGGGCTGTCCTGCACATTTCTACACAGCTGCCTTGGGTTGGAGGAGCACCAGCTGGAAAAAAAACAAAAACATTATGATGTTATGAGAGAATGGACAGGCCACTAGAAACAGATCTGACACAGAGGCTGATGCATTCTGATGGATTGCCAATGAAGAGCTAGATAACCTGTTGGTTGTGGCTTTGACAGAATAGCTGTTTTCATAATTCAGGATGAGCTATCAACATGCTAAATTTGTTTGCAAAAAAATCTGTCACTCAGTTTTTTTCTTTTCTATCCGCATGCCTGTACATCATATACATACCTCTCCCTTTTTAACTTCCCTTGAAACAACAGCCTCTGATTTAAAAAAACATCAACAGTTTTCTTCTTTTCTAGAACACAAAGTTGACTTGTGTCATACTTCAGAAATGTCTGTGAATTTGTTAGCAATGCCTGATGCTTCCTTGTGAGTGTAAAACCTCAATAAAAGCCTTTGAACTGTAACAATAACACAGAGTACATCATATTTCTTGAGTATATTTTTGTCTTGGTCATGCATTCACAATGAGGCAGGTCATTACACTAGGTGCACACATTATGAATCAAATGATCAATTTATCATTTTTGGAAGTATCATCAACAAGCAAAAAAAAACCAAAAAAAGAACAACAGAGTCTCGGAGAACAGAACATTTTAGCTTGCTACAGGCAAAACCGCAGAGCCCAACAGAAACATTGAATTGGTATAAAAAAAGAAAGGAACCCATTTTTAAAGTACAAAAATTGGCACAGTATTCTTCAACCAGCGTTGCTGTGTCTTCTGGACTGGTTTCCGTCAGAAAGCCCCTATTTCATTATGAGCAGAAAACCCTGAGAGAGAAGGAGAGAAACACAGACAGACAGGAAAACAGAGACATAGAAATAGACATGTTACAGTCATTACTCATCCAGCGAACAGGGGCTTTGATAGCCAAATGTGAAATTCAAGTGACAATCCACACAGGAACCATCGTCTGTGATGCATTATGTTGGTGCTTAATGAGCCGCAGTGGCTATGTAGGGTCCTTGTTTTGCTCTCATGACGAGGGCTATATGAAGTGTCATATCTTGAATATGCGCAAATAATGGCGGAGAAAAACAACAGAAATGGAACAGAGCCACTCGCTTTCGCTCTAATCCTCTTAGTTTATAGGCCCTCATCCACAGGTTTCCGTGGAAACCAACTCTGTTTTCATGTCAAAGTAGGGGAAAGATAACACATAAGTAAACACCAACAACTACAGGTTGCAGATTGGATTTGGATTTATACAAACGTTTCTTTGAGATAAAGCCGCTCTGGTAATCTTAGCGGCTTGGATAAATCTCAATGGGCTGAGCCAAAACTGTTTTTTTTTTCATTCCTTAAATACAAGCTAACAGCTGGGAAATTTGAGTGATAAAAAGCATCAATGAATACATTACTGAACACATCGTAGATCTTAAGCATCCCACACAGTTCAGGAGTGTTGAAGGTGAGGAAAAGTGAATCATTGTTCAGTGTTGTGTGTATACACCACCACACTTTACCATGACTCCCACAATACAGTCAGAAACAAACAGACTGACAATGAGCCAATGAAATAGGACAAAGGATTACATTTCAATGACAAAAGGAATTCATCTGCCGTTTCCTGGTTTTATTTAAAGAATGAGGTGCCATTGAAAAACAAATAATTAAAGATGAATCATAATTCTGAGACAGCAGGTAACCAAGTAGCAAATGGTTAGCATCGCAATTTAAAAGGTTGAAGGTTAAGTGCTCCTTTAGAAGCTCTGCACCAATATTCCCGGACATGCTTTTATAGAAAGGATGCTAGCAACTGGACAATATGGAGAAAGCGTCTGTTGACTGGAGGTAAGTGTGCCCCAATAAGTGGAAGCATGGCATAGTATCGTATGGAAAGGGGAAGCAACACTAATATGTCAACATCTTCTGTATCAGTAATGTTATGCTGTTTTCCTAATCTTGATTTCTCTTTTCCAGTTTTCTTTGGCTTCTCTGATTTTCATTGCCTTGACCTTTTCATTCGTGTTAAAATATTACCACATACAGTCCTTTACACTGCCCCATTCCCCATGAATTCCAGCCCTCCAAATGTGCATTAGCCTTAAAGCCACCTGTTGCTAGTGCAACCACAGCTTGCTAACTGGTTAATGGGGGCATAAGAAGTCGTATTTGAGGTATGTAGCCATTCAAATTACTCCACACAACAACAAACAAAACACCAGGGAACATACAGAAGGTTGTACGAATGATAAAAACAGATGAAACATATGAAGGCAGAGGAGAGATTTGGCTCTCTTCCCATGACTGCTACTATCAACCTCACAAATCTGTGAAGTAGTTTTTACCCACAGCATGATACAACTAGTGGAAAGTTTGCCCTTAAATCTTGTGTGGACATTAAAGGATACTAAATACACATCAAAAGGTTTCGGATAGCTCTGGAGGAGCTCTATCACATTGTGTAAAGTTGTATGTCTCTTGTGGCTCCAGAAAAAGTCTAGCAGCTTGCTCTAACATGCCTCAGATATATTCCCCCTGTAAACAGTACGATTCTATTCATTCTGATATTCTGAAGGTGGAGAAACAGAAGTGTGATGCTTTGTATTGATTAGCCTTTGACAGCAGTGAGCCGAGGGGAGCCCCCCCCGTGTTAACATGTCATAGTACAACGTTTCAATCACAGATATGAATATTATAAATTCATCACTATCTCTAGCTAACAAGCTCTGTCGAGTGAGAAAAGTGAAGAAAAATGTTCCTGTCGGACACTCCCAGGGCCTTGATGTTCTCCCTTGTTCTTTGATCCTTGTCCATGTCTAAGCAAGCGACAGAAATTTAAATAGAAACAGGGCGTCCGGGTGAAAACTACGGGAAGTGTCGGCCTGCTTCATGCTGCGTTGCTCGCAGGCTTTTAGGACAATCATAAAGGAAACAATGCCGACACTCCCTGCACTGTTTGGACATGGTGTAAGAAAATGAATGAAATGATGTCACTAGACTCGGTATCAGTAAGGACTGGAGAATATAACTCCATATATATAACTAATGAAAATTTAATCTGAATAAAATCTAAATGTTTACAATGAACACAAGAAACCTTATAATCCATAGACAAAATAACTATCAAGCACCTTTGTCCATTGACACTGATTTACGCTCTGGCAGTGACTATTTTCTAAACAAAACTAGTGCAGTGCAGCGTTTTCACTGCTCATGTGTGAGCTGTTTCAAAAGGGAGAACCTTTAAGGAATAGCACTGTATGAAAAATTTGTAACCTCTTACTCATCTGAATCCTTTTTGCTTTCTTCAATGTAGGCAATGGACTCCGAACGAAGTCGGTTGGTGACCTCGTATGTGCGCAGGGTGACACCAAAGATGTCCTCATGGTAGCGGTTCTCATCCTGGAAACCATCATGTGGTTAAAGAAATGAAAAGGTGGAAATGTTGAATTGGATATCTTTTTTTCATATTTTTAGTATTAAAAAGGCCTTTAGAACTTTCTTGGCTCTTTACTACTTGTACACTTCATACAGGGGATTTCATTCTGTCCAAAGTTTAACAACAGGGGTACAGCAATTGTAACTATCAGTGTGGCAGGGTTAAAAGTATGCGAATCAGTCATTGACCAGAAAACTGCTATGTTTTCCTCACTCTTACCCGAAGCTTGCTGATAAAGAAGCCAGCATCTTCCAGGGTCATGCTGCCCTGCTGTTTGATGATGTGCTGGACAGTCTTGAGAACATCTCCGGCCATTGTAACATCCCCGCAGACATAGATGTGTCCCCCCTCCTCCCTCAGGCACTGGTACACTGCCTCTGACAGCTGCTCGCGCAGAACATCTTGTACGTATTTCTTACAGAGAGGCAGAGGAGGAATGATGCGTGAGTGTGAAGAAGTCAATTATGAGAAAGTAGGAAAGGAGACAATGAAAAATGCAGTCAGGGGACAACTGACTGACAGAGTGTAAAGTCAAAGTATGTAGAATTTGCAAATGCAGTTATTATCAATATTTGATCTTAATCTGAGGGCTAAAAAAGTATAAAAAGCTGTTTCACCACAATGAAAAGCTAAAGAAAATCATCAAATAGAAACACACCATTTCAACTGAAGTGAAAGTACTCACAAGCTTTCTTTGAAACAAAAAAAAGCCCTTACTTCACTCAGTGATTTTATTTCAAACCCACACAGCTCCACAAGGATTTATGACAAGCTGACTCATCCAGAGATATGGACAGTTTAGCACTTGTACCTTTGGTTTGCCGGGTTCTCTGGAATAGGCCGTGTATAGCTCCTTGAACACCTCTTTGTTCTTGGCCTGGATGGTCTCCTCCTTGTAGATGTGATCCATCTCAGACTGCCGACAGCCAAACACCAGGATCATGGGGCACAACTCCATTCCTAAAGACGACAGGCAGAGTCGTCATTACTCTGAAAGGTGCTGTTGGAGCGATAGTCTAAATCTCTGACAGGTTCATGCATAGTAGTTAAAATCCACTGCAAATCCTATTAGGCAGTAATAAATACATTTCCGAAATAAGGACAAAACCAACCATTGTGTTCAAGGTCATACAGTCTCTGTTCCCAGAAACTTCGGAAGGGGGCGATTCCTGTTCCTGGACCCACCAGGATACAAGGAGCTTGGTTGTCTTTGGGAAGTTGGAATGATGGTGCACTAGAACAATGAAATAGATAAAGAATCACAAATGAGGTAAAAATACTGGAAAAAGCTGTCCTGGCGCTGTCCAACTTAAACAAAACTGGACTCACTTTTAAGCTCACTAATTAGAATATTAAAGCTGTGGTGTGCAACTTTGAGAAATAAATCAGAGTTGGCAATATTTAAAAAGTATCCAACAAAAAATTGCTGACACTTCTCTGACAGGCCTCCCTCTGAACATATTAACATGCACTGCCTGGCTGCTGCTGGTGTCCACAAAAGAGCGTTGGTAAGAGAAGCACAACACATTGTTGTCATCACTAATTGTACCCAACAACCTTTCTGTGCCATTGTTGCAGAGCGGAATCCCAGGCTAAGTTTGTTTAGCTTGTTTAGTTTGTTTTAGTTTGTTGTGAAAAACTCAGGTCATGGACAATGAGGGAGCGGGCAGAGTGCACACTAGTGGGCAGTAAGGGAATGGATGTTGAGTTCCACCCTTGCCAGCTGCCTGCAGGTTCACCCTCTCAGGGAGGGACCCCATCCCCTCTGCATTGCTAGTATGGGTGTCAAGCATGGCCAGGTGTCGCTCACGCATGCCGCATCATACGAGCACTGCAGCGCTATGTCGATCAGAATATTTGCATGTAGCTTGCGGGTATCAGCAGCCTCTAAGGCAAGGAGCATTGCAGAGGAGCGCTTCACTGTCTCCTTGTACTAGAAGGTGAAAAAGTCAGCGACACAGTCTAGCCATAATCTGAATGTGGTTACCGTGCTTACAGCGTCCTAGACCGAGCTGTTTCAGGACCTGGGCCTTCTGCTAAAGAAGGGCTCTCTTGAGTTTGGCCTTTTTTTGGAGGAAATATGATTCCTCACGGACCTCATTCTCCATGTATCTAGAGGTGCTGTTCAGGGCTTTGACAACACATCTCTCCCCACCTGCCTGACCAGGACAAGTAAGTTCTCATGGAATCGAATATCGGATTCTGGCACTCTAATTCATAGCTTTCACGTGACGTCACACTCTTATGGAACCGCCCACCTGGAGGGCAAGAAAGGCTCTCTACCACTGTTTGCTTCTGAGAAGTTACTGGTCTCAGTGGCCCCCTACATGTTTTTATCTGTTTCATTTTTACATTTTTCAAATGAAATACAGTTGTTGTTTAATGTGATACACTAACCGGCGTGGAGACGAGCCCGAGTTTTGCTTCTACAGAATTTAATCCGAGAAAAAAAACAGAGAAGAGGACGTTTGTGCAGCAGTTAGACCCTCTGCGGCCCCTGTGACAGGAAACATCGGACATCTCCTCATCCTGACATCAGTTATAGTGTTGAATAAATCAAAATATTCCTGCCATTAACTCAAATTACTGCCCCTGAACACTACAATTGACAGCTGATACTATTGCTAGCTTACGCTAACTAGCTAATGTTTGCTAATTAGCACTCACCGATGCTGATGATGAGGAATTTCTTGCCCTTCACTTCTCAAACAGCAGCATTATCGACCCAGACCGATCAATAATACATAAAGCTGCCTGTATGTTTGTAGACGTTCATCCTACAGCGGTGTAAGGAGAGAGATTCTCCTCTAAATATCAGCAATATCACTGAAGTGACGTTCTGGTGTTACGAATAAAAGAGTGCCCATGTTAACTGATGACTTTCAGACAAACGCAACTGAAAGTGTCCTAACAAATGCCTCTCAGTTCAGTTTTTGTCTTATCATAATGTCATAATTACTTGAGACATGAGATATGTTTTAATGAAAGCTAAAAAATATATACTTTCGTTAGGACACGTAACATACGACAACCAGACTCAGTCGGCTGACCAGTTAACACGGTAACTGTTTTGACCATAACACCGGCATGGACTTTGCTGTTTCTAGCGATATAAATAGTTTTGTGTGTAGGTAAAGTAGTAAACTCAAAGTTTAAAAAATCTTGGCTTGCTTTTCTGTCCACTCGAGTCTGAAAGCCAGTCCAGACTTGAAGGTGCTTTCGCTAAAAACTATCCTGTTACTGGCTCTGACCTCAGCCAAAAAGTGACAAGTCTTGTCTGTGCTTTTATCCTGCTTGCACTTTTCTCCTGGCTATGAAAAAGTGATGTTGCACTTTAATACTGCTTTTATGACCAAAGTTAGTGAGTCTTCTTCTAGCTGCCCCACATTCCAGCTGCTTGCTTTTCACACTCCACCATTTGCTCAGACGAGCGAGAGGCGGCTAAATATGCTCTGTCCAGTTCAAGCTTTACGCATCTATTTGAACAGGACTAGGGCGCTTAGAGAGAGCAGTCAGCTTTATGTCTCATGGACCCTTTCTCACAGAGAGAGAGCCCAGTCTCACCAGCATCTGTCTCACTGGGTAGTGGAAGCATTCTGGTCAGCCTAGGAGGAGCTCCGGGCTTTTCTCAGAGGGATGGCCACCTCATATGAACCTGTTTAGGTCATATCAGAGAGTGATTCGGCTCCTGCCAGTTGGGCATCCCCACATACATTTATTCAGTTTCATCGCCTGGATGTGACAGGGCATTCTATGGCGCCCTCTGTCCTTAGTATTGGTTCTTCTTAAATGGGGGCTAGCCCTTGGGGAGAGTTTGCGGTGACAGCCTTTTTCGATAGAGGTATTATGGGCTTTGTAACAAGCAACCCTGGAGTTGGCCATATCCCCCATAGGGAGATAACAAGTGAGGTTTGAAAGAGAATGTTAGGTTACCAAGGTAACTCCAGTTCTCTGAAAAATATGTGAGGTATTTGTCCTGCTTGCATTGTACACGGCACGTGAAAGAAATACACTTGAGAATTAAGAGCGCGTGCCAGGGACGGATATAAAGGGGGACCGTCTGGCCGTGCAATGAAAATGATTGGATTGTCCCCACACTCCCCTGATAGACGTGCTGGTAAAGTTTAACTGCTTTTACTAGTTGCTGAACGAGACAAAGCCTGCCACACAACCACCGATACAGGAATTGTTATTTTTAAACTAACCAGACATAAAGCTAGGCATTTTAGTTTAGTAACATTATTATGTTTTGTTATGTTTACTGTCAGGCATTTGGGCACAAAGCCTGCTTGTTTTTCAGCATTAAACAAAATAATTGTATTTTCATTTGTAAAGCACTTTGTTACTCTGTTTTTTAAAATTTCCATATAATTATGTATTATTTTAATTTGACTTCATCTTCTTACTGCCCCTTGCGTTACCCGGAGCCTTGTTGGTCATTGAGAAAAAAGCTACAGCTAGCAAGATACACATCAAGAAGCGCACCTTGGCTTGTTAGCTTGTTAGGCAGAAAACTGGGAACAGGTGCAGGAACGCCAAAACATGAAAACCCCCACTTCAAAAAAGAACTTTTTTTGGACCAAGATGAATAGACCTTAACAGAACACCTTGACGGCTGTGTCAGTAAACTGTTCAGCGGTATTCAATGTCAGGACAGCAGAGCAGCTCGATGATCGTCACGGGGGAAGAAAGCAAGGCTGAAGAGTCAGTGCTAGGGGTTGTTATAAGGGGGGGGGGCAGGCTGGCCGTGCAGCAAAGATGATTGGTCTGTCCCCTGACAGACGTGGTGGTATTGAAGCTGCCGGGATTGTCCACACCAGATGACACTTCCCAAAGTGAGATACTGAACGAGGTTTGAAGGAAAACTTAGTTGTTTTGAATTCAAGGTTTAATAATATTAAAAATAGGAGAATCTTTGGGTGTCTCAGGATTTTATTTCGATTCTTGGGGTCACGATTCGATTCACAATCTATTTTTGATTCAAAACGATTCTGAATTCATGGATCCACGGATTGAAAGTCTATTTTTCTGGCTGAATTTCTTGCTGCTCCATTTGACATGCTACTGAGTTAAAGAGCTAGCCTTAGCACTTATCAGGGAGTTACTGATTAGCCAAAAAAAAAAAGTTTGGAATTTATTTAAAATCTCAAAACATAAGAATCTTGATTTTTTATTTTTCCCACCTCTAATTAGAAGTATTAGTCATTTAAGGCTTGGAGGAGCTGGTGGGCAGATATTTTTTGATCTTTTGATTTTCAGACTTTGTGTTAAGCTTAATAAATGTAAGGTGCTAAGCTAAGTGAGCCTGTGTACAAGGCATACACACATACATACATGTGTTTGGCTACAATTTTTTACTGTAAATCTCTCAAGGTAAACAATTTGATTGTATTGTTATAAATACTTGCCACATTCAATATTTACCTTCGGACAAAACATGGCACCATCTCCCCCTTCTCTATCCTGTTGAGCCATGATGAACACACTCCATGGTGGATTGGTCCTCCTCCATCTGAAAGGGATTATTGCCAAGCAAGCACTTTACCTTTTCTTTCTCCTCCGCCTCCCACTCTCTTTAAGTGCACAAACTAACAGGTAAAGAGTAGCCTTTTCACACTTCCCAAGGCTAAGGTCATTCTCTCTCTTTCGCTGTCTCTCTCTCTTTATGTCTCTCTCTCTTAAAAAGGAAAATCACAGTAATTCAAACCCTGGCATTAGCAATCACTGAAGCATGTTTGCAAAAGAAGAGATTACATGTGTGAGGAGAATATAGCAGTGATGGCATCTTGATGTGTTTGCTGACTACTTAAAAAAGCAGTTTAAAGGTGGCGCTGTAAGAGCCTTGTGGTTTTCTTTACACATACAATGAACTAGCTGTTTTGTTCTGTATAATTTATGACAGACTGGCATACAGGCATTGATTTCATAATTATCCTAACAAAATTCAACCAGTGTTTGAAGAGTCTACAAATGTAAATTCTGGTTGGTGTTTTTTGTTTTGGATTTTGAAATTGAAAAAAATATCAGAGAATCGAAAAGACCAAGCAATTTGAGTTTTCTGTTGTATCTTTCATCACTAGAAGTACACTGATGTATTTCTAGTGATGAAAGATACAACAGAAAACTTAAAGAGTCAACCAGTTTTTTTTATAAACCATTGAAGGGTTTTCTGAGAGGCTGGGTAATATGACTTTTTGCATTTTTAAAGAAAGCTTAAAAAAAGCACAGCCTACCGTCTTTGAGCCATGAAAGAAAATAACCACAAGAAAAAAGGTTTTTGAAAAGGTTATGTTTCCTACTTTTCTGAACATCTTACTTTCAAATTCAAATATCTATTATTAACAACAGGAAGGAACAAGTTTGTGAATAAAATGTCAAGGATTTGATGGCAAAAAATGTCAGAAAAAGGGAACCAATTTAAGAGTGAGCTGACCTGCAGCCTCCCCTACACAGCCTTAAATCCTCTGAGAGATGTTAGCTCATAATCAGCTACAAAATGAGCCTTCCATTGAGTACCTAGGTCCTCACCTCTGGCTTGGTAAGAGACCACAGCAACGGTGAGATGGATCTCTCCTGGGTGCAGGTCTGGAGAGGAGCTGATGGAGTAGTAGCGAGGCTGCAGCAAGGGCAGCTGGGTTAAAAGAAGAGTGGAGGGCATCTGGATTGAGGGGAACTCCTCCATAACCTCCACCAGTGTCGGATTGTTGTACCACTTCCACTCTTCATACTCCTGCAAGCCCTGGAAAGTTTGGTCGAAAGAGAAAGTAAGAATGACAGCAATTCTATATCATTTTTCACAAAAAATCGTTGAATTTTTGTTGCCCTGATAAAGAAATCTAAAAGGAGAAAAGTGGAAAAAAAAAAAAAATCTGGTTTCCTCTTTTAGCTCTGTAAACATTTCTGACTCGAGAGCAGGAGGCAGCCCCAAGCAGAGTCATTCACCATTCACTGCCCGACTGTTTCTGTGTGTCATCACTGACATTTGGACGTGACGAATTTGGAGCACTATAAAAACTTTGATGTGTCTTGTGGTTTATTCTCAGGCTGCTAATGAGCGACACAGTGACCATTATAAAGCCTGCTGTGGTCTTCAACCTGAGCCTGCAGCACTCTTTGAAGCACCCCATGTACAATTAGCGACATTTTAACAGCCAAAAGTACTTTCTAGCCTTGGTATTAAAGCTTGATAACCAGTTGAGACTTTTTATATTACTCATAGTTCTTGAGAAATTGTAGATGCATTTACAATCTGCTTCTGTATTAAAATTGTGCACACTTTAAAGTAATAAAGGACCAACACAGCTTACCTGCTCTCTAAAGCTAATCATCAAAAGCTTTAGACATAAAGAGGGAATTTGAAAGTGTGATATGCCCTACCTTTGTTCTGAAATAAGCTAAAAAAAATTATAGCACAAGAAAGAAAAAAATCCTGCAGAGGTGATTATACTGTACTCTGAAGCCTTCCATCATTTCTTTCTTGCTTTAGAGACAATGATTTGATGTGTATGAGCATATGACTCACTGCTTGGCCCAAGCCAGCCATTTCCACACATTGACAAAAATAGAGAGTGAATTGTTGGTAGGAAGTGCAAGGCAGGCTGGGTCCTGGTAAGATCAGGAGCATTCATTTGGCGCCATATCCCTCTGATAGCAAACTCTGTGATTGTGTTTGTTATTATTGTGCCTTAAACACAGAGCAAATTCTTTGTAGAATACTTCATATGTTAGGCACTGTTGAAAAAACATTATATATTTTCAGATATCCTACGCACAGAGATTACAAAACCTCTCACATGTCGGGTCAGAAAATCAAATCAGTGCAGCCACAGCAGCTCAATAACTTTAAACCTCATTATTAATGGTAAGACTAAGAACTCCATCTCAGAATTTACCTTACTGAGGATCTCTAGTTTCTTTTTCTGTTTGTCATTGGTTGCCAGAGCAGCAAACTGCTGGAGCAGCACCGGGCTGGGGGGGGTGGTGATGTCCAGGAAGTACTGGAAGGCCTGGTAGATGGTGCAGGGAGGGATCCGTGTCTCATTCGTCCAGTTACTGATTACACCTGCAGAGAAAAACCGAGTACAATAATTGTTTTTTTTATTTTATTTGAACAGTGGATCAAATGGACTGCGTTTTCCATCCTGCCAACTCTTATCAGGCCTGTTTCCCTGCTCAGGAGGAAATCATTCGCATGAAAAAAAGCACAGATAAACCCAGCGTTCTCAACTTGCCCAGCAGCAACCTGCAGATGGACAAATGGAGCGGGTATCTGATGAACACAACCAAGCTTTTCACTGATAAAGAGCCAGATATTTCAGAGGGTTGGTAGAGACCAAAACAGAGATACTAGGAGACAAATTATCAAATTATATGTTGATAGTAACATGTGTTTAATGTTTAAATTGGAAAATGTTTGCACAATGTTTGAGTTAAGGTGTGGCCTGATCTGCTCCCCTTAAGTTGATGAAATAAGTCAAAAGTTACACCCAGCATGACATTTTAATGATCATATTACGTTAGAGAACATTTCACTACATTTGCACCATACAATACTCTGATAGATGGCAACGTCATTTAACAAGGAAGTATAATGCAATATTTGAATCCATTTTTAAACAAAATGAAATAATTCAAATGACTGAACGTCAATACATAATATGATGCACATGGTGGAAAGCACATTAGGAGTTTGCAGGTATTAAATTAAGCATTTGTCAGCAAACATATGCATATAAACTGTATGTGTTATCATATATCATAGAAAACTGAAAAAATGGGTGTAAGATGCATCCAAGAATTCTATCAATGATTGCGTAAATAAGCATGTCCTCATAACTGCTTTCAGATGTATCATATTAAGCTATGAGCCATTAATTATGACTTAATATGATTACTTTAATGACTTTTACTCTGCCTATATTACAGAGTTAAAATAAAATGTTACCCATACAGCATTACAGAGCTGCTTTGTGAGCTTCAGAACACTTGTGCTTGTAGCTGTTATAAAAAAAAGAGGGAAGCATTTCACAGATGAACGCAGGAACTTTAATAAGCCCCATTAGCAGTAATGTTTTATTTGGGAAGCTCAGTTTTAATAAGCACACACACTGTTTAAGAAACGCATTGCTTCACAGTCACAGTGAAATCACACTTATGTCACCGAGTGTCGCCACAACTGTTTGCCAATAAGCAGCTTCACTGAGAGATTTCTGGGCACAGATACCTCGCTGAAGTGTGACTTCATGTTGTCTGAGAGACTGTCTCTTATTCATGTTTTTGATTTGGACATCCTGCCCACATTTCAGACTGCAACCACCATGACCGCACACCCACTCTATCCGTAAATTAGCGTGACGTCGCTAATAGCATCACCCACCTAGGGCAGTGTTCCTCTCCTCCAGAAACTCCACTTTGACAATTTGATTGACAGGTGGAGCGTCCTCCAGTTTATCTATGAGAGCCGTCACCAGGTCCTCGTAGTTGCCAGGGAAGATCCCCAGATGGTCGCCGGGATGGTAGCTCAGTCTGTCGTGGTTGTTTGTGTGGAGCCGCACAAATATGGTGGAGCGACTGCAAAAGAAATCAGGGATTAAGGAGGAAACGCTGCAACACAACCAGTCTGTTTTCTTTTAGTCTATGCAGGATGGTAAAAGCCAATTAAGGGGTTAATTAAACATGAATTGACATTTCTTCCAGATATGAGTGACTTGTTTCTCTTCTGTGATAGTGTTTCATGTGGTAAAAAGATACTTACTTGGATTTAGGAGTCTGTAAATTCTGAGATTCTAGCATCTTTGCTCCATAAACCTTCTTCTTGTGAACACTGTATAATGCTGTTGGCAGACGGACACAAAACGGCATCACATACATGACATTTACTTTATTTGGTGACTAGTCAACACATTGATAGACAAATACTAATGTTAACAATATTACTATCTCTAAACCTGATTTTCTTTTTTTAAAGGAACAGTTGTAATTAAGGAGGAAAACATTTAGTTTATCTGTGTGTTAATGTGTTTAATCATTTCATCCACTTGTGAATGCATGAATGTTGGTCTTCAAATATCGCCTTGCTGTAAAAATGCAAAATAAATGGAATAGAAATGCTTTGAAATCCTGTATTATGATTTTTCACTCCACTCCGCAACTCTCCAGGAGCTATAGCGGATGAGTCAGTGGTGCTGATCAATAACATTGCCAACCCTCTGCAGATTCAATATGGTCATGTTAAGCTGCAGTGTTCATTAGCACTAATGATATCGAGACAGCATCAACGGTGCATTGCTCACTGTCTCTTTCGGATGATTATTTACCGTCAGTTAGCACTGGCGCCTCGGCTGTGTACGTGAGGCGGAATTTGCTCTTCTTCCAACTGCGGTCGTTGCTGATCAAGGAGTCGTTGGCCTTCTCGATGTTCACGTCGTCCCCGACACAGAACACATCACAGGCAGCCTTCACGTGTTCCAGAGGAAAGAGCATCAGAATTATTATAAGTACACCACCACAGGAGTAACAGAGATTTTAAGAAAGATCTCTTGAACTTTAATTAGGACAGCCTCCATTTGTTCAGGGTCTTGGAAAAACTATTAAAGGGTTTTCTGGAATGTTAATGTTGTTTAAGAAGGGGTGATTTAAAAGTGGAAAAAAAAGGAATTATATTCATTTCAAATTTAGGCCAATTACATGCCATTTACAGACATAAGCCAAAAATGTGCACTGCGCTTCCATTCCAGGCACACCACACCATAATGATTGACAAAATTATCTTAATTGAGAGTCCCTCAAAACCGACCTTAAAAACCTTTTTGGCCCAGGTTCTGAACGACTCCTCCTGGCCACACAGCTCATCTCCTTCCCCCATGCGTAGGATGCGCTCCCCCCCGAGCTCTTCAAACAGCGTGTCCACAGCGTGGGCAAAGGCGCAGAAGTGTGGGTAGGCCCTGGAGCCAAGGCCAAACACGGAGAACCTAAACAGATACACATTTTAGAAGAAGAGACAGAGATGGAGCGAAATGTACTGTTCCAAAAGCAAAACACAAACAAAGACATCTACAGCCATCGCAACGGAGCCCACGTTAGAAACTTGGCCTTTTCTTCCCTCTCAAGATGCACCAAAAAACAGCCGACATATTCACAAGTGCTTGTCCTGTCTACTTTTAGATCAACGTAAACACAGAAAAGATCACTTCCTCGAGAAGAGTCATACTGTGAAACAGTCAGCCCACATCGGGTTGAAGTTTGAGAACATTCGCCGTGTTTTCCTTTTCTTAAACATGTCATCAAACTGTCCAATGCTACAAGATCTGTCACCAAAATCAGCACCCTGTGGAGTCCACTTTCATTGAGATTTCACATGAGTGAGGATGAGAACTCAATTTATGTTGGAGCATTCTGCCAGAATGTTATCAGGGTAAAAACAGTCTCACTTAAGATTTCAGATGGTAGTGTTTGTTGGAAGAAATGAATAGAGATCTTTTGGGAAATGTTATTCTTGCACACATCTATCAGTGATGATGAGTATTGGTGTTTTTTTTTGTTGTTTTTTTAAACTTCTTCTTTATTATGTTACTTTTGGCACTAGTTACAAAACCAGACAAGCCTACATAATTAACTAAAGTTGCCACTTTTTTGTTACCCACTTACTAAAGTGTTGAAATGCTGCTGCCAAGTGCTTTCTTCAAAACTGATTCCAAATTCAAGTCACAGCCGATGCTCTGTTTTTCAAATGATCTCATTTATATCTGAAAACTTTATCCGTCTAAACTTCTGTTGCCTTGCTGCCAAAACTGAAATGATATTCAAGGGACAAACAAAAAATGACTTCCTTTAAAATGCTAGGTCATCCTCCCCCACCCCAGAAAATATCTCAAATCAAGAATAAGTAGCAGATACATTAATTCTTGTTGTTGTTGTTTAAAAGTACAACGAACGCATTTTTTTCCTCCTTATTCAAGAGGAAAACCATAACTTCAATTTAAGTTCGATCTAACCACATCTGCTAAATACCTTTTTATCTAGATTTGTCCTAACCTGAAACGTGGCATCCTTCAAAGTAGTAACCCTAGAACAGCTAAATCCCAGATCCTTCTAGGACAGGTTTGGTTTGGTTTTACCTGACGTTGGCAAGAGGTCCCGTGCTCTCAAAGTTAATCTTGACTTCTGGCTCGTCGCTGGAGGACTTGCGAGTGTCAGAGTAGGAGGACACACTGTTGAAACGGACCTTGTAGCTCCTGGAAAAGGGAGGAGAAAGCAAAGAGATGAGACACACGGATGTGTAACTCAAGGGAAGAAAAACATTAAAAGTGACATGACATGCACGAAAAAAATAAAGCTCACTTTCTGTCTTCTGTGTTGGATGTTGGGTGGCGCATCTCCATTAAGGCAGCTCCAAATTTCTAGAGGTACCAAAGAGAAGCTGTAAGTAAGCTCTGCATGTGTCCTGTGCTTCGTTGAGTATGAAATGACATACACACCTCTCCATTTTCAGGTGGGTCACCATTACCGAATGTGCTGGTCACCACTAACACTAACGTCTCATGCTCCAGGTCCACAACATCATATTCATCCATCGACATAACCTTCAGATACGCAGAGAAAAAAGAGAGCATAATGGAGAGCGTTAGCCTCCACACTCTCCCGTGCAGTCGTTATTTCACTCTTGTCTCCTCAACACACACAAACACAGAGCACACGACGGATGAATCGTGTGTGTAAATTAAGGCTGAACACACAGCCGCTGGCAGAGGAGGAGGTTATAATGACCACTCTGTCCTCGCCTTTAACGAGATGATAATATGATGCTGCAACACAATGAGCAGCCGTGATGCACACCACTCAACATGATGGTGTGAGTCTTCCACAGAACATGCACACACACTGACACACATACATTAAGACTATACAACCAAAGGCGTGAAGAGAAAACAGGCTTTAGCCCCGCGAAAAGGAGGATTTTCCCCCGGGGCACTCACATCTGCCCTGCCATCCATCTACAGACACCCACTCTCAGTGACACACACAAACACAGCCACACACTTTCATGCACAAATCTGCTCTTGTGTGATTGATCACACTGGGGGAAACAGGAAAAGGAATAAGACATGACCTGGAGGAAAGAAAATCACACTGTGTATGATTGAGAGCAGCAGTTGAGCTTCCTTCACTCTCTTTTTCTAAACAGATTTGCACAGCCAGGGGTGGTTCGGGATCTTGTCTTAAACTACTGCGCTGCTCAACGCTTCAGTGGTTAAATCTTGCCTCTGACCTGCGGCACTTTGCTGCATGAGAGAAGAGGAAAATGTGACAAAAGGCACACTGTCTTCTTCTAACCTCGCTCCGCCTGTGCTCATCTGGCATCTGCTTGGCTTCATGAGTGCGAGAGCGAAGAGGAGGGGAGTGGTGGTATAAAGGAAAGATGTCTTTGAATCTTACTTTTTCGATAAGGAGGTTGTACAATGACACGTGAGCTCATGCTCAACCCTCAGATAAAGTGATGCAAGGTAGGGGCAAGGGTACCTTTGCGTCAAAAGCGTGTTTGAAGATTTCACAGAGAGTTTTGGCATAATCTTGTGACTTGCCCGTCTCTGTCGCGAACAGTATGGTGGCCTTCACCCTCTTGGCCATGGCTTGGCCCATGAGCTTTGCCGAAAACTTCACAGCCCTGCAAAGGCAAAGAGGAAGATGTTGCAAATAGGAGCAAACAAAACAAGAAAAGGAGGTACATTTACATTGATTTGTTTCCTGTTGTTCTGATACTTAAACCAGTAATAAAAGAGCCTCTGATCAGATGAGAGGATGTCAGACAGTGAATCATCTGAAACCTTAATTCATTTTTCGGTTAAAACTGGTTATCATTAGTCATTGATTACAGTAATGAATTGTTTTCATTCATTTGAAAACTAGTTCCTTTCTTTGATTCAGGGACTAGGGAAGAAACATGTTGTTTTTTTTTTATTTATGTTGAACACCTACCCTCTAAATAGGTGGGTAAAAATGGAGCATTTAGAAAGCACTTTTTAGAGCACAGAATAAGAAAGGATTTCAGGGCCATTAATCCTGTGATGAAAGTACACCAAAAGTGTGATGCTGGCGGACACTTAGACTAGTCAAAACTGTCAAATAGTAAGCAATCAGTGTTTCCCAACACAAATGTTAAGACTTGAGATGATTAAAAATCAGCTTCTCTTCAAAAAACAGTGTTCCTTTGCGATCTTGAGGGACACAGGAAGTGAAGAGGGGGGCTGGCAATGAGCCAAGCTGCCGCTTCAGTTAGATTAGCTTCTTTATTGGTAAGGATTTCTTTAGCTTGTTGAGCCAGGCCTTACAACAAGCACGCCAAATAAATAAAGGGTTAATATGTCAATGTTTCTAAATCACGAGAATATCTAATTTTCTCAAATTCTACTGGTATGATAGTGGTAATACATGTCATCAAATAAAGAAATTCAGTTATCAGAATTGGTACTAGGAGGGGCGCCAGAAAGCCTTGCGCTACCAAGACGAGTTGGATCCCAGCACTTTGCCTGATCCTGATAAACTACACTCAGGCTTCGTCCAATATTATTTACAGTTTATGCTACGCGCTTATGTCTCGCGCCCTATATAAAAAGGCTATAGTCCTCAACGACCCCAGGTTTGCCTCTCTCTCCTACCAACATTGACTGTCTCTCTTCAGATGTCCTATAAATTTAAGGCACCCCCCCCCAAAAAAAATAAAAAATAAAAAAAATAAAGAATTGGAATGTGGACAAAACTTTTGAATGCTATGATTGGCTGATTGCAAACTTTGATCCTGACTTTTACCAGAGATCTCCCTCGTGTCAATATGTCTGATAAACATTTGTTATTAGGAGTAATGTGGTTCACTTCAGCAGGCAGCAGACTTTATATCAAGGTAGCGGATGGATGACAATTGTTATTAGCGAGCTTGTCATATCCCCGGGGCAATTATATTAATGGCAGATAATACACATGCACTAGTTCATGCATGCACAAAGAAAACACTGACAAAGCTTTGATTACTCCCTGTGGGGTTGATTGGATGAGTTTCACCGCTGAGTACACCAGCTTCCTTCCCTTGTGTCTAACTTTTGTCAGGAAAATGATTACTTGTTTTCCTTGAGATGATAATACACACACTCCACCAGGAATTACATGTGGCATTTAAGGCCCCAATGTAACCTTGAGCCCATGATTGTTGAAGCATTGTTGTCGTTTATTATTTCTGTGCGACTGCACACTTACTTGGCAAGCTTCTTGAATCCGATGGCTCTTTTCTTTGTAGGCGTCCCATTGACTCCTTTCCACACGTGTGTATTCCAAGGGTCAGGCTTTTGCATATAGGCAGACATTAGAGGCTGTTTTTTATTTAAGGTTCAAATCAATTATGATAATAATGAGAATATCTGTGATTTTCAGTGTATTCTAGGACTCAATTACAATTCCCACTTAACTCAAAAGTACCGTGCCTTCTTCAACAGCAGCTAATAATTTTGAACTTAATATACCTAAATGACTTTCTTTATCTAGATTAGCAGCCTAGCATTTATAATCATGATTGCAAGTCATTTATTGAGTTTATCCTCCTTCATCTAACCTGGTACTCAAAGGAAGGGGTGAGGCGATAGTTGAGCATTTCTTGGTGGAACACGGGTGTGATGCTTCCTGACATGGGAGGCACAATCCACACCCAGTCTCCAGGACAGCCGCCTCGCACCCTGTACTCGTTCTCCATGTGCTTCATGAAGGACTCTGTGGCTGAGTGGTGGTCCACTATGGTCACTTTGCATGTCTAAAAAGGTGGACATAAACAATAAACCCATTAATGTTTTTTTTTTTTACCTCTATAACCATGGTAGTAGGGGAATTCAAGTTTCTATATACAGTGTCCAGACAGTTTTACAACCTCATAAGATACATTTTTGATTACATTTAAAGTCATATTCAGCTGAGACTCTATTGTGCTAGCTTACGCTGCGTCCATACTCAAATGTAACAAACATAAACAGCTCCCTCGCACCAGAGACAAACATGTTTTGCAATATTCTGGCAAAAAAAAGAGTCTGATTAGAACATTTGAGTGTACAAATTGCCAGATGAGTAGTGTTATTCAGCTGCAGAAGTGATCTGTGTGTTTGAAACCCAAACATTCATATAAACACGAAGTGAAGTGTTCCGATAAATAAATGGCCGTACCTGGAAACTGTAGAGAACCGCAATATTGATCTCCACCAGAGCCTGGTCTTTCCAAAGAGAGGAGGTCTTCCTGGTGTCTAAGGCCATCCTGTTAGCAACCTCCTGCATAACAGAAGGAGGAAAAAGCAATAGTCAAATGGAAGTCACTGTTTTAGTTGGTGATTCCTTTGCTTTATGGGAAAGGAAGAAAATGTATGCCATCACATGTGTTTGTATGAAAGACAGCAGATGCAACATGATTGGTCAGTACTAAATGGAAAATAAAGGGAACCACAAAAGGTTGGTATTAGATGAACTGGGGTGACAGCACTTCATAAGTCCCCACAATAATGAATGTAAACTCTGGTTATGATCTTAGAACTGACTGTGAAGAAATGTTTGTCACTCCATTTCATCCCAAAACTTTCCTTAACTTCAAGTGTGATGTTCAGTTATGTTTCATAAACCCAGCAGTGGTTACATAAAAAAAACAAAAAACAACTCTTTGCCAGTCTGCCATTAAAGTGAAGATGCCTTTATTCTTGAAAGTTAAGTTGTTTTGTTTGAGCATCAGTGACAAGGGCTGGGATTTTATGTTCCTCATTCACCAAACAATTCATGCAATCATGTGAAAACAACCCCTCAAAGAATGAATCCCAGGCATCTAAGCTTTTTTTCATTAGCAACCCAGAACACAATTTCCCTACTTGTGAGACAAATGAACCAACATTGGCACCCAATATGCTCCAATGTGCTCAGCTATTAGACTCCCCAGGTCCTAACTGTGTATTAAAATGGGGAATCTTGCTTACCCGCATGCAATGGTTATAGACAGTATCGTTTATTTATTATATATAATATGCCATATCAAAAACAATTTAGATATCCTTGTGAATAATTCTGACATTTAAGCATTTTCTGCTTCTGAATAGCTTACATTTTCAATTTTAATGTCCAAGACTTCAGTGTATGACTCAATAAATAAATGAATTCATAAATTAATAGAAAAATACAATATCTTCTTAAAGGCTTTATATGCTATTTTTTGATCCAGTTGATGTCGCCCTTGAGCACCAGCATGAAACCAAAACAACTTGCGGTGCATTGTTGTGTTAGCATGCTAATGCTAGCGATCTTTATTATGCTCGTATCTTCACACTGCATGTAAATTTACCCGAAAAGCAGTGAGTACAGTATGTTATTCTTCTTTTCTCTAGTCCCTCAATTAAACAACTTTAATTTGCGAGGGGATGAGCCGGCCGGCCGTCCCGGCGATGTAAACAAACTGAAGATAGGACTCGGAAAACTCAGAAAGCATCACAGAGAGTAGGACTCGGGTATTACACACATTGTAGACAGTCATGACTCAGAGTTATTTTCAGAGGATATACTTGATTTCTATTACATTTCAGTGTGAAAAATAGCATATAAAGCCTTTAAGGTTAGAATTAACACTGTTTTATCTATATTAAGAAAGTCAGTTGTCTTGTCGGTGTGCACAGTTAAAAGGAGAAAACTGTTCTGATTGATTCTACAGGTGACCCATGCTCATTTCTGCACACGGCTTCAATCAATCTGTGCCACTTATTCTGCCCCCTCATTTTCCAATGAAACATGACTCTATATATTGGCACAGCACACTACCTCCAGAATGTTGTAGCGTGAGCTGTCGCAGAAGTCCCTCACGCCAATCTCTGTACCCATGTACCAGCCGCTGAAGGGGCAGCCGGTGAACTCCAGGCCGCCGATCTCCAGCAGCATGTTGGCAACTGCTGGGAGGCCGTACCACTTTAGGTCCAGGTCCTTGAACCACTCGTATCTGGGCAAAGACGCCGAAATTAAATTAATACAGGTCCAACATTTTGCAATATAGGAATATACACAAAAAACCAATTATAAAAATAATTATTTTCTATAGCTTTGGGCTGAATTTTTTTATCCCCCAAAACACAAGAAGTGCAGCCAAAAGCTACATTAACACAGAAATAACCCACTTTTGAAAGCTTTCCAGAGCTGGACAGAGCAGCCAGGGCCTAATATCCTTCTTGCACCCTCTAGGGGTGTTGATTACATTGCTTCGGTGTATTATTTGCAGAGCTGGGTTTAATCTGTATGAAAATTAGACTCTGTTGGTGGTCTTGGTTTTAGACAAGCTGCTGCCAGAGCTGAGAGCTGGTTGATGCAGGATATGGAGCATGAGATGCCAATTTTGGGGGAGTCTGGCAGGGGGACCAGTGTGTCAAGGGATTATGAAATGCTTGCTGTAGCATGTTGCAACATAGTGATACCTCTGTGTACATCTGGGTTTTGTGAAGCCCAAGATAGAAATGACATGATTATGGAATAGATGGATTAGATACAGCAGCTTAATGCTTACAATCTATTTGCCTTTCGTAGTGAAGCCATCAGTGAGAAAATGTTTCTTGAAAGAAAATGAAACAAGGAAGGATAAGGAGGAAGCATGCAACTTCACTAACAAGCCCCATGGTTACCACAAAATCTGGCATAGCAACAGATAAAGCATGGCTAGCTGTGCTAGCTGGGGATATTCAGCGCAGATGGATAGTGACAGAAAACCCAATAAGAATTCTTTGCCTAAGAGTACCCCATTGTTTAATATGTGTTGTTAAGGGATGCGTGTGGGTGGCTGTTTTTTTTGTGCAGCTCCCCCTGTTCTTGTTTTGCTAGATTGTGTTTTGTTGAATGCTTCAGAAGGAAAGGCATTACTCACTTTGGGTGTGTGATTGGCACCTCCAGGATGAGGTCTTCAGGTAGCTCAAATAGCTCAGGGTCATTTCCATTGGCTTGAAGCAGGAGGGGGAGGACATCAAAACGACCCTTTGGAGCTTTCCATCCCAGCTGCATGCAGATCTGGTGACCAAAAAGCAACATGTGAGCTGAGAGTAAACAAGACCGAAAGTGAGATTTTGTGGCTTCATCTTTTCAATTTACAAACTTCAGCTCTCACGTGTACCTCAGTAAATTCAACATTTGCAGGGTCTCCCATGATCTGTCCATCGAGCTGTTTGTAGCCCGCGTAACGGATCAACTGACTGTTCCACACTCGATAGTCATGTTTGCCATCTGTCCTCTGTGGAAATATGGTGATGGCTGACCTGCAAAACACAAACAGGGAGAAATTACTGTATAAGAAAGTGTTCCAAAATGTGTGTTTAGATGTTTACAATATTTGCATTCATAACTCTAATCTGGTTTGACTAACATTCAGACTAATTATATCAGATTCTTGAAAATGTCTGTGCACAAAGTGAGAAACTGTGGACTTAATCTATTAAGATTTCAGTTTAATCATTGATTAAAGAGACTGCTAACACATGGTTGCTATTATGCCCTTAATGTCAATGCACGTAGGGCCAGAAGGACAAAGCTTGGTCAAAGCTCACCTATAGCCTGCTCAACATCACAGTGATGTTTTAATGCAATGACTGGGTAAAAGCGAAAGGGTAAAAGTAATACTGCTAAGCTGGTTATAAGTCGCAGAGGAGCAAGAGCAGCTGTGTGAATCTGGGCCAGTTGTGCGAGCAGAGTACATCTGCCGGAAACTGTCTCTCAGCCCCTGTGTAAACTATTGTAAGTGGAGGACCCAACAGGCATACTCTGTAAGAGGAGGCTATTTACACCGATCACTGTGTGTCAAACCATTCTATTGCAATGTCTACCATTTATTGAATTATTTAAAAAAAACTTATTTTAAACATCAAAATCGGCTCTGATTTTTTACAATCAAGGCATCCCTACCAACCAAAAGTATTTCTGACAAAGAAGCAACTCAAATCTTGTCACTTATGAGTTGTGATCACAAAGTATAAGGATAAATAACTACTACTATTAATCATTACAACACATTAATTATTAATTCATAATTAACATTAATCTACTCAATATTTTTCAGAAACCTACAACATTCATTGTTTTAAAGTTAATGTACAAACCATTAAAAGAAGGAAATTTGACAAAATGTTGTTGCCATTTTGCATGTTATGTATAGTTAGTATACTTTCCCCCTTAAAAAAACACCATTTGTCAACAACTACCTCTTCTTTGCGCATCCTTTTTGACCTTTCTTAAGAATACAGTTATCCATTTGGATCAGCTGGAAACACCCTTTTTACTGTGATAATAATATAGGATTTTGATTAAACAAAATAACTCTGTTTCAAGTATGCAGAGCACCAGCCAGGATGTTAGTGTGCTGGCTCTCATTAACACGTACCCATGCTGCCCCTCTGAAGGCCAGGCTAAGTGTAGTAATGAGTCAGTAGCTATCTATCATCCAAGAATTAAATATGAGGTGTCACATGTGATTAGGACTTGGCAGAAGTGAGCGAGTGCTGTTCAGGTCTAACAAATAACCGCTTGTTGTGAGCAGGGTCCACCGCCTCACTGACAGGGCAATGATTGGTGCAGAGACACATACAGATAGACAGGATGCAGATAGTGTCAGAGGCAGCATTAAGAGACGGAGAATACATTGACAGATGGGACAGCGGGTCAAGTCAGGGTAGTCAGAGATCGCGAGGGGTGATGAAATACATGGAACGACAGATGGAGAGAGGGGAGATGAACCCGAGCAGAGTTGAACAACAGGAAACAACGGACAGCATAGGGAAATGAAACTTAGGTAAAGAGTTGAGCGATATCTGTTTCTGCGTTTTTACCTCAGATTGCCTTTATTGGTCGCATACTTGATGTGGTTACAGATGTAGTTGTACATTCCATGAGCTGTTGTGCAGTCTCTAGCGTCAAAAACCTGGTGTGCAAATGCAAACGTGAAAAATCAGAATCACATAAATGCACAGTGAAGTTATTTAACATGACCTTTAACAGAAAACATGATTTTTAACTGAGCTGACATGTGTTAGTGGAGCTTAACAAGTCAAAGATACGGTATATGAATGGTAGATGAGGCCTCTTGGTTTCAAAAAGTGAAGGTCCTGAAATGCCTTCAACCCTAGGCCAACTAGGGTGCTACTCTGCTGTCAGAAACAGTCAAACTATGGCTTACACAGCAATATGTCAACTAGATTATAGGAGTAGCAATGTGTATCTACTATCTAATCTTTTTTTTTTTTTTTTTTACAGAAATTCGTATTTCTGGAGAAAAAAACAAGATGTACAGGGCAACATGCCAATTTTTGGCCTTCAAATGGTGGCTCACAAACCAAAGGGTGACAACATGTTACCGTAGCTTTATCCACTTGTTTAAATACAATCTATCCTTGTATCTTGTCTTTGAGTATCTTGATTTTTTTTTTATTTAAGTGCAAAGTTAGTAGAAATGCAGATTCCATCTTGAAAATACCCACACCTTGTCAAATCATCAAAAACCGAATGGAGGGATTGTATTAACATGCAGTACATGCTGTGATTTTAGACCTTCTGTCTATACCTGCAGTTTGGACCACTGGATCCTTCCTACACATCTGGCAGCATTCCTCCAAGCATGTTTGGCTCCATAGATCAGCTCAGTGTCTTTTAACTGGTAAGTTCCTGAAGCTTCAATCTCCTTCGTCACCTCCTCCAGCCTGTCCACATGGGCCTTAGAGCCGTACCTGTAGACAGGACAGAGCCGACAGAATAAGAGAACACGTCCATACAGTTTAGTGTAGCACAACACTAGAGTTACGCTAAATACATCATGCTAATGCTAATGATCCACAGAGGCTTAAATTCTAGCACCGTCCACCAGAAAGTTTAGAACTGAAGAAGCCTTTCGGAGGAGAGGTGAAACATCTTCAAGATCTTTATACAAGTCCAGTTGCCTTTGGATCAAGCTTTGAGGCTAAATACATCGTTCTATTTTTTAAGAATCCATTATAGGTCCATGAACAAATGTTGCTCTTTCATATTTATCAACAGTATAATATTTTTTTCAAGAAGCCCTCCTTAACTAGTTTGCTTTCCACACTAAACCTAAAATCAAGTGCAGAAAACAAACCAAACAAGTGAATAAAACACTCAAAATAATTGTTTTGTACAACTTGAAATAAATATCTGAAGGATAGATTAACTTATAGAACTTTGTCACTGCCAGTACTAAACAGAAAGCTGGTGTGAATCTGAGTTATTAGTTACACAGTAACTTGTCTAAATGCTAAAATGCTTAAGATTGAACCTCCTGTGGTAAACCTCTGTGTCAAGTTTGGAACTTCAGTGTTGTGTTTGTGAGGTCTTTTTGCAGGTTATTAACCACTATTTGTTGCATTTGAAGGAAGCAGTCGGAAAAGTGAAGCTGAGTGTGTTCGTATTTGGTGCTAAAAAAGAGCAAGCAGTGAGGTTGAATTGAGAGCAGAATGTGAAGGACCATAAAGCTCACAAAATGCCAATCAGATCGGTGAGTACAACAATAAAACTCTCAGCTGGTTGTAACTCTCTTTCTATTGGAAAACATGTTGCTAAGCAACCTAGTGTTGTGTGAGAGCACTCTACGTTCTGCAAAAACTGTTCAGCTCTCCTTTTGCTGTAATATGTGGGTCTTTGGTTAAAGATGCTGTGGAGTTTTTATTCTCCAGAAATCCTCTTCAGATGTAGAAGTTGCACCCTCCATAGTCCTAGGTTTATATTATTTGTTTGTTACTTGTTGGTGAGTTACGTCATCTTTTTTTATTCAGTTAATTTAGGAAGGCCATTCAACTCAAGAAGGCAGTTCTATATTTATAAGTTAGGATTCACTGTACTCACATTCTGCAATTTCCATCCTCAGAAATGGATGATGCATTTTGCCGTGTTGGCTTTTTGGATGTACTTATGTGTTTTGTTTTGTCCTGTCCTGTTGTGCCTTGCCGCAAAACCAATAACCCTTCTGGGACAAATTAAGTTGATGTTGAAGAAATTAATGTATAGTTATTTTGGCATTAAGGAAATTGATTTTTTTGACATAAATCTGTTCTTTAACTCAAATCTCTTATGAACCATCATGATCATTGTATGTTTTTATACCACCCTCTAACCTCCTGCTTCCACTTCTGAAATAGTGACGCAGAAACTTTGACTCATAGTTTATTTACACTGACCTTTTTACTTTTTTAAGGCAGCTTTTCACTTCAACATGAACCTACTCTTACTAAAGGAAAGGGATCTAGTACTCGCTCTATTCTTGATATTTGGCTTCTAAGGGGAAGCTTATATGTCGCACCGAGCTTAAAGTTTAACTTAGAAAATGCTTAATTTACAACTTTAATAAGTAGCACATAGCCTGATACATATGTGGCTGGATAGGAACCACATGGCTTTTAATGCAATACCAATGATTTCTAAACTTGCTCAATGTTCTTCAAGCTTTTCCTTTCATTATGTTGCTTTTGTTTAGAAAACCAAATGCTGAGCTTACCTTCTGATGGAGGTGTAGTACTGGTCTAGGAAGTCAGTGGCCAGTGGAAGAAGCTCGTCTTTAGTTCTGACTTCGTCTGGCTTGCGAACATGCTGGTTAGGCATCACCACAGAGCCAATGCAGACATTTTCAGTGCAGATTGGCATCTAAAAAGAAAAGTAACATGACAGATGAGGGAGGATATTTCAGGGATGATTTGAGCAAGTTGGTTATTACTCAGTGCCAAAATGCAACTGAAGAGGCAGGAGATTATGGCATATGAATCAAATTCACTAGTAATATAGCTGCAAATATCCACAAACTTTACTTTCCAGCAAAAAATATCACCCACAGAAGACTGTGTTGGCTCTGGGGTATGAAATGCTAATTCTATTTCTAGAACTAACTTTCTATAACTTATGTCAGTGGCCATCTGGATTTCTTTTCCACTAGCTAAAGACTTTCTGCATCTGTCTCTGTATTGTGATTTAGGACTGAATGAAAGAAGCACGGCATCCTTTTAATTAATAAAACACCAAGCTATCACATTATAGCTCTGTCAATTTATTTTAGATTAACCTGACAGTTATTGGTTCTCCTTTATTTAAGACAGACAAATGAAATGCTTCAGTTGTGCATTATGCAAATGGAATAAGCCGAAGAAGAGAGAAACATTTTACAATTCCACTTTATAACCATAATCAGTTCCTCATTTGACCGTTGTAAGTTGTGCTTCAGTATTTTTGTAAGGCATTTTTAAAACTTTACTTGAGCAACCCGTTGTTTTCTATCAAAACATTTCCAGGTTACAAGAAAAAAAATGTGTCTATATGATATAAACTTGAGGTATGATTAATGTACAAGGTCACTGAAAGGTCTTCAAATCTACCAACTCAAAGTTTAAGTTATATCACAGTTTAGTTTGGTTAATTGGTTTATTTGACAGGGGGCATTCACAAAAAAACTGTTGGACCAGAGTTAGATATAAAGCTAACTGACATCTGTGGTCCCTGTGCAGGAAGATCTAAAAATCAAACATTACAATACAAACAATAAAATCAATAGAAACAATACAACAGTGTATCACATAAAAACGAACAATTACAACTACATTACATTCTTCTTCTTCAAGGTTGATTATTCAAGGGTTTGAATCAGTGGTCACATGATTGGTTTGCCCTGAGCTATGATTTGAGTTTAGTTTTAAAAACACTGAAACTTGTGAAGCCTCTGATACCAAAGGGACAGCTCCATTTTCTGTGGCTCTCATTGAAAATGCTGATCATCAGCCCTGGTCGCCTTAGTTTTGTTCCTGTTAAAGTGGTGGCGGTGCCTGATCATGAGTTAATTTATACACAATTAACACATCTCCAAAACAGGGAAAAACAATGTTCCACATGTTTAAAATAAAATGAAAAATTTTAAGGTACATTTTTATGTAAGCTTCCGGACCTTAAAGGAATGGAAGGTATCATATCTGTTTTACAATTCTTTTCATTATATCGCTCACAAATGGCTGGCACGAATGTTAATGAATGAGTAAGTCAGTGAGTCATGGATTGGTATCCTTCCATCAAGCAGAGGCAGGAAGACTGAAAGAGCGAGGAGAAAAGACAGAAAATAATAAACCAGACAGATGTACAGAGAGAAGGCTCATAGCTGAGAGCAACCTTGTGTGGTCAGTCTAATGTGATTAGAGCTGAAGTCAGCTGTCATTTTGGTTTGCCCAAATGTCTTCACCAGCTTAGAGAGAGATGGAATGAGTGAGCAGGAGCGGATGACAGAAATGATAATGCAGGCATGCAGGCGGAGAGGAAATTTGACAATGACCCCAGCGCTGCTAAAATTGGCTTGTTAGGCTGAACCACACACTTGCACTGTTTAAACATTAGACTTGGACTGGCAGTCTGTCTCAAATAGACCTCTCTCCGTGTCCCTTCCAACAAATTCACCACTCGCTTGACAGAAAATGTTGGACAAGGCTACAAACACACCATTTCAGCCAGTCAAAACAATCGGGACAGGAAACTGAGTGAATGAAGGATAAAAAAAAAAGAAAAAAGGATAACTTGGAATATAAACCAAAGCTTAGAAAAGATAAACGACGGAAAGAAGAAAACAACACTGACATACATAAACATGAACATAAAGATTTGACAAAGTAAATGAGGAAATGGATGAGTGGAGCAGGGAGTGTTAAAAATAAAACAAAGTAATCACTTGTGCTCCAGCACGTCCGCTCATCATACTGCTCAGGGCATTCATGCCAGCCAGCTGTCCTTTTCGAAAAAGACGGATCATCCACCAATACAGCAGTGTCTGTGATAAATAATAACGCTGAAGATGCTACTACAGAACATTCATTGGGATGCACAGTGTGTCCGATAAGTCACCAAAGTAATTAGGCGGCTGTTTGCTGTGTACGAATGGCTGCGGTGTTTTGGGGGCTGAATTATTAAACGGTGGAGTTCACCTTGTGCCTGCTAGACTGGTTTACTAACTAGAGGAAGAAACTTTGGCTGCATGATAAAAGGAAGAAAATGGATGGACCAGGGGGATGATCAATGAAAGGGGATGGACATTTAACGCACCGAATACATTTTCTCGCCTGTTTTGCCTTTAGATGATGACTTCTGGTGTTTTTCCCAAAAAGGTTTTTGGAAAAGACTTTGTTTGGCATTTAAGGGCCACTATGAGGGTGGAGATTGCCTTCTCAAGAATGAAACACAGCAGTTGATCGCTTAAAAAAATCAATTATGGAGAGCTTCAAGGTAAATGGATGTCACAACAAAATTTGATTTGATTAGTGTGCCTCCTGAAGTTATATAAAATAAATAAAGGAAAAGACAAAATAAAATTTAAAAAAAGCATGTCTGTAATAGTGGGTTTTAAGAAGTCAATGATTCTGCACACCTTGTCTCGATGGCCTCGTGGAGGTCGTTTCAAAGTCGAGGAGCCCTGACAGCAAAAGCATGTTCACCTTTTGTATTGAGCCTCAACTTTGGAAAGACCAGAAAAGCCCCATCTCAGGTTCTAAGGTTGCGAGATAATGCCCAAGGGGTCAGTATTTTCAAAATAAAATTTGGGGCAAAACCAAGACAAGCTTTAAAAGTGATCAGCAAAATCTTAAAATCAATTTTTAAAAGTGACAGGGTGCCAGTGGAGGGAAGCAAGGATAAGAGGGATGTGATGGCATGGCATCTGTTAAAACCAGTAAGAAGGCAAGCTGCTGCGTTCTGGACCAGTTGGAGGCAGGAGAGAAATGTGCAAAGTGAAACAAGGATGGTGGGAGTTGCAGTCCAGACAAGAAAAGATTAGTGAATTTTTAACTTTTTCCAGGTCAGCAGGTGTCAACTAAGTGCAGTGTCCTTTACACAAACCCAAGTCTCGAGGCTTTCAATTAAAATGGCATGATCTACTGGGTCAAGTGCCACACTTGGAGCAAATGGAGCTGTGTCCTCCGTCAGTAGGTTAAAGAAGGTCATTTGTTAAGGAGAGCTGTTTCTGTACTATGTATTGCTCTTAAACTAGACTGAAATGTCTCAAAGATCTCATTTGCATTCATAAAAGACACAATCTCTATTGAAACAACTTTATATAAAACTTTGGAGAAAAATGGGAGTTAAGAAATTAGCCCTAAATGACTGAGAACAGTGGGATTAAGATTTGTTCTTTTTAAAAAAGATGGACCAAAGCATGTTTAAAAGCAGATGAAAAACTACCAGTTAAAAAGAGATGTTTGCTTGTCAATGGATGGATCAGGTCAGATACCGTATGCTTATGCATGCAGTTCTGCTTCAAGACCCAGGCTGTAATTTTTCATCAATTTGCAGGACGTTTTCCAGCGCCATCAACGATTTTATTGGTCATAGCTCTTTTTTTATATATAACCAAATCCAAACTAATGACATACCCATTACCCATTAGCACAAGTGCTCGATTGCAGATATGAGAATGCCAATAGATAGACCAAGACATTAAAGTTGAAACACATTGCATCTGCTTAAAAAAAAATGTAAACACAGCCAATGAGAAAAAGTTAAAAGGCAAATTTTAGAATTTGGCTAAAAGCGCTGGTTTGGAAAGTGCCCCCTAATGGTGCTGTTTGCTTTTCTGTAAAATGTTTGAAAGAATTGCATTTTTCTATAAAAAAACTTTGAAAGAAGCTTTTGTTAGCTTGATGTATGGTTTAATGTGATTGTACGAAACAGTTTTGTTGAGGTAATCATGCTTCATAAGACAGCACAAATATCAAATGTCACATTTGATTTCTCAGTTTCCTGAGAATGGTGACTCATTATGTGACCATCTGAGTGACTGTATGACCATGTCAGCTGTCCTCATACTGTCTTTCTCTAACTGAAGAATATATTATTTATTTCATAAGCCGTAGCCATTTTTCCCTTGCTCCCCGCTCTCTTGCTAAACAGTAACGAGCTGAATCACCAACATATCAGACAATAGCTCTCTAATGTACGGACAGTAAGTGTGAGGCAGAGAAAAGGCATGCCATGCTGTGCTATTATTCTTCAATCTATTTGACTTGCAAATTATGTGTTGTTCAGCATGTAGGCTGAATGTTTTCCAGTCATCTAGTTTATGTGCATTTAAGATACTTTTATAGTCATAGATATACTGTAATATGGGTCTACCTCATTATCTGACCTGAAAGCTTTGCATTCCTGTAAGATTATACACACAGGCTTGCACCTATAATGGTGGTATTACAGAAGCCGCAAAAGGTAAGCACTTGCACTCAATATTTAAGTGTGATTCTTTCTGCATAACATATTTGAGGTACTGATATACCAGTTATCACATAAAAAACTAAACATAATTTTTATTTTTTTCAGAGACCAAAGTGCCAAGCTTGAATGTACTGTATAAAGTACAGTGCAGTGTTCACTTTTGGATCCTGAAGGAATTGATGGTATGGTATCGCCAAATTATATCTTATTGTAAGGATGCGCAAATAAATAAAAAGTCTTGATAAAATAATCATTAGAAACAATTCTCAAGCGTAAATATCAAGTTTTTCATTTTCTTTGCATTGGATTACAAATGCATCATACAGGTGTTTCTTTCTTCCTGGTTTCCTGGTGCCAGTAGTTTCCATCTTCTCAACTTAGTGACGGGTGTCATGAGGTGAAGACACAGTTGCACTTCACAGCCTTCATTCAGATTCCGAGAGGCATTAAAACTTTAAAGATTGCTTGATTTATGACCAAAAATCCTTAATTTCCTTACTAGCCTGGTTGCCTCATCCACAAACATAAATACTGCTGCAGACAGTTTGTTCTTTTCTTTTTTCTTTTTTTTTTTACCATTTATTGAACTCTTTCCATGTATGCCTTACCTTGCTGCAGCTGTGGTGGAGTGTGTCGCTGTAGACGGTGCCTGTCTCCCAGTTCTTGATCTTTATGAAACGGGGGCATTTGGATGGGCTGCCGTTCTGCAGTGTCTTAGTGGGAGAGGACCTGCCCTGAGCTGGAGGCTGAAAAAGAGTACAAACACATTTAAATGAGCCATTACAGTCTGTCTTAGATCTGTGTCTTGGAAATAACTTCTAACCTACAGTATGTAACACATTTGGAAGTAGCTGGATACGTTGTTTATGACTGGGAGTCATTCTGAAAAGAGACACTTCTATTCCACTATTGGGGAATTGATTCAAGTGCCACAATTTGACATTGATTGGTCAGTTCAAAATGTGGATAACCCAAGTATCTGGGAAAAAAATAAATCTCCAGAAATTCTCCAATAAAGAACTCTCAGCTCCTCTGTCATTTTAATTAAGTCTCTCATACTGACTTTTGCACATGACCCAAGTGCATTCTCTCTCTTTCCCCTTTCTATTTTATTTCACACTCTAGGATAAAGGCAATCGGCATTAAACAGCAGGTTGTTGGCAAGCTAACTCTTAGTTCACTGAGTTTTCCAATACTGTAGCTATTGACTGATGAATGCCTGCAATTTAACCCAAAAGACAACTGTTAGCATCGCCTTGGGAAAGCAAAGAGGGATTGCCTAAGATCAGGGTAATCAGTCCCACACATTTGAAGCCTTATCATCATCTCCCTCAGCATTGTTAAGCCCACAGAGGAGCGGCCTCTGAACAACAGTGACACAATCATCATGCTTGCCAGGAAGATGAATACCAACAGTGTCACGCCAGTTGAGTCTCATTGTCGTTGCACGTCCTCTTCAACAGGGGAAAGGAATGAGGAAGATTGGATTGAATTTGATTTCGCACACACTGAGAATAAAGAGCTTAGTTCCTGTGTGTTCATGCTCCAACATCAGTAACCCTTGCTACGCGACTCAGATATGACACATTGCTATCATTGAAGTTGCGGACAGGGAGAAAGATCATTGTACCGTAAAGGGACTCTCAGTGGAACAAGCGAATAAAATCAGATGAGGAGAATTAAGGCTTGTTGACATAAAACGCACAGTAGTTGTGTGAATATGAATATAAGGCTTGTGGCTCACTGACCGGAAGCTTTAGCTTGGCATTTACATTAGTTATTTTCTCACCATGATACATGCAGCTTTAAAATAAGCCTGTTTGGATGAGCAACGTGTAAATGTCAGTGTTCTTTCTTTATACATGTGTACATGTTAATTTTTAAATGTCACGGTGGAAAGACAAACAGATTGATTAAATGTTATAGAGAGGTCAGCTAGGGAAAGACCACTAAGTGAATGTCCAGAAATACCAGGAAAAACATAGCAAGAGATAAAATAATTTGAAAGAATAATTGGTCAAATATGATTGTGTAAAACTAAAGGTTCCAATTGCTGTTTTGCTGAACCCCTCCAATGAACAGAACTTGTCTTATTTTAACACAAGCAAGGCAACTCGGCACAAAGAGACTCTCAAGGCCAGAGTTATCACTAATTTACTACAGCATACAAATCAGATATAGAAATGAGAAATTGTGACTTTGTACATTCACTGTCAATCCAACTTTTCTCTTCATCAGTGACAGCTGTATAGAGTAAGTCAATGAAAATTTGGATTCGCATGCGTAACGTTGTAAAGCTGGTGTCTTTTTTATTGTTGTGCCTGTTCTTGCTAAAAACAATAAAGAGCAGGAGTGCCATGCATGGTTTATGCATTTATTACTTTTCAGAAGACAACTGTTAGCATATCCAGCCAACTAGCTAACTATCCAGAGCAATGGCAAACCCTTACTTCTAAACCAAGCAGGCAGGGCTAAGAAATGAAGCAGAAGTGCCAAAAACTGCAGTTCCCAAAGTGGCCAAATGAGGCTGGCTCCAAAAGAGCATCAATTCCCAAAAGGGCCCAAATACAAATCCTAAACTTTATAGCAGAATTAATCATGTTTACAGTCTGGGTATGACAAACAGTTCTGGTCTCTTCAGCCAGTATCTTATATATGAATTACTCCAGTGGGTATGAGTTTAAATGAACTTTGCTAGTCTCCACAAGCTCTCTTAATAAATACACAGCTCTGGTCAGCTACCAAACAAATAGAATCCCGTTCTGTGCAACACATTTTGGCTTGCTTGCTAATTTGCCAGCTAACAAACTAGCCAAATGTTTTAATGGATAGCTCAGACAACATGACATTTGCCAGCATCTAACTCCACTCCAGTACCACCCTCTCAACCACATAAGGTCACTTCTGACTCAAAAAATAAATAAGACAAAAAAAGGAACCACTCTGATGCCAAACTCCAAGCTTGAAAAAGATAATTGACAAACTCCTGGCTAAGCTTGTGACAGCTACATTTTGCTGCATTTTATAAAGTACATTTTCAAACCAGTCAGCATATCATTAACATGTTTTTAATAGTATTTACCCAAGGGGAGTGGGCCCAAAGGTCATTGGCTACTCTGTCCCATGCTGTATTGGTTTTTGGGGAAGGAGGTTATACATATATACTCAATGGCAGATGAGAAGATCTCAGCCAATTCATGAAGCCAAATTGATCTAAGAAATGATGAGCTGCCAATGATTACATTTTTCTTAAAAAACAATCATTGATATCAAAAAGTACAGATGTGAGATGTAAGAGCAGAAATCTTACAGGCATCGCAACAACAACATTGCCTGGTAATGTTGGGGAGATACAAGATACAAGATACAACGCCCCAATGCTACTTATATAACCGAGGGTTGTTGCAGGAACAGACATGCTTTAACAACACACTCATCATCCATCAGTCAAAAGGCTCATGTCAAGAATGAGGTGTGGATCTTACATCTGTTGAGCTACAAATGAGGCTAATTGAACCTAATCTAATGAAGATAATTTCATAAAGTGATAATGGCCAAAGTTGGTTTTTTTTTCCAGTAAATGCAGTTATGCAGTTTAAATTCCTCATGTACCCATCAGTTAAAACTTCAGATGGGAAATGACGATGAGTGCCAAAGAGGGGGTTGATGGGGAAAAAAGCAAGACAGAGAGCTAAAGAAATTAAAAGACATGGTATTAGTCAATATTTTGAGGTGAAGTCGTGATTTTAAGCACATTATCATTGTGCTTGTATGCGCTGTTTTTATTTGATCATCCAAGTTGGTGAAAGTCAACAGAATATTCTGGCAACTTCTAGATCACTAAACAATAAATTATGCAGAAGCAGAAGCTCAAGCTTGAGGCATATGGACAGTCTTTCAGCAAAGTGATAAACTCAATTTGCAGGTCAGCATTATGTCATTTGAAATCCTTGTATTTAATCAGGGACAAACTTTGAGACAATCTGAAACCATTCTCATTCCCCTTTTTTTTAGCACAAGCTATGAGCCTGACTTTAGTCTATTAAATTAAACTCAAAGCAATGAGCCATCAAAGTTCGCATAGAGTAAGTGTCTGACAAGAGGCCTGCAGTAAAAATGCTTGCCGCATCAATCAGTACACATGCGTAAACTGGACACACACACAAACACATGTCCAAAACACACCTTCTCACAAGCACCTCTGTTTGAGCTTACACTACCAGGAAAAACATATGGCTTCTTAGCACTTCATACATGCATATCCTCTCAAAACTGCTACAGCATGGATGATCCACCCTCTCATCCCTCCCTCTTTCCAACACTTTTGCACAAACATTCTCATAAGCATGTACATTAACATTCTCTGCTCCTCAGGTCTGAGGGGCTGGATCGTTTCAATAGGGGCCACATTTGATGGAGAGCTGCGGATCAGCAGCTGCACACATTCATTATGCCTCCTGGAATCATTTCGCCCCATCCGGTCCCATTGATGGGGGCTTGAGCGACGTCACAAGTGGGTGGATAACACAGACCATGTGCAGATTACGACACTATCCCTGTCACAGACACTCAGACCTGTGACGAGACCCTTCTGTGTGGAAGGCATAAGCTGGATTTAATGCTGCACCAGCTTTCCCCCCGGAAGGATCTAATGCCTAGGTGATGGGATCTTAGGCAAAGGCTTTACGACTATGCGCAAAGAAGCAACACAGATGCTCGGTTTCAGAAAGCATGGAAAGTGCAAATAGTGTGGATTATTGTACAGGCAGCCATGGACACACATGCATTATACAGCTGTAGAGAGCCTTCTCAGGAATATTTGCAATCAATGTACACATGGACAAGAGGGCAAAGGATCTTCAAGTTATTGATTTGGGAGTGTAGAAATGGATAGACTTGCTGTTTCATTGGGGATTTAGTAATAATTTAATTTTACCTTGTCAGTGTCAGCGCTGTTGAGTACCACCGTCATGTTTTCCAGCATTCTGTTGTTATCTGACGCCAGCTGTGGAGTTGTGCCATTTCCCACACCAAGGTCCCTGGAAGTCACATACAATTAACCGTCAGGTGTTTATACTCACATCCGGTGCAAAATGTTCCATTCATTTCACATAAAAACCTTAGCCAAAACGTTCACACACAGGCCAATACACAAAGACAGTCAAGAATCTGCCTGTCTTATGGCATTACACATTAAACCATGGAGCTGTACACCCTCCAGAATGCTGTCATATCGGAATCCCTGCACAATTTCTACAGGCTCTGAACACCCACTTAGGTGTTTTCTCTCCACAGGACATAGTGGGTGTGCAGACACAGCTTGGGCTGCATCTATGTTGTTTGCACCTGTTGCAGAGCTGCAGTGGGATAGCTTCCTCCTTCATGTAGGCTTGTCTCAGTAATTTACCACCAAAGCTTCGCATCAACTTCATACTGAGACGAAGTGGGCGAAAGCTGCACAACTCCAAAGGGAACACTTCTTACAAGTCAGAAGGGAGAAAAACTACTAAGGTGCATTGACCTTGCTTTTGCTCTTTCAATCACTTTAGCTGTGCTTCTAACACTTTGTCCTCCTGCAACATAATGAAGAAAAAAGTCCCTCCATCAGTTTTCCTGCAAACGTAGCAATTTCATTCAGCTTTTTTTATATGAATTCACTTATTTGGACTTATATCTGTATTTAGTAAGCTAACAACAGTGCTAAGGACTTATGAAGGCTTCTTCAGACATTGAAACAGAAACACAAGACAAATCAAAATGTGCAACCCATTTTCTGTGTTTTTGATGAAAGAATCTACCATCAGATAAAAAACAGATCAATTCAAGACCAAAAGATAAAGAGAAACTGAATATGAAGTGAGAGATCTCACTCTGAGCTGTAATTATTTGATCCTGAGAGACGTAGGGGGGAGGGGACGTCACTGTGCTGCCACTGTAGAAAACCACACGAGAAATGAATAAATCCAGCATACTCATAAGCGAGTGGTTTCAAGTTTGTGTTCTCCTCCTCCTCCTATTGAAAACACCCACACATATATCACCCATTTCTGACTTTCACACTCGCCCCCTCCTCCAGTCTTTCTCATGTGCATGCGTCCATACTAATTGTAAATCCTCACAGGCATCCTTCCCTTTCCTTTTCACACTGTATCTCTTTAGTTGTCGCAATTTGCAAGAGCATATTTTTCCCCTCAGTCTTCAAATTTAGAGGTGGAGTTCATGTATGCAGAAATGACGAGGGAGGTTGTATGTGTCATTTATCATTAGCTCTGGCTCTAGAGCATCCTCAATTTGTACTCTGAAACAGGCTAAACATTATAATCTGCTTTCTCTTCCAGTAAAATAGTCCCTGAGAAATAATCTGAGATATGTTACTGCACAGACAAACCCTGGTAAAAAGATATTATTGGCTATTCTGTTCTAAATAACTATTTTCTATATATAATTCTTTAGAGAGTTTTTTTCTAAAGCTAAAACCAAAAATGAAAGATGAGTAAGTTGCCTCTTTCCTAATGCTGGCCAAATGTCAGTGTGTTTCAAGGTCGTCTATTGGCTATAAAAATGTTTTCCTCTGGCCCAAAGGTCGCCCCATTAACAAACATTATTTTAGCATGACTTACATGCTTTGAGTTTTTTCTTCCTGCATGTCTCTCTGAAATACAATGAATCACTCAAAGTGTAAAAGAGAGGAGGTTGTGCATGGATTGGTCAAGAATGACACATTGATTCAAGCAGACTGTAGCATCGATTAGATTTCAATTGGTCGTGGGAGGAGAACAGCAGATAACTGAGATGCCAATATCAACATTACACTGTGGAGACCATTTCGGCAGAAGTCGGCTGGAAGATTATGGCTGAGCTGGAATAAAAAAACCTTTTAAAAAAAACACTTTTTCTCAGCCATGTTACATTCATAGAGCCTAAATTCTCAACTACCTGCCTGCTTAAAACTCTGCTGCAGCTGACCTCAACGGAAAAGACAGAATGAAAAAAGTTTTCTAATTTCAAAGCTTATAAAGCTAATGAAGCGTTTGCGATAAGCTTTGTGTTTGGCAAGATGCTAATTGGGGTCTTATTATCAATGTGACTTTAAATGGGAGCTGAAATACCAATGAAACAAATGCAATTGTTCTCAAATATAAGATATGAGCTGCAAAAAAAACGTCTAATAATTCAAGCAGATTGTAATTATATTCCAATGTAGGTTTGGTAAGCAAGCTCATACAATAGATGCAGCTAAATAACCTTAAACCTGATCCCGAACTGGGGGTTTAATGTTAATTATGAAAAACTTCCAAAGTCAAGCAACATTATTTGTTCTAATATTTTAGGTTTTACATGAACCAAGTTAAGCGGGTTCCTTCGCAAAGTAGCACAAAAAATGGTGATGATGAATGTTGTGAGCAATATCATGTTAATTGAGGTTTTCTAGAGGCCAGCACGCAGACAGTAATTACTTGGCAATCTACTCTGAGTCATACCAGATGAAAGAGAGCCTGTCTGTAGCAGCTAATACAACACAGCTGGGTCAGGTAGTTTGGGGAGTGCAGGGTGACAAAGTGTGTAGGGAGACTTTATTTAATAAGAGGACCAGGTGCAGGCTCTTATATCTGCTAATAACCAACTTGTTGAAGTGTCCTTGACCTAAATCCTGATTCTAATTATATCTAGGCTCTAACTTCAGTCTGTATGTGGAGGCTAACAAACACAAAGACACTTAAACCAAGAGATCAATAAGGTTGTATCGCATCGCAAAATTACCAAGCCACTTGAATCTGGGCGTCTCTTCTCCCCGCATTCCTCTGGCCCTCTCCATTGATCTCCTTTTTGCTGTTTTTGATGAGGCGCAGCACTGGTTCGATCTCCTTCAGCAGTTCGTTGTTCTCTTCCAGCCCATTGCACAGGAGGGTTCCACGATCCCTCATCAGCAGGGGGTCCTGGGCCTGCACGCCTCCCCTCTGCAGGATAGACTGGGTAATGGACGGAGAGGATAGGTTCTCGATGGCTCTGAGCTGGGGCTCCTTATTGACCTGCTGCTGCTGCCCGGGGCTGAATGGGCTGAGAGGGGAACAGTGCTCATAGGACTTTGAGGGAGGGAAGGCAGGCCGTGTGACCCTCACTGTGCGTTGACGGCCATCTCCAGAAAGGGTGGTCTCCAGGTGGGTGGTGAAGCCCTCAGGCCCGCGGAGGATCAGCACAGCGTGGCTCTCTGGTGACACGTTTTTCAATGTCTCCAGGGCCCGCTCATAAGACAGGTCCACCAGGGGCTTGTTGTTGACCGCCAAGACGATGTCACCCACCTGCACCAGGCCGCACTCCTCTGCTGCACCACCACGGATGAGGTCAGACACGATGACAGGTGGCTTGGACACCCTCTGCTTCACTAGAAAGCCCAGACCGCCGACCTTCCTTTTGTACAGGCGGACGGAGATGATGTTGGGCTGTAGCTGGCACACTGTTGGCTCTGACTCCTGCATGGTGCCTTGTGTGTGTGGTGGTTACTGCGTGCTAGCGGGAGAGTGTTCGTGTGTCCCCAGGGATGTTTCTGAAAAGCAACAGAAGGAGAGGGAGGAGAAGGGGAAATACAAGTTCCATTAGTTTTGGGGGAAATTACCTTGACTGCATCATTTACTTACAGAGCGTTGATTTAACATAAGTCAAAGAGGGTATACAAGTAATTTTGTGTTTTTAGTAGGTTATATTACAGAGACAATTAAATCCTGTTGAGCCACAGATTCAAAATATCGTCACTGAAATAAAAACCTATTATCCATCAAATAGAACCCTCTTTGATCCTCTATATTGACATTGCAGTGACTAAACACAGTATCAGATCTTTTTTTCCTCAAAGGCAAATACTGGCTAGGCTTGTTTCTAAGCCTCTGTTTTCAATTTCTCCAGCGGCCGTGTAAAGTATTCACGTCAGTACTGACAACTATTTAATGGGTCTCCTTGTATTTTTATTATAGACGGCATAATTTTTCTATATCACTTTGTTTCATATTCTAACTTATACCAGCTCTAGTTACAGTCGTTTAAAATCTTGAATAGTAAAACACATGATTAGTTTATAGAATATTCAACCAAATGGTTTGTAAAGGAGTTCTCCTAAATATGCATCAACAAGTGATCCTGTAGTACACCATTATATCATTTGGGGTTTTTACTCTTGATATGTACGACATTATTAAACTACATTGCGTGCAGTGCTCTACAAAAATGGAGTGGGATAACGTTAAATCATTAAAGTGTTTTCACTTTTGAGTATTTTTACCAATAATAATAACAATATTTTTTTTTCACTCTTTTTAGTCCATTAAAGGTGAGAGGGACAGAAGCCATTAAAAACACAAACTTTTATTATGTTGTGCAGAAGGATATTATTGCCTTTAATTTAAGGCATAAAAATAAAGAATAGAAAACAGGACACTTCGACTTTTGCTAGGAATGTTTCTTATGACCAATAAAATCCACTCAAGGGCAGTTTAGCCAATTTGCCAACACTTTCATTTCTGCATTACCCTAACAACTCAGCTCTTGCGTGAATAAACACAAGGCATGTGACTAAAGCCTGTCCCTCAGCTCCTCGAGCCTTATTATTCCACCCTGTGCTTCATTGTCTTTTCACTTGAAATGAACTTAAGCAACAAAAAGGAAGCACTCCTCTGCCCCGTTTTCCAGGCGCTAAATTAAGTATTTTACCTCCTTTGATGCGTGTAAGTTGTACTTTGAAATGAATTAATCTGGCTGTGTGGGTGGCTTGGCCTTGAATGTACAGTGTGTGGAGAAAAAAAACCGCACACAAAGCTGATACTGCGCGTGCTGCGCAATCTGTGCAGGAGGGCAGGCACGCAGCAAACATTGGGAATAGCTCAGCACCAAGGATAGCGGTCAGCCTCTGACAGCTGAGTGTTTTACAATCCACATCTTGTCATATCTGCTCCTCTGCATCAGAAGGCTATATCAAGCTGTTGTTTACTTCAAAACTTCCATCGGCAGAAATTCCCTTCAATGTATATGTCCTAGGTATACGCTGGCTGAGTCATGCTGTAATGTCAATATATAAAAGTCTTATAGTTCTGGAAAGTCAACACCATATCTTCTGATTCTATGCATAATCACTGAAATCACACATTCAGGGGATCAGGTCCTCAGCGCAGGGATTTTAGAAAAATTGGCCACAGTCATAAATATTGACTAAACTGTCCCTGGGCACAGGAATAACTTTAGATAGACGGGCCCTTTCATCCTAACTCTTTTTAGCTGCATCCTACTAAGATAAGAAATGACACATCACGGATGTGAATATTGATGGGAATGTGCTCTGAATATGAAGATTAAAATCTTTTTCTGAGATTAAAGGGGTGTCTGGTGTAGGCTGGGATGATTCTCTCCTATTAAAGTTCAAATTATCTTGAATAAAACAAGCATACATAATTGACTAGGCTACCATTACGCACCCTAATCAGACTTAAATTAACGTTTCATTGAGAAAACTATGTATGCAGACTCATCAATATGGTATTAATGAATGTGTTCATTTGAGCACTATAACAGTCACAATTTATATTCAGAAACTACTTCTTAGCTCAATTAACTTTAATCCTGACTTCTTACTTCCTTGTTTAGCGGTGACAGTGAAGGACTAAGACTAACTACTAACTACTCTTGGCTTGTTTTTAGTTTCCCCAATGTCTCTGCACAAAGCTGGCAAGTTACAGTTTCTTGTTCTGGTGATTAGAACTTGATATGAACTTTTGTTCCTGTCACAAAAACACTGCAAGGGTTTACATGTGATCAAATTTGCATAGATTGATTGTGTGATTGGTTGGTCTTCATAACTTTGCAAGAATGTAGAGGTATGTGAGGCAATGCGCCCTTAAAAAAAGGGGAGAGGGGTGGGTTAGTTAGGTATATATCGTCATCTTCTGCACCCATAAGCAATTAAATAAACCGCAAATGCAATCAAAGAAATCTTGAAAACGGATTTCATAACTTAAGTAGCAGTAAGGCATAAGCAAATCTACGGAAGCAGGCGGTAATACATTTCTATACTATATGCCTGACAGTGAGAACAAGAATCCTCTTTCTCTCTCATTTCTACAGAACTATGAGTTGAGTAAACCTGTTACCGTTTTTTTTCATGTGAAAAATAATTCCTATATTCCTCACAAAATGCAAAATGCAAAATGTAATGATTCAACAAACATACAGTGAGTGACAAGTATGTATTTGTGAAGTTGGATTCATTTTGCAATTGCTCTCCTTATTACGATGTGCAATTGAAAGTCCCTAATTGTTCCCTATATGAGCCTGAATGTAATGGCTCTTTCACAGGTTCAACAAGTTCTAGAGACTCTTTTTTTTTTTTTTTTTTGCACAAGGTGAAATAACAACGTATGAAAAATACATTTTACAAATTAAAGGCTTCCTGTCCTAACCACAGGTGTGTACATTAGTTATACAGCTCCATACTCATTAATTGCCCTCATCCTTCAGGGGAATGAGCAGCCTAATTTTGAACAAAAGTAAAAGCATAACAGGTGAAACATTGAATGAAAACGTTCAACAACTCACCCCTGAGAACAAGATCGCTGTCACAACGACCTGCTGCAGTGAACTTTAGGATAAAACTCCTGCGTTTCCTTAGCAGCGGCTGCACAAGTGTCTCATCCAAAAAATGTGTCCAAGTCACAGCGACGCGCTCTGCCTCTCTAGAGACGAGGCATGCTTGTGCCTCTTCGCGTACCGGGGCGCTTTATAAATACAGAGCAACGGGAGACACTGTGACGAGCTGGGAGAGAGCCGTGCGCGGGCATTTAAATCAACTGTGGGTGGGTTTAGTTATGTCGTCTATCGTCATCACTCAGCATGCTGGAGCCGACTCTCCTCACATCCACTCCTCCTAGAGCCTGCTGTGGGCCTTCACAGGGGGGCAGGGACGAGACAAGGTGTCCCTCCTGCTCCTGCTCCTGCTCCTGCTCCTGCTGCAACATGGAGGTTTCTAAATTAAAACCTGTAATCTGATATTATTCAAAATTATTGGAAGATAAATGAAAAAAAAGTAAGTCTTGAACAAAAAACAAAAAGCAAAACGCAGACAGAAAGGTCATAAGCTGATGGGTATATAATCACCTTTTATAGCCTATCTCATTTGGAATACAGCAATTATACCATAGCCTACTTGTCTCATTCAATTACAAAGAATTGGGGTCCAGAGATCTATGGGGCATGATAGTTCATTTGTTCAAGATTTAACACAAAACATTACCTATACACCATTGCCTATAGGCCTACGTTAGAAAAGATGAAGGCTTTTCAGTTATGTAGCTTGTAGGGTTCAATATAAAAACACCTTGCCTAATGCAAAAAAAATACAAAAACTTGACTAAAAACACTAATAATCAAGATCCAATGTTCATGCAATAAACATCAGTGGACTAACATCTGATAGTTACAAGTCGTCAGCTGTTAGCAGAAAAATTGTAGCACTTAAAGTTGAATCATTTGTGGGAAAGCAGGGTTCTCTTCTGTTGCTATGGAAACAAGTAGCCTACAACTTCTGCGTGCCAGAAGCAACCTACTAGTTGTAGTCTGTGGTTGTAGCTAAAGTTAGCCCGAGGCGCAGCAGCTAACAGAGGTAGCCTACTCTAAACTACTAATTTACTTACTTAACGAAGGCTAATTTACATTATTAAAGTAGTTCGGTCAGACAGTTTCCGTCCCTATCCTTCTCCTTGTGGCCTTCATCCTACATTTTTTTGTTAACACCATTAATCCTACTGTAAGGCTTAAATGTCATGTTAGCAGTCTGTGATAGTTACCACAGAGAGCCACTCTTCCTTGCAAAGAAAATAAAATAAAAGTATAAAAAGCAGAGTAAACTGGTCCACAATCCTTTCATTGGCTTTAACGCAGTAAAACTTTGTGTATTTCACCGAATCAACTTGACACATAATATATTATATTAGGCTTGAAACTTCACAGCAATGTTAGCTCCAACATGAAACTAAAAACCAGCAGCAGGTCAAGGGTCAGCTGTATATATATATATATATATATGTACACATATACATTTATTAAAAAGTCATTTCGACGTCTTTAGAAGATTAAATATAGTTTTATATTTTATTCATATATATATATATGAAATCCCCAATTTCTTGGGCTAAGCCTTTTAAAGGTGTGGGCTCAGAACTCCACTGTCGCTGCCATGTTTACCCCATGATTTACCCACATTTTCCTCGCTCGGGTCATCTTTAGGCTACTAGAAGAACTAATGTTCAAAAGCATTAACAAAGTGGCCAGCAGTGGGGCTTTTTTCTGAACCCAAAGATATTTTTGCTATCTGCCAGCAAGATCTGTAGGAGGTAGGTGAAGTAGCCAAGTCACTTGTTCAAAAATCCAATAGGACTACATAGCCTACTGTATGATCTGAATTCTATACAGATTTTAAAATGGAGGAATTTATTTTAGATTACTGTTGCAATCTCTTGTCCAAAATTCAGAATCAAGGGACAAGAAAATACACGGGCATTACTGGCCATGTCTTTCCATGTTCCCTTCAACAAAATAGCTGTGTGCATTTGTGTCTTGCTGTTCATGTGTGATGAAGAAGCCAATCAAGTTTTTAGGATTATGATGTTGAGCAAACTCTAAAACTCTGATCTGCTATTAATCAATACAATAAGGCTCAGGAATAGTAGATTCTACAATTCTACAATTCCCTTAGCAGACGCTTTTATCCAAAGTGACGTACATCAGAGAGTAAGTCCAACACAAGCAAGGATCTAGGAAAAAAGGGAAACGATCAGCTTTGAGTCCAAATGAGATTTGATTAAATAATTCAATGCAGGGATTAATTCCAATGTTTTCTCTCATTTGCCCTTCATACAAATGCACACCAATAAGTTGAAAGCAAGACAGGATTTGAAATTATTTTTATGACTAGAACACCTGCATTTCAAATCCAGAAATTCTGTTGCTTAGCACACAGCTGAATGAGCATCAGACAGAAAGGCTGAACATTCATTAAACTTCTGCAAACTTTTTGGAGATGTTGTTATTTTTATTATTTAGCAAGAGATTAAAATCCTTCCCAACAGCCAAGCACTGATGCAAGTTTAACAATAAAGGGAACCGAAGACCTGAAAAGAAGCATTAAAGGAAGAATGTACGATATTTACACAAATGTATATCACAGCCAGAGTCCCGCTGACTGTGATGTTGTCTGAGCCGTATTGACATAGCGTTTACATGGACGGGCCGGAGGAGAGCAGATGATTCAGTGTGGCGGAGGTGTCGTCAAACAGCAGTTTGTTTTGGTAACATGCTGGTGATCAAGGGCTACATCTCCTGGTTCCAAAAGTTGCACATTCTTCCTTTAACTAATACAAGTTATGGTCGTCTTACAAAGTTGTTGGTTTTCTGATCTCAGGTGATCCCTTTATGCAGGGAGCTTTAAATAGAAGAAGGAAATTATAACATAATAACAATAATTTGACTCACTTTTATTTGGTATGACTCGATTGCAAGGAAGAGAGGAAGAAAATACCTTAGAACACATAAATAGAACTGAATTGGTTACAGCAGCAGAGACGCTGTGATTAGTAAACTAACTTTTTTGAGGTAAGTGTCAGTACTGATCAAAACTATTGAAGTTGGTCTGTTTGCTGGAGAGGTGCCATGTCACTTCCTGAGCACTGCCGAGGTGCCCTTGAGCTCTGCACACTACCTGTTCAGCAGCCCCACTCTGACATCGCTCCATTAATGCATGTCTATAGGTCCTGTTTGTGTGCATGCATTGCGTGTATGTGTGTATGTGTACCATGTCTCACAATAACAGAGTGTAAACCAGAATCATTCTATGCATGAATCCAATGTTCCTCTACTGAATGGTTCACATTTGACTTGTGTCCTTCAAAATAAATGCAAACCCTGTTATGTGAATATACATGAATAGCTGTTGGAACTAATTTTCCATTGTCATTTCCACTGCTGTTAGATGCCATGAATCCACTGCATATGAGGCAGTCAAACTTAAACAATGGAAAAAATACTGATACTGCATGGAGGAAGGTAATGGTCTCCTTGTCATTTCACACATGCACATCCAAGGTTTTTGTCCACTGCTACTTTTAGTTTCCTCTTTGGAAGCTTGGGTATCAAATAAGTCATATATTTCATATTGCATGGTTTATTTAGCTCTAAATTTGTGTGCATGGCATTGATCTTGTGTTGCTTTTGGCAGCCCCTGTTGGGAAACCAGTACGTGTACATTTATGGGTCAGACAGATCTTCATAAATGAGATCGTTGAGTAATCTACTGCCAAACGTTTTATCTATCATATCAGGATTTCCCTCTTTGAAAGTTTCCTTAAGTTACCTTGTTTTTTTTGGCAAAACTTACATCTTTTCTAACATGTCCAAGAGGGTTTAGTGTCAAAAATTAATACTACTCATACTATAAATCAATCTCCTAGTGTCTGCATGAAAAAATCCCCCTGAAGTATTTATTGAAGCAGCATGTTTTAAGAATTTCATTGGCTTCTAAAAATGTCAGTTTTTGGTTGTCAGAAAAGGAGAAGGCGTCTCTTATCAAAAAGGCTTTTGTTGGCTGTTATGATGTGTCATCTAAAGGTCGGCAAATAGCAGTGTGGTTTTTTTTAATAGTTCTGTGGACTGTTATGAAATGTGTTTGGATTAATTCTTTTACAGGGTTTAAATTGTGATGAGCAGTTTTTGGTGGATTATGATCTTAAAAGTTCAGTACATCTTCAAATGGTAAGTTTAAAGATGTTGTTTCATTGTTGGTGGTTTGACAGATGCGTACAGTATTGTTGCTGCTGTGATGGTTGGTTCTCCAAAAACTGGGCCGTCAGTGTGTGTGTCTGCTGTAATGGACATGTGTAGTGTGGTTATAAGGTCACCTTGGGGCGGCAGTAGCTCAGTCCGTAGGGACTTGGGTTGGGAACGCAGGGTCACCAGTTCAAGTCCCAGTGCAGACCATCATATGGAAGTTGGTCTGGTAGCTGGAGAGGTGCCAGGACACCTCTGGAGCACTGCCGAGGTACCAAACACCCAACCACTCTGGAGCGCTTGTAGCAGCCCCACTCTGACATCTCTCCACCAATGCATGTCCACAGGTCCTGTTTTTGCATTGGTGATTCAGACCTATGTGTGTGAGAAGCATGTCCCTGTAAAAATAACAGAGTGTACACCCAAATATCCCCTCAGGGATTAATAAAGAATATCAAAATCATAAAAAAATCAGATCAAAGTAATGCAGACTTAATGAGTGAGAAAAAGGATGGATCAAGTCCAATCATAGAATAAATGTTAATCCAGAAGACAAATAGTTTAATGATGTGGTCAAACTGAAACGAGAATATGGATCAATATGTGCAAAAAAACTACAACAAAACGTTAGACTATCAGTTGACTATAGGCAAAGTCTGACGAATCAGGTATGACAACCCTTACTCGAGGACAGGCCTAGTTGCAGGATACCTCGTTTAACCTCTGTGGGTCTTTCAATTCCTCTCTACGCAATCGCCAAGTATAAAAATTCAGCTTTATCACTTTGTCTTCCCTCGTTGGTACAAAAGTGATAACAAATGATACCAGTGCAGACATTACAGCAGAGCTTCTCTGCATGTGACCGCTGAGTGAGCCTTTTTTTCCCAGCACTTTGTAAAGTTCTCTTCAGAATAGAAGAAAAATAATTACCTCCATTTATC